CATTTCTGTTTTTTTCTGTCAAGATGGGGTGCTGAGTGTACATTACTGAGAAATAAAATGAACTTTTTTGATTTTTGGAAAATGGCTGCAATGAAACAAAGAGTGAAAAATTTAAAGGGGTCTGAATACTTTCCGTACCCACTGTATAATAGAAGTTTTATAAGAAATGACTGAAGGAATTTCACTCATTCTGACAATAGCACCTTCACCATGCCCAATATGGCTGTCCCATTGCTTTACTGAAGCTTCGTGAGCTTAGAGGTCGCACGGCCACAGAAGGGGTTCACCCAGGCCTTCCTCCACTCCATCGAATCAACTCATTCATATAAGCAGTGGGTTGAAGGTATAAGTGATACACACCATGGCAAGGCCATCTGAAAAGAGTGAAATGCTCTAGTGCTTCAGTTTTTCTGAAGACAAAGAAAAGAGTACTTGAATAGAAAGTTCTTGAAATGAAGAAGGGAGGCTCATAAAAGTCCACGTTACTTTAAACTCATAAGATTCCCTGTTTTTTAAGGTTGTTGCAGGAGTGGTGGTTGTGATGATGAGGGTGTATATGGATTTATTCTTGGCACTTATGCATTGGTTCTAATCTATGCCAATTCAACTGTTTCAATCTGCCAAAAGAAAAAAATAGCTTGAGTCACCCTGGATTCAGTGATGCTCAAAATGAAGTGCTGTCATAAGCTTGCAGACAAAAAAACAACTACCAAAAATGGAGGGTATGACAAAAATCTCTGCAGCGTGTAAACTTTGTTTTTGGAACACTACTACTACTACTCTGTCTAAACACTTGTTAATGTGTCACAGTGTTTTCACCAGCACTGAAGCAGAGACTCTGGAGGCTGCAGCTAGCAGCATTAGGGCCAGGTTATGGTAGAAAAGAATCTTGGAAAGGTGTGAGGGGAGAGAGTTTCTGAAGCTACTCGACCATCTGAAAAGCAGTTCTGATTAAGTAGACAGGAAGTATCTTTCAGGTCTGCCAAACGTATTGAGTGCATTTCCTTACTCATAAAACATTTACAAATTATTATATCTTTTAAATTCAGTATTGTTTACAACCATGTTCATTAGCATACAGTCTTCTTCTTTTTCCGTCTTTGTTGGCGCATTACAGCATATCTTGGTGTGACACCATTGGTAGGACTGTGTTTCAACAGTGCTACTAGAGGTCTAAAACTTCACAGCAAAACTTTAAGTGTCGCTACCTTGTTGATCCAAGATATCTACATCTAAAACATTTACAAGAAGTGTGTCAGGATGCCCCCAAGTGGTCGGAAGATGAATCAGATATGTTGCAAGATAATTAAGAGGATACAAAAGCAGAAAAAAACATTCCTGCTAATCAGAATTCTGTGTTTTTTAAAACCTTTTTTCAAGTCTCAGCTTTTTGCAACCTGTGACAAGGGTCACATGTAAAAATAGTTTCTTTTTATGGTGTCACAAGTCAGAAAGGTTGGGAACCACTAGCTGAAGGGGGTGTGGCCACCCAGACCTGGCCATCCGCTATTGTGATATCTACTTGCATGACTTTCTGCCCTCAGAGAGATGTCTTGAATAGAGCCTGACCGACGATTATTGGCTGATAGTAGTTTATCAGATACACTGGTAACGGCGTTTGTGTTGGCCAGTAAGTAACAAGCAATGCCAAAATATGTTTGTCCATATTTTGCAAACAAGAGAACCCTTCCAGGTTTATCTTTAATATGTTGCCTCTATCTGTATTTATGTATAAAAATCTATGCTGTTATTAAATAAAGTTATTGTCTGGATTGTGAGAAATGATACTGTAAACTCTGTTGCCTGGCACTTAATGAATGTGTATAGGGGAATAGTTTAGCCTTTTCACAACACAGGGCTTGTATGTTTTTAACTGAAACTATTGCAACAAATCAATTGTTAGTAGTAACTGTCAAAGTAAAATAGGGGGCAGGTAAACTATCTATATATGGGCATAGGTTTCAAAGAAGAAGTTAGCAGTGAGTTGTTTTTGCTGCAGGGTTAGTTTAAATCTCAGGACGTGATGGATAACAGACCCCCCTCCAGACAAGGAGCACATTTAATGACTTAAAGGTCATTGCTTTGGTCAACTCATTTTCAGTATCAGAGCGAGTTGGTTCTAGTTTCTCGAAGGCATTGAGATAATCTGTAGCTGCAAATGCAACATCTCACATCTCCAACGTAGATCTATTATTATAGTTTTGTGATTCTTGCAAGAAGACATGTTATTAGGTATAAAGTGAGTCAGTCCTGTGATGTGAGAGGCAAAGAAGCATGGTGTTAAAGCTCTAGTCCTTTATCTAGGCCACTGTTTATTGCCAATGCATTTCTGCTACTAGAATTTATTTGAATAATACCTTACCTTAAGAAAAAAGAGTAAAAATGTCAGGAACACAGTAGAAATTTGATACACCACTGCAAACACAGGATATGCCTGAAACTGCTACTAAGAATAAACATTTTACTTTCACAACAATCGTTTAACAAGTTAAGCAAGTTAAGTTGAGTGTAAGTGAAATGAAGTTTCGCCATGTTTAGGGTGGAGCACACTGCCCTGTGTATCTCTGACTGCGCTGCAAACTTTCAGCAGACACACCAGCATCTTATGTCTGCAGCGTCTATATTTTCTCTGAGCGACGTGAAGGCTCCCGTGTGATGTTTGAATGACCTTTCACTCTCACAGAGGAGCAGCAGGCAGAGACATAAGTGAGGCGGATTGCCCTGGAGAGAAAACACAAGGCAAACACAGCTGCAATAGATGCTAAAAAAAAGTATGTACTTGTATGTATGTATGTCATATTTTGGTTTATTGATACAGTAACTCCACGTCTTAAACTTTATGCACGGTGGCTCACCAGTAAACTCACAGCAAGAGGGTTAAAATCTTGGCAGTGTGGAGGTCACGTGTTCACTCCGTGTTCCTCTGGTTTTCCTCCCACAGTCCAAACACATACAGGTCACATGAATCGGAGACTCTGTTATTTCTAATCTCTTCACAGGTTGTTAAGGCTTTATGGTGTTTGTCCAACACGGGCAGCTACATGAATGGAGGTTCTGACATGCTCATGGCTTGAATGTTTCCTGCTTTTACATCCTACTTTTTGGTCAGTGATGGTCTCCTCCCAAATTTAAAATATGTTACATGGGACTGCAGCAAATTGTGGTTTGACTCATCCAAATGTATTCAAAGCTAATTGAGGACACTGATCACTTGAGACATGTTTGGAAGCATGGAAGGACCACTTGGTCAACTCTGTGGTGTGTGTATATCACATAAAGTGGTGTGAAAAAGTGTTTGCCCCCTTCCTGATTTCTTATATTTTTGCATGTTTGTCACACTGAAATGTTTCAGATCATCAAATAAACTGAAAATTAGACAAGGCTAATTACAGAGTGAGATTTGCGTCTGTACATTACCTAGTGCCCCCAAAGAATCTGACTGACGTCTGCTGCCGCCCCCCCTTATTGTACTGAATTGACAAATCCCCAGAACACTGGGCCTCTCACTGGCCAGCCTTTGCTTCGTGAGAGGAGCACCGCCACATAACAAAAGCGAGGCCAGCGGTGGAGGCTCTGTTCCTATCGCTTCATTAGACAGCAATGTGAGACCCAGCAGGTTGAAGAACCTCTGCCTTTGCACACATTCAGTCCTCCTGGTGAGCAGTAGACAGGCAGACATTCACTGCTTCCATTCTCCAGAGCACATAGTAGCTGCAATGAAACTGTTGTAAGGGTTAAAGGAAAGTGGGATGGGAGTGGAAGACATTTAACAAATCTGCTGAACTGTAGCTTAGAAGAACTTAAGTCATTTTTCAATAAATGTGAAATTTTAAATTGTGTAAATGGTTGAAAGATTTTGCCACCACATGACATTTATCAGACTTCACAAAGTATCATGAATAAAGTCCATAAAAAATGTATTACCCAGTTATCATTAAAATTAGAACTCATGTTCTTATAATGAGATGCGTACAGTTTCTCAAAGGTCCGCAGGTTGTCACGTTTGCCAAGTGCAGAGGCAGAAAAACAGGGATGTGGACCCAATTGCAGGACACTCAGACAGAGCAGGTACAGTTAGTGGTGTTTATTTAAATAGTAAAACAAAAGGTGATCAGGCTTACAGCTGTGTAGAGGCAGGCCAGGGTCAAAAACGTGAAGTTCAGTTCAAACTAAAGGGGAGCAGTCCAAATGAAAGTGGAAAAAATCCAGACCAGTTAAGGGGATAATCAAAAACTAATAATCCAAACAAAATCCAGAAAGTAGTTTAGGCTGACCTAAACATCTATGGTGTACCATGTCTGGTCGTCAGTTTATCTACCTGCCATAATAGGTGTGGCTGATATCAAAGTGTCTTGGCTGTGGGACTCAAGCTGGCTCACTGTCATCTTGTTCTTTCATGGTGAGAAATCTTGAGATAAGGATTGTGGGATTGTCTTATGCTGTCAGTATGCTTGAGGCGGCAAATCACCAGCTAATAATTTGCATTTTTATGCCATTTTGACAACAGCCAACATCTTCAGATACACAAATGGATTTTGATTTTGATGCTGACACAAAGACCCTTCATGTGGCTCACAGCTCAAAGTTCACGCCCCCTGTTTGGCTCTGGTCCCAGGGTCCTCTTTGAATGGGTCTCCTCTGTCATAAAGATCTCTGTTGATGGCACCCTCGGTTTGAGTGTCGGCATTAGAGAGATTGGCCTTTTGAGGTGAATTATCCATGGTCAAGTCCTGCTGACACTGAGGGGTTGGACACCCAGAGCAGACAGACAGAGCCAGCAGAAGGACCGCTGGGCTGGGGGGGGGACTGGCAAAACTAATTTAGATGGATGGACAGGCAGACAGAGAGTAATAAAGGGTGTGCAAGTGTACATTTCTGGAGGCAATACAGTGGCAGCCCTTCTGATGATTTTTTTATACTGATGAGGATTTTGTATAGTGTTAGTTTTTTCCTGAGCTTTCGTATGTGAAAATTGACAGATGTCTCCTCCGTTCCAACAGGTGTTTTCTGAGGACCTGATAGAAGACTGGATGTGGTTTTAGCTATGATTACATCAGGGTGGGGGGCGTGGGCTCTCTCCCCCTGTGGCCTTGTGCTGGTCTTCTGTTCATCTGTGTGTCTGTCCCAGCAGCCTCACGTCAAACCAGCAGACTGTAGTCGAAAGGAACATCCCGTTGTCTCCTACCAAGGTGAGTGCATCACTACCAGTTTGCTTTTCCTTCACTTACACAGAGACTTTTTTACCATCCATCCCTCCAGCCATACAAGTCCAAAGTCTCAGTTGGTGATTGGTTCACATAGTCTACTGTAGATGTATTAAAGATGGCAACAGCTGTCCACATTTATAAGGAGGTCATGTGGAATACTTTAACAAATGCGCTTATCTGCTTTCTTGTCGAGACTTAGAAGAGAAGTTCGATACCACTGTCATGCCTGTGTGCTAAATATGAAGCTATATCCAGCAGCCAGTTAGCTTAGTTTATGCTAAGAAATAGACCCGTAAAATCAGAATTTTATGTTTTTAGGTTATTTATAATAACTAACTTAGTGAGCTTTAGAGATGCTGGAAGGCAGATTTTGTTACCTGTCTGATTGAGCCACGCAAGCTATTAATAGAAATATATATAAATATCAAAGTAGTATCTATCTTCCCAAAATGTCAAACTATTGCTTTAACTTAGTATTAATATTTAACAAGAAAAAAGTCAAAGTGCAAATGTCTAAATTATATGTCATTCAAAAAGAAGATTTAAAAAAAGGTTGTTGTGTCAAGTCTGGTAGTCTTTTCTATTTGACATTTTTGTTGTTCTCTACAGGTTTAACAAACTTAAAATCACTATAAATTTAATATGGCATTTAATTTCAAGAGAGGTGTGTTTGCATGATTGACAGGTGTGGTGTATCTGGCACCCTCAGGTCCCCCATATCTTATCGCCACCTGGGATTCCTCCCATTTGGACAAATTAGAATTTTCTAGCTCCAGAAATGGATAAATATGGGGGTAAACCGAAGTTTGGGCTCTAAAACAGCTTTGGAAGATGAAAAACAAAATGTTCAACGTATGTATTATTTATTAATTTAGTCATTCATTCACCTGGTGGCAGACCTACTGACCTGAACCAAAGCTACATCCTCGGTCTGTAAAGTTTTGAAGCCTTGGACTAAACATCCATTCTGGCGTCAGGTTGAAAGACTCATGAGAGGTTGTGGAGCTGGCAGACTACAGGATCAGGTATTTCACTGATTCACTGGAGAGAAATGTGACGCATCAGGAAAAACACTGAGGGTTTAACTGAGGCTGGAGCTTTGAGCAAGGTACCATTTGGTGGAGAAGGATTCCCACACAATCAATGGATAATAATAAGTCTTTCCTCTCTTCTTCCTCTATTTCTGCACTCAATCTCTTCCTTCAGATTATGGCTCTGCACTACTTTTTTCTCCTCACACGTCTTCTCATCCTCTCGTTCTTTCTCTGTCCAGCGTTGAGGCCGTGGATGTCAGAGTTCTCCCATTCAGGAGTGAAAGATTTCTCCCAGCTGGCCCTGGACCTGAGCAGAAACCAGCTCATTGTGGGAGCAAGGTAACAAATAAGTGCACTTAAAGCTGACAACACAAGCGTATTAAACCATCTGCATTGTGTGTGCATCTGCTACTTTACCTCTAACATGAAAAATCTCTTTTACAGAAACTTCCTCTTCAGACTGAATTTAAGCAACGCCTCGCTCATACAGGTACCGCTAGCCAAGCCAAGAGCTTAAGTTTGAGAGAGATACTGTAAATCACCTCAGTACTGTGTTCCCTGTTGTCAAACTGGCCTCAGTTGGTCGCAAAAGCTGTTTTTGGTCGTGGCCATAACATTTTGTACCTTTTTTAAATATTTATTGAATTTTATAATGGATGTTAATAGTTAAAAAAAGTTGTGAAACAGAGAAAAAGGTTTTGTCTCCAACAAGCAGTGACTTCTTGGAGTCCACACTTTGCTTTTTAACAGTCTAAACAGTCTAAACACACAACAGTGTGTTAATTAGTGTATTCTCATTTAACTCTCTGCAGCAAAGTGAATAAGCATATTTCCCGAACTGTTTAACTATTCATTAAAATATTGCATGAATTATTCCATGTGTGTTTTCTGATCTACTTCTTTACATGTTGCTTTAATTGTAGGTATCTAGACTCGTGGCTGTGCTGTGATGACCATTCCTTATTGTTTTTACAGGCGACAGAATGGGCGCCCGATGAAGACACAAAGCGCTCATGTCAGAGCAAGGGCAAGTCTGAGGTAGTGTTCTGGGTTAAACTCAGTATTTGTTCACACTTTTCAAAATGTGGTCAACTGAAATGGCCGTTCACATTTTATTAATGACAGAGGATTCTCATGAGTGGTGGCGTGTTTGTCTGCAGGAGGAGTGTCAAAACTACATCCGGGTTTTGTTGATAAGTGGGAAGACGCTCTTCACATGCGGGACGAATGCTTTCACCCCCGTCTGCATCACCAGGCAGGTTGGTACAACAGGTCATCACAAACTACTAAACATAAAATAAATGAATTAAAAAAATAGACCCTTTTTCTGTCCGTCAGATTGGAAACCTCGGTGAGGTGTTGGACACAGTGAACGGTGTTGCCCGTTGTCCCTATGACCCGCGCCACAACTCTACTGCCATGGTAACAGAGAGGGGTGAGTTGTATGCTGCTACGGTGATCGACTTCTCCGGACGTGACCCTGTCATCTACAGGAGCCTGGGGAACATGCCACCACTGCGCACCGCCCAGTATAACTCCAAATGGCTCAACGGTAAACAAGGCACCACACTCATTTGTCCTTTGATCCATGTCTCTATTTGTGGATATCATCACCTTCTCTTCTCTCCTCCCATGTGTCTTTTAGAGCCTCATTTTGTGTCTGTTTACGAGATTGGTCGGTTTGCCTACTTCTTCGTGAGGGAAACTGCAGTTGAAAACGACTGTGGGAAGAACGTGTTCTCTCGCGTGGCCCGGGTCTGTAAGAACGATATGGGTGGACGTTTCCTTCTGGAGGACACCTGGACTACTTTCATGAAGGCCAGACTCAACTGCTCACGCTCAGGAGAAATTCCCTTTTACTACAACGAGCTGCAGAGTACCTTTTATTTATCAGAGCAGGACCTGATCTATGGTATCTTCACCACTAATGTGTGAGTATTGGTAGCATGATTAGACACTCCTCCTCTTTCTATGCAGAGTTGAACTGTTACAGGTGTTTAAGGGTTTATGCTGATGCATTTTTGACAGTATTATGAGGCACTGATTTTCCTAACCATCTATGGGAAGAATTACAGACTACATCGCAACATAAATTCCCTCTGCTAACTCTAAATCATGCCACAATTTCAAGGTTTTGTCTAGATTTTTACCAGAAACACTAAATTAAGACAGATATTAGAAATTCCTGAAAGTCTGCCTGTAAATCTGACATTTGAAAACTATTAATTTCTTTCTTTCACAATGTCGGTTGGTTAAAATCTATTCTGTGGACTCGTCTTGATAAGGTTTTTCCTACTATCTTTACATCAATGGTCGATGAAGAGTGCAGATCCTTTACTTATGTAAAAGTAATAATACCACAATATTAAAAAAATGGTTGAGGTGGAGCTAATTAGAACCAGTTTATGTACTGTCAGGTAGTTTAACCTACAGCAAGACATCATGTTTTATAAGTTGATAATGTATTTTTTTTATGTGAAAAGTACACTGTTTCCTCTGAGAAGTACATAGTGGAAGTATGACGTGTAAGATGAAAAAAGTACAAGTACCGTGTATTTCCTCTCTATTATATAATAATAATAATAATAATAATATGTCAAGTCAATATTTAGTCACGCCATTTTGCATCATCAAATAAAAAAAACTGTAAACTATACGGTAAAATACACCACAATCCTTGAGTATATGAAAAGACAGCTACATAAGCGACTTCGTTCACGTCTGCTTCTGTATTACTGAAGTGATCTAACCTTGTAAATAGTCAATCTCTCTCACTGAACTGCTGAGATCTGACTTTGATCACATCCTCCCCTCCTTCAGGAACAGTATATCAGCTTCTGCTGTCTGTGCCTTCAATCTGAGCTCCATCACCCAGGCCTTCAACGGACCCTTTCGCTACCAGGAGAACCCCCGCACTGCCTGGCTCTCCACCCCAAACCCCATCCCCAATTTTCAGGTAACTCACATTATTTAAACACTTTTCTTTTTCTCTGATAACATTGTGTTGATAGCTGTGAGACCGTTCGGTCTGTCACACATTTCCCAGCCTTCCCTCCAATGCTTGTGAAGAAGTTTCCGACCATTCATCTTGGTGTGCCGACTACAGAGAATAGCGTATTGTGGTATAGTACACAGAAAATTGTAGCTCAGCTCCATAAAATATACCTAATATACAAAACGCTACCCAAATTTGGCTGCTTGGACATTGTAGTGAATTTCTGATGATGTAATCTATTTTCTTAATTAATTAATAATAATCAACATTATGCATTTGCATATATTTTACATATACTTACACTGTCAGTGATCATCAGTGATGACCCTCTGCAGCTCATTTTGACTTTCTCATGGTAGAAATTTTGAAAAGATAAATAACACAAATATAAACATTTTCGAAGGTCTGTTTCTAATTTATGCTTAGTTGAAAGCATACTAATCGGTAATATTAGCAGCTGGATCCTTTTGTTAAAAACAAACCCACAGAAACCACCCCTCTTCATCCTTAACACCTGACAATAACTCCTCCTTTTCCTGGCTGCTCAGTGTGGCACACTGGAGGAGGGCGGCCCCGGGGGTAACCTGACAGAACGCAGCCTTCAGGACGCCCAGCGACTCTTCCTCATGAATGATGTGGTGCAGCCAGTTACTGTCAACCCTCTGCTCACCCAGGACAACCTGCGCTTCTCCAAGCTAGTAGTGGACATCGTGCAGGGCCGAGATACCCTCTACCACGTCATGTACATCGGCACTGGTGAGCAAGACGGGAGAGAATTAAAACCGAACATTTAAAGAGGTGGTATTATACTTTTTGTCTTTTCCCCTCTCCTTTATTGAGTTATATATCTTTTTTGTACATGTTATAGGTTTGCAAAGTGAAAAAGCCCAAAGTCCACCCCAAAGGGAGTTCCCATCTCCCACAGAAAACTCTGCTCTGAACTACCTGAAAACAGCTTTCTTTGTAGTCCAGCCTTTACTTCTGCTTTCTTGTGATGTCACAAGAAAATACGTGTCATAATGCTCGCCGAGCGACTAGTCTGACACGCCCTCAAAAACGCCGGTGGAAAAACACTGTGCTGCAGCACACCTCTCCTCTCCCTTCCAAACACTAGCTACCCTCCAAGCAGTTAATGGACATAAAGTTGTTACTGTGATGTGGAGACAGAGCTCAGTTAAAACTTTATTGATGAAAGACACTTTTGTTACAGATTAATAAAGATCATTTAGAGACAAGAAGTATCACTCTATATCTAAAAAGAAGCCTTCAACACAGGGTGAAAGAAGGTGCTGCAGCAATGTGCAGTATGACAGAAAATATGGTGTTTGAAATGAAAATGTAAACCTATTCTGGTACAACCCCTAAATAGCATTTTGAACCTGAAAATGAGCATAATACCACCTCTTTAAAAGAGTTAGTTGCATTGCTGATTTAAAATGAATAATGTAATAGATAGTTTGCAAATTATCGGTTTGGCCATGTTGTTATCTGCAGCAACATAGTCAAAGTATACAATGCACCAGATCATTTTCATCCCAGAACTTTTCTCCTTGTTCATCTTGTCCAATCAGAATACGGCACCATCCTGAAAACTCTCTCCACAACCAATAAAAGCCTTCATGGCTGCTACCTGGAGGAGCTCAGGCTCCTCCCCGAAGGGCAAATCGGACCAATCAAGAGCCTGCAAATCCTCCACAATGACAGATCTTTGATTGTTGGGCTTGATGACAGACTGGTGAAGATCCCATTAGAGCGCTGCTCCAGCTATCCAGCTGAACGGTAACTGCAACGTCAGCTTCCAAGGCGATTTTTCAGATAACAAGTAGCAGATTTATAAAACTTTCAGTCTTGTTTAAAATTGATTAGAAGGAAACTATCAGTGATCTTGGACTTACAAACATATGAAAGTTATAATAACATAAATATGATAAAGTATAAATATTTTGTAATTTTTAAGTAAGCAAATGAAAATCCATTATCTGCAGTCGATCATTTAGTAAAAGTTGCAGTTTAAATCCGGTTTGCTGCTGAGTGTGCAAATGTACTAAATCAACTTGAAAATACTTAAATTGATTTATGAACTTAGTGCCGTTAAAGACACAAACACATGAGGGCGGCCAAGTCTGAAAAGCCCACAGTAAACGCTGACAAAGATGATTATGTTAAGAGCCCAGTTTATTTTCGCTGTGAACAAACTGCTTTTGAAACGTCAGTCTCCGAGCTGACATTACATAAGCAGGCATTTAATGAGTTTGTTGACAATAAATACACTAATAGAATATGTTGACAACCTTACATAATATTGTGTAATATATAGTAGTTTCTCTGTTTGAGTCCCTCTAGCAGCCGTCCTACTATAAACACAATAGAAGTTCTTTAATACAGAGAAACTATTGTACAGATATGCAGACTACTAGAGTTCTTGATGCCATTTTGAATTATTATTTCATAGCAAACAAGACTGTGTTGCAGAAAGACTTATTCAGCAACAATTACCTGACTAATTGTCTGCTACTTATATTAGTCAATGCATGGAAGCACGGGACCCTTACTGTGGCTGGGATCACAAACAGAAGCGCTGCACAACCATCGAGGAGAGCTCCAACATGAACCAGTGGACCCAAAACATCACTGAGTGCCCAGTAAGATGCGCACACATAGTCTGGTGTATTTGTCTGGATAAACACTGTATTTGAAAATGCTTAGCTTTTTATCAAGTGCTCATAAGAAGTTCCTCTGTGGTGAATTTTTAAAGTTAATTATGATTTTTTTATCACATGGGGGGGGGTATCTTCTGCAGCTTTATATTAAGTAATAATAAAGGCATCAAGCTGTAGATTTAGACAAATTTGGTGCAAATTCATGTTCATTTTATCTCCTCTGGAGGTGAGGAACCTGACACAGGATGGTGGTTTTGGTCCCTGGGCACCATGGCAATCTTGTAACCACAATGACGGCGAGGGCTCCATTAGCAGCTGTGTGTGTCGGTCCCGCTCGTGTGACGGACCCATGGCCCAGTGTGGTGGGATCCAATGTAAAGGCCCAACTATCCAGGTGGCAAACTGTTCCAGGTATAGTCTCTTTATGCAGATATTCACCCCTGACCCTCAACCACAGCAGTCTGAATAAATAATTTTGCGAGGCATGTACTGCGAAAACAAGGAGTAATCTTTATTACTTCAGAGATCCATGACCCTATACTGCTGATTTCAGAACACCAAATGTGGCTTAATAAATATGAAAATAGTAGAAAGAGAGGGCGTTATAAAGACTTTATTTACGTTTCCTCTCTCACGCTCTGTTCCTCAGGAACGGAGGCTGGACTCCCTGGTCTTCATGGGGTCAGTGCAGCAGCAGTTGTGGTATAGGATTTGAAGTAAGACAGCGGTCCTGCAACAACCCCTCGCCTCGCCATGGTGGTCGAATCTGTGTAGGCCAGGGTCGAGAGGAGAGGTGAGAAAGAATGTGTTCACATCAGTTTCTGCACCAGGAGCCAGAAATGTCATCTATATGGCTTGAAATGTCATCAGCAGCCATCATTACTACATGAGAGTTAAAGTGACGCCCCTTCAGATAAGATTGACATCAGTGTCTTTGTGTTTCCAGGCTGTGCAATGAGAAAAAGCCTTGTCCCCTGCCAGTGTTGTGGACAGCCTGGGGCCCCTGGGCTCACTGCAGTGGTGAATGTGGAGGGGGGGTCCACTCAAGGACCAGAACCTGTGAGAATGGCAACAGCTGTCCTGGATGTTCCTTGGTACTGTAGTGCTTGTATATTTAAAAAAGGTTAAGATGTTGCCATGCTGAAAAGCATGAGCAATATGTTTCTCTGCAGAGAACAAATGATTTACATAATAATAGATGCTTAAGACTTTCTTGCAAGGGGATGGATTATTGGGTTATTAATGCCCATGGGAGCATGAATGTGCTCAGTAAACTGTGTGGAGATTAACTGGCTAGACTATGGGACTTTGGCCTGTGTAGGGTGTAGACTGCCACACCTACTTCATTTACCTGCAGGTGCTGTGTGTTACAAAGAGGGTGTAACACACAGAGAGATTTACACTGTCCCTCCAAGAACCCAGCCCCATACTCACAAGAGCCCTGATCGACAAGTAGTAGTTGCTAGTGCTGTCAAAAGGACATGATCCCTCACTGGGCTCCCACCCACAAACAATTCCAATTGTGTTTTCTTGGAACCCACGACTGCTTCTCAGTGATTTGACCACTCAATCAGAACTGACTGTGAAGGCATCATTGTGTGTCTCTAGCCAGGAGCAGCCTTCCATGCGGCCTTAAGCTTTAAGCTTTGCCTCTTCACAGCCGCCAGAGTTTAAATAGTCCTATTAAACACTTAAATTAGCTGTATAATCCCTGCAGAAGAAATATTTGTGTTATTCATCAGTATGTGTGAAGGCAGCATTGTGGATCTGCAAGCTGTTCATAGTGAATTACTGAAACAGGGATGTTATGACTTTAGGAGATAAAGAAAAATGCAGTAGAACAGGCAGCAGTAGGTAGGTTTAGATTTTTCATTTGCATTAATGGTGATTTGCTTCCGCCATCCTGTTTTTCCAGGAGTACAAGGCCTGTAACCTGGAGGCCTGCCCTGAGGTGCGCCGCAACACCCCCTGGACTCCCTGGATGCCAGTCAACGTCAGTCAAGATGGGTCAAGGCAAGAGCAGAGATTCAGGTACACCTGCCGGGCGCTGCTTCCCGACCCCCAGCAGCTCCAGCTGAGTAAGAAGAAGGTGGAGACCCGGTTCTGCCCAAATGACGGGTCTGGAGCCTGCCAGACTGACTGTGAGTACTGGGAATGAACAGGGGACATTTAATTGAAACATCAGCTTAACAGCTCTTCTGCTTCTCATTTGTTGCTCTGCAGTGTTAGCAAATCACAAATTCAGCCATATTTCCCTCTTTTTTTCTGTCAGTTGCCAGCAGGTGTGCTTGATTGTTACCATGGAAACACAGCTGGAGTGGTAATTACCTGCTAGACTACTGGTGTAACCAGATGCCACCTTAAATTGGGGATAGGGTGGCAAAATTTAGGTTTAAAGTAATCTTTATTTTTGGATTAGACCGGTCTAAAAACAAAATTAATTCTGGTCTAACTCTTTAAGTAAGTAAGTTTATTTATATAGCTCCTTTCACAGGTCAAAGTCCCAGAGTGTTAAAAAATATCAATCTATTAACAGGCTAAAAATCAATGTTCTACCAACCTGTGGACAGTCTAAAACTATGATCACAAATCCTCCTGCTTCAGTGTGTGACTGTCCATATGCTGCTATTAAACACCACTGCACTATTTTAGGTCACTCTGTCTCGTTTTTATCGTTTTGCTTTTGTATACATTTATAATTGCATCTATGTTGTTTTATTTATTTATCTATTTTGTGTTTATGCTGCACACTACCGAAGAGCTGCTAAAAAGATTTACATTTATTTGAGCGAAATCTGTTATATTCTATTAATTTATTATACTTTATTCTCATCTGTATTTGTCGTTTTTTTAAACTTGTATATAATGCGACATCATAGCAAATGAGGGCAACCTCAATGGTTCTTCGAGTTTAAATAAAGGTTTGGAAAGAAATTAAATGTACTGTATCTGTAAAACCAGCTCAGTTGAACTGTCTGTGGTTGGTCTTTGTGCTGCTGGCAGCAGAGCTCCAAGTTTGCCACAATAAACACTGCTGGTCTCATGAAAAGCAGGATAGCCACACTGTATGTAGACATCAATGAGCAGATTGATTAAACATCACTGAACCGTCATGGGGAGGCCCACGTCCAGTTCCTCCATCCTTTAGAGAAATGCTTCATGGAATCAGGTTCAGTACAGAATTGGTATTTACTCCAAAATAGGTAAAGCTGACAAGGTGAAAATGTAATCGCTTGTCTACAGAAACATTTCTGCTGGCCTCATTGAAAGCCTCAGGAAGTACTCCTCATTCATATGTAAATCATTTGTGATTGTGGATGCCTATGCGTGTGTGGCAGGTGTACCGGGAAAAACTAGTTCATTTTAAAATGTGACCCACATTACGCCTTACTAATTAATGCTTCATAAGAGGCTGTCTGTCTCCTGAGGTTGGTAATAACAAGATAAAATCCTGCTGTCTGAACTCCATGGAAAATTTATAAGTTTTGATTTTCTGAGCAAGACACTCGCTCAGCAGGGTGGATCTGAAGATATCCCCATCAACTTTCACTCTTTTTTCTTTGAGTGAAAGTTGTTTCAGTCTTTTTTTTTCTCTTTCTCGCTGCTCCAGCACTTTGTTTATCATCTCAAATGGATTAGTAAAAATCATTATTTATGGTGTTTTTGTGTATTTCCAGCTCTGGTTGAAGACTTGGTGAAGACCAGTGGGCGAACTCTGTCCCAGCCGCAAGGTGTGCGCTGGGGATCGTGGGAAACGTGGTCCAGCTGTTCTCAGAAGTGCTCCAGAGGCTTCAGAACCCGGAAACGTAGCTGCTCGACGGCAGAGGGCAGGACCAACCCCAGCGCCTGCGTAGGATCCCCGGTGGAATATCAGGAGTGCAACATTCAACCCTGCCCAGGTAACAGGGAGGTCCTGGCTGTCACTTAAAGTTGCAATACCAGAATATGTACATTACATAAATCAGGTTTATTACGTGTGTGTGTTCCAGTGAGTGGAGCCTGGTCTTGCTGGTCCTCCTGGTCCCAGTGCTCAGCCACCTGTGGGGGCGGACACTACCAGCGAACTCGGATGTGCAGCAACCCGCCCCCTGCCATTGGAGGAGACATCTGTATAGGCCTGCACACTGAAGAGGCGCTCTGTAATACGCATGCCTGTGAAGGTATGACAGCATATGTATAGCTGCATTATGGAAAAGTTTCATCTAAAACCTTTTACTTTGAATTATATTTAATGGCTCATAATGCATTAATAATATATACAAGCTCTCAGATTTGGCTGTGGTATAATTAATTAAGAAATTATTTAGCAAAATAGCTGACTGCTACGGCTGACTTTTTTGGTACAGCTACTGGAGACACCAAAAAATATTGATATTGTACTGACATTGGCTTTAATTGCAATTTTTGTTAGTAGTATTGGTAGCAGTAATAGTAGTGGACAACGTGAATAATTTTATGCTTTTGCATGCTGGTTATTTTAATTGACATTCTTTTCTGACCCTGTGTTCATTTTCATTTTGCTGTTTTGCTTTGTACTTTGTCACTTTGTTTCCAAAAGTGCTATACAAAGTTATTGTAATTTATCATAAGTGTTACACCATAAATACACTCCACAGATGGACACTGTCTCCACAGATTAAATAATGGTGTTTGTATGGACACTGATGGGAAATCTCCTCCACACAGCAAGTAGTGAATCAATATTTGGGTTGAGAAGGCAAACAATGTGGTTGTTAGAGACTATCCCTGCATGAATTGGCTGAAAGTCAGAAAACAAACAGTTGATAAAAAAGACTCAGATTTTACCATTGACCACAACGGGGTGTGTAGCTTTATTTCTTTCAAATTTAAATGAAAGTAAAGACGTGGAAAGCAAATTTGGTGTAAAAAGCTTCTCATTTTACACTTGATAAGTAAACACAGTAACCCAGTAGGCACACAAGGAGGCTGAACTGTGACTGGCTGTTGGCTGGTGATGGCCGTTTTTACGTGGCCAACATTTCTCAACATGCACACTGTTTGAATGAACAGTGTCCGTTTAAGTATATCTCATTACAAGCAGATACTTCTTACTGCCTTTTTTGTCCTGTCAAGAACCACTTTTATGATGGAGGTTCAAAAAGGAACCCACTACAGTTACTGAGCCTTTTCCTAGAAAGCAGACATGGATTGGTCTGGTTACATAATCCCATTAAATTCTTGGTAAATACCTTTTTTCTTAGAATTTTGGTCGCTTTCTTTTAAAGTGGAGATATGTAATATTTATTGGCAGTTTCATGCTTATGCTGCATCTATACCACAGGAAACAGAAGATAGAATGAAACAGAAACAGATCCCAAAATATTATTGTATATTTAAAAAAAAGAATCTGCTCCTTTTCCAACAATCTAGCATTCACAATAACAAGAGATTTTTAGACATTATTTTTCTATTTCTATTTACTTTGTCTTTGTTTATTGAACAGAATGTGAAGTTTCAAATGTGCTTAAAAACAGGTTGTATGTATTGACACTAGAAGATCAAATCTGTGTCCCAAACCTGCTTGGAAAGTTAAAGAAATCAGCCTCCTGGATTTACAATAAAGCAATGGCGGTAAACCACACAGACAGAAAACCAATAAATGTTCTTGTGCCTTTGTATTATTTCAGTTTCTCTTTTTCAGTCTCGAGCTTTCATTCCTTCTGTCCACTCTTTTCTTTGGTCATCAGGTTGGGGTGAATGGACAGAGTGGGGGGACTGTGATGAGGAGGGTCTGCAGCATCGCACTCGTCGCTGTGGTGAGGACCAGGAGGCTGAGGCCCGTCTCTGCCAGGGCAACATCACCCAGTCTAGGCAGTGCCAGCCTCATGAGGTGCCAGGTAAGCACATGCTTTTATTAGTAAATTGCTGGAACAAGTTTTCTGCAAATAGTCTGCAGACAGCTGCTGATATAAACTGGAAAAATCCAGTTAGTCATACAAATGTTTAATCAGACAGTGAATGCTGACTTGTTCACTCCGTGTAGAAATTAAAATAAATAATGATTTAAAGGAGATGTCAGCATTCTGCCTACTTCCAGAACAGTGAAGCCTTTGAGAGAAATTAATTGGTCTAGTCATTTTTGTTGTTTGATCTTTTGGAGCTGCAGTGATTTTACTTCACTACATTTTTTTCTCTCTCTGTTTTCATTTCTGTCTGTCCGTCTCTCCCCAGTCATTTTACCCGGACAGGAGGACACGAGCTGTGGAAGTGAGTAAGAATAAGTGATGTCTCTTAAATGATTATACTTTGTTCCCATCTCACACACACCTCCTGTATATGTGGGCTCCTCTGTTTTATGCCTTCAATCTCCTGTTATATCCAGAGTAAATCTATTTTATGTTTAATTTCAGTCTCTGAAAATGTAGCAACATCTAGTTATTGTTGCAAAGTTACAAAGTTATTGGCAGTTGGTAACATATTGACTTTTGCTTGTGGCATCAGACTGGGCAAACTGTAGAGTCAGAATTGCCCTTTTGATGAAGTCAGATAGCAGCTACACAGTGACATCAAGTCCCAGTATAATGAAGGTTTCTCCTTCACTGCCAGATCCCTGAAATGTTGTCTAGAGCCACCATTAAGATTTTCCTGACATTGACACCTGATAAACGTTTGATTTGCTGTGGATATTCATGGCCTCCAGTGGATGATGTTTGCCCACTCTTGAAAGTACCATCAGTCCACAATTTCTGCTGTACACAATAAATGTCAACATCTCATTTTAAAAAGGTTATGATCTTTCCTGTAGTGTCCCCCTGAAGTAAAATGGTCAATTTTGAATTGCATTGACCGTCCACTCTGGCTATCCATACTTGAGGTCTCCATTATGATAGTTTGTCATTCAACACGGTCATGCTTTCCAGAGGATCTCTACCCAAATTGGTCGATAACATGACCCTTCTTCTAGTTCCATTTTTAGACCATATGATCGACTTTGCGTACCATATAATGAATTTGGATGAAGTTTATGGTGAATATTCATGGTCCCGTGAGGATGAACCCCATTGCTTTGATCATTTCATCATGTTATAGGCTGATTACCATGTTATTTGTTGAGCACATTCAGGTTCCTCAGAGGAAGAAACTTAAGCTGATAAGTTCACTGAATTGCCATTTCGTTTCCACTTCATTATTTTGTCTAAAATTGCGTCATGTTAGCTGTTTGCGAGGGGTTGTTATTGTCCCTAACCAATCAGTAATGACCAATTTATCTGTCTCATCTAGGTCATTTTTATTATTTCGCCCATTCCTGACTACAAACCTCTTATTGGCTCAGTTGTGTTTCCATCCAGTGAAACAGCTGCCAATGAGCACATCACCAAGTCTATTTGAACCACTAAAACATAAATGAGATGTTCAGCTATTCAGAGGTTTCAGAGGAACCAGACTAGGAAAACCTCTTAAAGTTGTTCATTCAATGACTTGTTGAGTGTAATGAAGAATTTAGCCTCCAACGGCCTCTTGCATAACAGGAGTTTTCATCTTGTTACACAGAAGCATTATGTTTCTAAAGCCTGCCCTCAAATCTGCCTCATTCCAGCTCAAAGGTTTACACCACCTACTACATAGACTCCTCGGGGTTATATCATATCTATAATCTCCTTGCTGCAAATGTTAATTGTTTCAGCTAATTTCTCCATATGATCCGAACCCAGTCCCTATCAACAACAATTAGTCTACATGTTTCAGTCTTCAGTGCCCCCATTTGTCTCATCTTCTCTCTTTCCCTTCTTCCCCTCCAACCCCTCTGTTCCCAGCCTTTACTTTGTTCCAGTTGGTAGCTGTGGGCTCAGCCAGTTTCTTTGCCGCAGCGTTACTGTCAGCGCTTGCCTACTCCTACTGCCACCACCTGAACCGACCATCAGCAGAGTCATCAGTCATCCACCCCAGCACACCCAACCACCTTACCTACAACAAGCGGGGCAACGCCACGCCAAAGAATGAGAAGTACATCCCCATGGAGTTTAAGGTGGGCTGGTTCAATTGTTTGTCATTATATACCTAAATTGTAGGAACAATTGTCTTTATTAGACAGTTAAAGAAGAGAGAGACAAGTAAAAGTGAGGAAGAAATGTGACAAAGTAACTGAAGTCTTAGTTTTGGAATGGTGATTATTTTTGTGCCTTTTATCTGACAAAAACTTTTCTAAATGTTTCCTCACTACAGACGCTAAACAAGAACAATCTCCACGTAAACGATGAGACGTGCAACCACTTCCCCTCACCGCTGCCCTCCAGCAATATGTTCACCACAACCTACTACCCTCCCAGCCTGAGCAAGTATGACTTCCACCCAGACTCCCCCTGCAGGACCTACATGCACAGCTGAGGGGAGGCCAGGCTCTAAAAGCAAACCAAGTTCTCATTCAAAACATTTCAAAAGATTTTGATAGATTGTACTGTCGGTCAAGAAAGACACCAAAATCATTCTTGTGTTGCAGTCTAATTTGTAGATCTGTTAATGAAATCTTAAAAGCTTGGTTAACCCAAATTGCATCCTTTTCTGATATCTTGCCATGCAGATAGTTTCTGTTTTATTTGCCCAGGTTTTGAGAAATCTCAATGTTTTATGGTATTGACCGAAACTAGAAGAAATTCAGCACCAACATCTCTTTCCAAAAACAGTGTTTCCTTTATTCTGGATACTCCACAGACCTCCTTGCAAACAGTTTAGTAGGGGCCATTTCTTCAGAAGAAAGTTGTTCCAGTTTACCAATTCTGTGTAGATACTCTATGAAATTTATGGCTCTTAATTACATATGTAAAATGTTTTACATCATAAGTTTTTAAATTTCTAAGTTGCTACAGCATGCAGAGTTTAAGGCTTAGAGCATACACCATATCCACCACATACAATCAAATTATACGCACATGCTATCGCGTCCAACACTTAGGCTGGCACTGTGGAAAAACGTTTGTTAGCCATCTGAAGGTTTAGTCACATTAGCCTTCCATACAACAAAATTCCCACCTTCACTGAACACGGAAAGCACACTAGTCTATGAGTATGATGCTGCAGTTTGGATTCTGGTCACGTAATATTCTACAAGATGGTGGACTACGGTGTAAATTCACAGGACAAACTTGAACTAAATTAAAATGAAACCAGCACCTACAGTACAGGTGTCCCCTTCTACTTACATAACCCACCCTGAGGTTCTCTGTGTGTGTGCTCAGGGCATTGTGGAAGCAGGGTAGGACCCAGAGCTCAAGGCTTTCAGACATTGTATGTACCTGGATATCCACCGGACTGAGAAGAGACTCATCTGATGGTTATTGCTTTCGGGCATTTTTGGCATGTGAGGACTCATTACTACTGTATCTTGCTTGGACACTAGTTAAGTGTGGGCTGTCATCAGTAAAGGCTGATATCTATGAGTAAAAACCACAGATTTCATGCTTCACAGCATGTGAATGGAGCAAAGAAATTAACAGAGTTGAAGATTTCTGGCGTATTTGCTTTAATTTTTATGTTTAGCAGAGTCCACATTGGAAAACAACACTGACGAGGACATTTTTGACACACCTCGCTATGTACTGTACATTGTTGAAAATGTAAGGTTGTCAACTGTTCTGTCAGCAGGTTATATGAATTATTTTAGGGGTGTTCACAGATGTCACCATATCTGTATCTGCTGAAAACAAAATGATTTGATTTTGTAAATATATGGGGCATTTTTCAGTGTTTCAGTCACACTTCTATTTTCCATCAGGAGTGTTAATGCATTATGGTTACTGTTAAAAATTACCCAATATAATACAGCTATGTCTTTATTATCTTTCATGAACACGCCATAAATCAGCCATAGGCTTTTTTTAAAGGATTTCACACTTTCAACTGTAGTGCCATGCAAGAAACTCTCAAGTCTCTACATTTTGTTTTATAATGTACTGAAATGAATGGAAATCAAAGGCTGCCCAAAAGCAGGTGAAACATCTATCAGACTTTTAAATGCAGAAAATGTTATGCAGCAAGGTAATAAGTTCTGATTAGCTATGCTAAACATAAAGTGCACTAAATGTTTTTTTCTTACATTTCTGAATACAAGTAATAGTGAGCAAATTTGGAGAGAACTAAAAAACACTTTATTTGGACTTTTTACACTCTTTCATGTTCCTCCAGGTGCTCCAGTTTGCTTCCACAGTCCAAAAACATGTAGGTGAACTAGATACTCTAAAATGAGTGTGAATGACTGTCTACATGTGTTGCGTATGAGGTATAAATGCTCACAGAGTGTGACATTACCTGGATAACTGGTGCTTGTATGAAAATGTTTTTCACATTCCTGTTGCTTGTTTCTGTGCATTATGTAGGCATTATACTTACATGAGTGTTACATGTTCCCAGTGACGTACACATTTGGTAATGCCTTTGTTTTAGGGGTCCATAATTTCTGAAGAAAACAATGTAATTTAAAAGAAATTATAGGGGAAAATAGGAATGTCCTTGATGGAATTGCTTCATTTAAAGCTAAGTAAATACATTTCATATATTCATTCATTTTCCCTCCACTATTAGAAACTTTATTCTCCATGTATGTTGAATACACCTGCCTGCTGTAAACTAAAGGTATCTTGAGGTTAGGCAAATAATTGGAAGTGTACCAATTGAACATAATCTCTGTTTTCCCTTGGAAATTATTCTGAAATTACACGTTTTCTACTGCTGACAGCCCAAAGTAGCAGGCTATTAAAGCAACTACGTGCTTAAAAAAGACTCTGCACGCCTTACCTTTATGAATCTACACATAGGGGCTTTAAATAATATTTGTCCTTTAAAACAAGTTCAAAATGCTGTCGTTTAGGTTTCCTGTCACATTTCAGTGTTAATATTTAAGTTACTAGTTGCTGTAAAATATATATTGCATATTGTGTTTCCAAACTGTAAATACCAAGAAATGTATTCAGGTGTTTCTCACAACTTGCAGTGTAATGTAGCATGAAACAAACAGCCCTGATGATAGGTGTTCATGTTTGGGTGCTTGGGTATGAGTGACTGCATGGGCTGACACTTACATCAATAAACAGTACATGTTTGTGTAAACTGTACAAATATGGTTGTATGTATTTGGCCTAAATAATGGGAATATTCATTTTCAGACAGAAAAGGTTGTGTTTTGTATTCAAAAGCCTCGACAGCCTTTTTGCTGTGAAGTTGGAAAAACCATTGCACATTGGATACAGAATATCTTCACAATTTGTCAGTGGATCCATAAATGGATTTGTTTTGTTCGCAAAAGACACTTCTGCTGAATATCATTTATGTGAATATGATTTATGTGAATTTGACTTAACACTGCCTTTTGGACACTGTGAACTTTTGGTACTTTATATTTTTGTATAATGTGCACTGTAAAAAAAAAAGAAAAAAAAAAAAGAATAAATCAATTTTGGTGCCAATGTTTTGGTTATCCATGCTAAAAGCTTAACCACATTTTCACATATATATTTTGACTTTCCTAATCACAAATATTCTCAAAAATATTGTACACTTGCATAGTATCTTTAACTATCTTAACAATCTTGGATGAAGACAACTTATAGTGTTTAAAAGAATAATCAAGTATATTAAGGGTAGTAAAACATACCTCACTGATAACACATTTCAAAAGAGTAAAGAAAATATTCATGGTTGAGAAACTTTAACAGTTTTACAATTCCAAGAAATAACAAAGATGTAGGGTTCACTGCCAGTAGCTTTTTTTTGTCCAGTCAGACGTTGTTTACAGTGGTTTTATTTTTTTCTTTTAAGTGGTTTGGCTGATACAGGAGCAGGAGGACAACCGTTACAAGGTGCTCTCCTTAGTGACTTCACTCCCTCAACTTCCTTTGTGTCTTTAATAATTAACATTGCTTGACAGAAGACAGGCATGCAGGTAAGTCAACAGGTCCACAATATTTTCCTGTGTACCATAGTGATTGTGTTTCTATTTTTCATGTAGGTGGGTCAAGAGATCTTTACAGATGAATAATAGAAGCAATGGAAGCACCTGGTGCAGGTAATGGCGGTTTGAATAGATGTAACTAGAAAAAGTAGTTGTTTATTTATTTACATTAGATAATTTATCATTTAAATTTGCACACTAGCCCACCGATGTCCCACTTGGGGCTAGTTTTCCCACATGGGCCCCACCTTATCAAATCTATAGTGGCTATAATGCAAATAAATGCAAAGTACCTCAGTACCTTATGTGGTACCTAGGCAAGAGTGCACATGGACACCACTTAGCCCTTTGGCACCATAGGCCACATAGGCACTCATGGAGCCCACGTGGACATAATGCTGCGATATAAATGTCTTTAAATGGGTGATTTCAGAAGAAGGTGGAACAGAATTAGATCTGTCGATTGTCCAGTGTTAATTTACTGCTGTCTTTAGCTGACAGTGAGTTTAATGAGATAAAAGGCACTGCTAGGCTCACTTCTTGAAAATCCTGCCATGGTTGATGCTGCAATCCTGTTTGTGTTTCCACTCGACACTCGGGTCAGCAGCACAGCCTGATCACGACACTAAACAGCTGGTCCCTTGGTAGAAAAGCCACACCTCACTGCCTGAAGGTACACAACACATACCTGTATAATTAGCAGAGTAAAACACTGCTGAATACACACATGTAACTATGTTTTTCTGCCTGTGTATGTGTTGAAGTGGACTTGTGACCTGTCCTGCATGTATTTCTGTATTTGACACATTGCATGTTGTGATAGACTCCAGTCTTGTATGGACACTAAAGCTAACTCACTTAAGTATTTTTAATATCTATTTTATGAAAGGTGGATGATGGATGACTAAAAAACAGTGTCTACCCATCTACTGCCAAGTATTTTAAACCAATTTGTTTTCACATCATTGCTCTGAACAGACTGCACTCCAGCGTTTCTTGTTCATAGTCCAGTGAGCAGCACTGTTCTGCTATCTGGGAGTTGAATCTGCTGGTAAAACCACTGGGTCACTCGTGCATTATATTTATTTATTTATTTATCTGAATGTCTTTTTTCCCTGCCATTTAGCAACTGGAAAAAACTGGAGCAAAAGTCCATAAATATTACACATAGCACAGAAGATGTATTTGAATTCATAAAGGCAGTTTGCTTGTTTCATGCTGCACATAAAACTCAATATCTTAATTTAATTAGAAAGGGTCAGTCACCAAGTATAAGTTCAGTCTTATTCTCAGCACCATGGTGTGTTTTTTAAAATTCCTTATAAATTGTTTCTGGAGAAAAAACTGAGGAGATCATGAAGGTTTTTACAAAATCACTAAAGCTGGTGATACACTGTATGATTTCTTTAGAGTCAGACTGAAGTACAGCTTCGTTTGGAATTATTTGCCGTACAGTGTACAGTGGGGAGTGAGGACCGATAAACTGCTCCAGAACGGCTGATAGACGCTACCATCAGGAAGTTGTGTTGGCTGATGTCAGGTTCTCACACAGTTGAAGCAGAGCGAGAACTGACTATTTTCAATAGCCAAAAGGGTCCACAGGGGCTAACAGACCTTTTAAATTTCTATTTACATGTACACGGTGAGCTTTCAGGTTGTGGCTTGACGATCGGACCATACAGTGTGAACACATAAAATGTGAGCTTTGGCTTTACATCACAGACGATTTACTTGTACAGTAGGAGTTGGAATTAAACAATAACATTTCTAAGATCTGACTGTGTGTGTCAGGCTCATATCATTAGGATTCATTCTCTGGGGACGATGACTGTCTGCACAACATTTCATGGCAATCCATTGAATAGTTACTGAAATATTTCAGTCTGGACCAAAGTGGTGGCCCAACTGACAGACCATGGCTAAAAAGGAAGAAAAACAACTTAATCCTCCCACTTTAAACATGGTTAATCCACCAGATTCACAAGATTTGCCTGATCAAAGTATGTCTGAACACTGAAGACATAATAATCCCATGAAACAAAGTGGGTAATTTTCTTATTTGACAGATATAAAAGTGCTGAGAGTCACAGAGAGCTGCATGACATTTGTCGCTTCTAGGTCTCCATATGTCACATGCTTCTTCTGTATAAGCCACAAATACAGTTTCTTTTTACTTTTGTTTGTTGTGCAAGTGGACCATGATATTTTTGTCCATGAGAAAGTGCTTCATATGTGGACCATTCCTACATGTACACAGGTTCAACTGACTACATGGGGGAGATGGCTATATAAAGCATAGTGACAAAGATATTTTGAGGCTGTCCATGTAGCTTTTTTGTCGGACAGGTGAGTGCAGAGAAACTCTTGCAGAAAAAGCAAACCAAAGATGTGGACCACTTACTCTCGCCTGAGATCGCCTGATCAACCGCAAAGTGGTCTTGGTTATTTTTGCACACCGGAAGGGTTGGAAAAGAAAAACCATAGGTACAAGGCGCTCTAGCTGGCATTGCAGCTTCTCAAAAGGCAGATGTAAAATATGTCTAGTTATATTTCTGCAGGGCTTCTTGACATGGAAGACAATTTCTGCACCACAGACAAAACAATAATGGTCTCCCAATTCATAGTCTGGATTGTTAGAATGATGCAGGCAATGAAGGTCCTTCTGAATGCTCGACAACTCCTGCTCATCTTCCACAATAAGATGCACTCCACTGTTTGAGCACTCCTAATCAACTCACAGAGTCAACTTTCATGCTATCACACCTATATTCAATAGTTCCACTGTTTTAGTTTTGAGACAATATTTCAAAGGTTACCACAGGAAGTGTAAATGTCTAAAGAAGCAGAGAGCCGCCATTGTGCTTGTAATTTGTTCCCCAAGAAGGTAAAGTATATTTTTATCTTAGCATAACAAAATTGTTTTCTTGTCATAACCAATTAATTATCTCAAGAAAATATAGGGTCATTTCAATGAGAATGGAAATATAATCTTGTCATCTAAGAAGTCTTGTTGTTTTCCTGAGAAAACAAGATGATTATCACGAGAAAATAGAAAGGATGTATTTCTGCAATTAATTGATAAATCGTTTAGTCTATAATGTCCAATGTGACTTATTCATTTTTATAGTTTATAGTACAGTATACAACATCACCCTCTAGACCTGCATTTGTTTTTATAGTTAATTGTCTTGTTTTGGTTGACCAAGAGTCCAAATATAAAATGTTATAAACAGTCCAAATTATAAAAAGAGAGAAAAGCTGAAAATCTTACTTTTTGAGAGGCAGTTAAAAGCATTTACTTGGTATTTTTGCTTGAAAAATTAAAAATCATTAATCAATTATCATAACAACTGACAATTATTTAGAATTAACTAATATATTAAATGACTAATTGTTTCAGCTATACTCTCAAGTTCCTACAACCCAAAAGGCAAATCACAATTCATAGTTAAATATGCCAAAATATGAGCAGCAGGACATCTTGAGATAATGAAAACACGATTGCAGCCATATCCACTCTTGGCTTCTGTAGATGCCAGTGGTAAGTCTGAAACAAACTCCACCATACCTGAGTTTAATACAGTGGTGGTATTTCACATAAAATCACATGATGGACAGCAGTGCACCAGGTTAAATGTAAATGCTTTATATCAACATATGTATTTGCCAACACAGCCGGTTGATTATTTACATGCTTCAGGGGTATTTTCAATGATCTAGTTTGTGTGTATTTATCATTTGAAATGTGTCTGTCAACATGATATTTCACTCTTGCACAATATATTGTGGGATATTGATGTTTAGGTCTAAATATTACAAATCAGAAACATCAATAATCCACTATTCCTACACAACAAAAGTGAAAGTTTAAACCCCAAACATGATAGTAGAAGCCTGGCTGTTGAAGGTAGAAATACACTGTATTCTTCAATAGGATGCATCATTTCAGGTGTCTGTGGATCAACATCACCCTCTAGACCTGCAGCAGTGAAAACACACTTTACACTTTAACACACTCCCAGTTGCTTTAATTTTGATAATGCTGCCATCTGCTGGGCAAAATGGGAGATGAGTTTCCTGAAGGAAAGAACATGCTGTATTGTGTTGGTACATTACTAACATTAACATCAATTACTATAATAAAGACACCTTCAAGGCTTAAGTGCTAATTCTTTACTCACTACTTTTTCAAAGCAGCACATATTTGTTTGTTTAATTAAAACATACTGTATGGTTGTTATTGCTTTATTTGGACTCCTGTGAGCTATGTATTTCATGTCCTATTGAAATTATATTCAAACACAGAAATGCATGCTGACTTTGGGAAGCATTTATTGGGAATTAATTGGTTGCAATCCAGACTCCTAAGGTCTAAAGGAAGATTTTTCACAGTCCACTGTCCACAGCACATCTAGCCACACACACAAAGAAGGTGCTGGAACAAAGTGTTGTGGACTGATGAAACAATGATTCTTTGGCCACACTCACAAGCAGTATGTCTGGGGAAAATAGGATGTGTACAAAGCTTTTAAATAAAAGAACTTGGCAACATTAAGCATGAGGATGGATCTGACATAAGGGGACAAAGAACAATGCAGCTCAGCACACACACTGCAGCACGAGGATACTAAAGCTACACAGAGTATTTACTTTTAGACTTGTCTTTGCCTTTTTGTTCTTGTGAATTTATGGATAATTATCTAAATAATAATCTAAAATATCTCAGATAACAACTTTACTTTTTGGGTGACTTTAACCTTTGACAACGGGTGTCAAATCGACATTGTTTCGTTTTAAAGGCTCACAAGCCAAAACGTTTGGGAACCACTGACTTAAGATAACCAACAAGACAACAACAACAATATTGGATGTTTTTTCTTCATTTGCTTACAATAAATTGTAGCATAAATCTGTGAATCGTTAATTAGGCTACTGCGTGTTGCTGGTTTGAGCATAACACTATTTTAGATACAGGAAGGGGGCGGGGGTCTTAATTTAGCCTACTACTCCGGCTAAATTAAGACCCCCATCCCCTTCCTGTTTCTAAAATAGTCCGTCCATCACTCAGGCGCATCTGGTTTTGAGTGGCGCGAGCGGCAGCAGTGTGCATGACGAGACTCCCAGCGCGCGCAGCAGGAACAAGCGGAACACCTGTCTCGAGGTGGACGGTTGAGAAAGCACACAGCTCGCGAGCGCTCATGTTCTGCTGTGTGGCGTGAAGCTGGAGCACGCAGCCCGGAACCCGCCACCTCTCCGCTGGGCTGGACCGGAGCAGCCAGCGCTCTGGACCGATGTCCTGGCCGAAATGTCCCGACACATCTATATACGGAACAAGATTGGCGAGGGCATTCAAGCGCCCATCTTTCAGGTAGGTAGTTTCTGGAAAAACTGATTGGCTATTTAGTTTCAAATCGGCGGCAGATAGCCTAGCTTACAATAAAATATTTTAAAACCCCCGAGTAAACACTGTTTACCCGTGTGTTTGGGACAGGTTACATCCAAATATATGGTCGACTTTACACCAGGAGAAAGTATTGGGTGATAGCCTCTCTTCTTTAATTTCAACACCTTTTACTAAAACTACTAGCCAGAAAAGAAACCAGACTCATTGTGACAGCTTGCCCTGACTGTTATAAGAAGTTACAAGTGTGGAGATGGTTAATGGACCTTTTCGCATTAAAAACTGTGACAAATAAATAGGTATAGACAAAAAGTTGTTGTGAAATACCCATCTGTATGAACATGGACACACATTACATGAGGAACACTTAAGTTACCTTTGACACCTTTTTAAATGATTTAAATATAGAGCAGAGAGTCATTTTTACTAAGTATGCGGAGTCTTAAATTAATAAGATAGGCCTATTAATATTTAAAAGTACATGGTTGAAGAAGTCCATTTTTGTTTACAGTTCTTGGGCATTAATATGATACATTGTTATAGCAGAGAAACAGTTTAGTGCAGTCTAGAGAAGCAAGAGGATAAAAAGAAGGTGTTTCATTGTTTTGACCTTTTTGACATGCAGAAGGGCTCTTTATATTTTCTGCATGTTGTTAATTTGTTTTCATTTTTGGAATAATTGATGTTATTGTGATTATGAAGTGTTATCATGTTATTGATTGAGTAACTGGAAACAGGGTCAGTCTTGCGAGGGGCACAGAAGTTTGTTAGTCTTCATGATTTTCTTCAGTGAGAAATTGATCTTGTGCTCCGACCTGAGAAATAACATGAAATATCCACAATGAAAACAGACTTGAATTACAGAATATGATTCCACTTGGTGTTTTAAAAGTCATATTGTAACCATGTTGTCCTGTTAACCCATGTAAGACATTTTTTGTTGCATTTTAATCATGTCTAATTTCATCCAGTTGAAATACTTCACTTGTACCTTGTCTTCCTTACCACAAAGCAACAGCACCGTGGTGGGCTTCAGTAACTAACATCAGTTGTAAAACAAAACAACAGCATTTTATTGAAATAAAATAATGCTAGGTGGACCACAATTTATACCTAATATAGCAGGATGATTAAACATTTTATTAAAAGACTTAAATGTTTCAGGTGTATAATGTGCCTTATAAAATTAGTAGATTTTGGCTGAGGTTCAGCATGTGTATATATAAAGAAATGGCCCTTGCTAGAAAATAAAAAATATTATTTATTTTATTTGATCACATTAATATCATACTGATATTAATAGCAGGGTATTCATAGACTAAGCTAACTTTATCCTTCATATTTCTCCTTGGCTTTTGGCTTGAATTGAGAGACAGAGGAGAGATGGTGACCCAGATTAATGGCCCCGTTTTATAAATTCAGGGAAGTAGGTTCTGACTTTTTAACAGTGACATTGTCATCAACTCTAGAGAGTTATACAGAAATGGGGCAAATCACTGGCAGATAATTAATTTAGCTCCCTGGAGATGAACTCTGCTGGTATATTTGGACTTTGTGGAAGTGAAAAAGAAAGAAAGTAAGGGGAAAAGTAAGTGGGCAAGACAAACCCATAAAAGCAAAAACAGAGTCTGAGCCATATTTGGTTGTTACATGTATTTTGTTGGTGTTGGGATGTGAATGAAGGTCACCTTGCATCATGTATTAGCTTGATGTGGCTTCATTGAATGCTTCACTCACACAATAGCAGACATACAGACGTAACAGATGCTCATGAAGGAAAAGTTCAGAAACGTATTATCAATAAAAACTGTTTCTGCTGGTTGAGATTGTCTTTTTCCATACAGGTGAATCGAGGGACTTATTCTAGGAGGAGCCGCCTGAAGAGGTCTGATGGCAGCACCACCTCCACCAGTTTCATCCTCAGACAGGTACTGAAATGCAAAGAAAGGTGTCAGGATTTTGGATGAAGTGCAACAGGAGGGAGCCCAAACGCAAGACACTGGAGCAGGAGATAGAGTTCTGGGATTTTATTAACACTTACGGAATATACTGAAAGGTGCAGACAAAGTCCAAAAAGGCAGATAATCCAGACTCTAACAGAATACTCTTCCAAACCACAAGACTGAGTGTGAACACTACAATGACCAGACAAAGACTCAGGGGAAACAAGCAAGGATATATACACACAGGGTTAACGAGCTGGGAGGAGACACACAGGTGAGGGACATGAGGCTAACGAGACACAAGCTGGCAGAGCGATAACTGGGAAAACAGACGGAAAACTTGACAGGCAGACATGGGGCAAAATAACAACCAACACAGACAGAACACATGTTAAAAAATAACAGACAAGAATCCAACTTCAGACAATAACGGAAACCCATGTAAACAGACAAACACCGACCAACTATAACACAGGGATTATAACAGACAAAACCTAAACGAGAACACAGAACTAGAACACAGAGTACAGAGCAGACTAAACCAACAGACAGGATCGTGACAAAAAGCCTGGGATGCTAGGATGTAAAATAGAAAACTGTAACTGTCACACAGAAGTGACAGACAGAGATTTGATACACTTTGGCTGGGTTCTTTATTGAGGAGTGTAAGAAGTGTGTGTCTTCTTTAAAAACACTAGAAATATTAATTGGAGTATAAAGGACAGGCCACGTAACCAGTAAGTTTATAGACTCAAACCACTTTGTTAACCTTCTGTGCACACGGTTTATGGTTAAAGACACTCTGTGGAGTTTGTCACCACTTGTGGGGCTGTGCAGCAATTTATAGGTGAGCATATTACAGTCTTCTACCAGGACATGTGTTAGAAGGCAAGTGTATGACACAACCACATGTGACATGATAGACATTGCTGTCGACGGCAGAGGGCAGTAATTTTCTGCCAGTAAAGAATCAGAATCAGAAGGAGCTTTATTGCCAAGTAGTGTTTTACACATACAAGGAATTTGCTTTGGCGATAAGGTGCTACACACAGACAAACAGTTGACATAAATAAATGTAGAAATATATAAATATGGAATAAACAAATGCAAGAATAATAAAAGAATTGAGAAAAATAATGCAACTATTTGCAGAGAAGGAACAATGTGGCAGATATTTACATGTGCATTACTCCGGTTTGTGTTGTGCAGACGTATTGCAACGGAAGAGGGTATTGTGAACATTAATATATAAACGTAGAAATGTACTAGTAAAAGAGGAGACAGGTTACAGATTACAGAAGATTTGTCCTACAATAAGCATGATTCTTCCCTGAAAAGTGAGCATCACTCTGCAACACTGGAGAAAAACATATTACACATTGTTCAAATACAAAACAGGCCCAAAGCATACAAAATATGTTGCATTAGTAGTTAATTCATATAGAAATTTATTGCCAGGTTACCTCTCTTTGAAAAACATTCATTGTGTTGATACTCTTACATGTTTTGAAGGGCTTCATTGCTCCTTTTAGCATGTTTTACCAGGTACTAAAGAATTTTAGTGGGTTACAGGGTGGTCCAGAGCAGATGTAAGTGGTTGCTGTGACTGCCTGTTTGATGGTGCTGTGTATTTGGAATTGTACTTATTTGCACTGACGCTTATCATTTAGTCAGACTCTGACATGGGTCTCTATAAGACTGCTCACTGCTGATTATGTTACATCTTGCATGTTGTTTTCTGCTGTGACATTACGGCTGGTGCTGCAGAGGTCAAGCAAGTGTTGAGGTAGGCTGCTCTCCGGCCATCATTTATGCAATCATCCCGTAAAGTAAGTTATTTATTAATCCCTGTGAAGAAATCTTTTCTCTAGCATTTGAGGAGTGGTAAGCAGCTCTGCTCCTTCCTAAATGGCTGAATTCTGTATTAGTCACCTGAAAACGTTCATTTTCAATATGCTGTGCTATATGCTGTGAGAAATGATGATAAGATTTAACTTGTCTGTCTTTAACTAGAAGATGTGTATAGCTGAAATGATTAAATTAAGTAAACTCTCCCAAAACAATATCTGCAGCTATTTTGATTATTGATTGATTAAGTAGCAAAATATTAATAATATATAGTAGTACCAAAATATTCACTGATTCCTTTTCAAATGTGAGAATTTGCTGCTTTTCTCCTCCATTTTATATAATGGTAAATTGAATATCTTTGCATTTTAGAAAATTCATTTAAACATCACCTTGGTAGTCACATGGTGGTTATTTTACAGGCTGATCGAATTGTATTTGGAATTTAACTAGTTTAAGCCAACCATAAATTAATTAATAAAGAACTAGGACTAGGTATGATTCCTATAAAATACCTGTTTTGGGGAATTTAGACATTTAGACTTTTTTATTATTATTTTCTTCATTTAACAAAATATAGTCAGTGTCATTTAAAGACAACATTGTCTAAATAAAACCTAGCCTGAAAGTACATTGTGATTTAGATTAGGGGATATGTGAGGAAAGAATAAGTAAACAAGCCTAAACTGTTCGATACCAGCTGTCAATACTCAAAGTATAGAGGTTTGATACCCAGCACTATGAAGGATTCAGTATTTCTCCACTAGCCTTTCAAGTTGGGAAGTATAAGTTAAACAAAATAAAATTAAACTGACTTATATTAATAAGAAAGATCCAAATAATAAAATATTTTAGGTAGGGTGCACTGGGGGGAATTGGACTCAGTATTTCTGAAATCCTGGCTACGATCCTGAATGCAGTGTCCCATTTAGTTAGATTAAATATCCCTAAAACATAAATACATGTGCTTTATTGAGACCAAGGCATGTGATGCCTGTGTTTTTACTTTAGCAGTCTAGCTACAGTATGTCACTCGTGATTTAAATCTCAAGTGGAAATAAACTGACATTTTTTAAATCCATGTATACAATGTATAAATCAGAATGTATGCTTATGCTCTCTAGGGGAATAAATAACAAACAGAGTGAGGATGAGTGTTAACAGGGAAATGGAGGATGCTGCTCCCTTCTTTTACTCCTCCGTCCCCCTCCCCCGATCCCCGCTACCTCCCCGCACTAGAAAAAAAAAAATCAAGAAGAGCGCTCAACCAAGCTGAGTAGACTGCCAGCCAACCAATCAGCTCCTTGCACATTGGACCTGTCATCAGGCTTGGATATTGAGGAAGGATCTGCTGCTGCTGCCGCCGCTGCCTCTGCTGCTTGTTGTGTATATGTATATGTGTGTGTCTGTGAGGGTGTGTGTGTGCGTGGAAGCCTGATGAAATGAAATGCCAGGATTGGGCTACCTCCAGGGAGAGCCTCTCTAGCCTATAATGTGAGACAGCCAGCAGCACTGTGGGTTCAGGGAGAAGCTGCATCCATCAAGCGACGGGCCTCAGGAGGACCAGGCGTGATCCAACGGGAGGGGAGATTTATTTTTTTTTATTCTTCTCTGCTGTTGAGAGAAGGGATTGTCGTCATCCCCCCATCCATCCTTTTTTTTCTCTCTGTGGTGCCCCCTCCTTCCTCCTCCGCCTCCACTCTCATTTTTTCCTCATTCTTCTAGAGGCGCTTGTTGGAATATCAAACCTCCATGTATGACAATTTGTACCTGCATGGATTTGAAGACTCGGAGGCGGTGAGTGTTTGGATGTGTGTGAGAATGTGCTTTTGCGCTCTCTTGATGTGTGTTTATTGATGGTAGTAGATCAGCTGTGCACACACATATAAGAGGCCTTTTGATGGGTTAACCAACGGTACAGTGTAGCGTGATCGTGGGCTATGCTTGGCTAGAAAGGGGGGGGGGGGTGTTGGGGTGTGTGTGTGTGTGTGTGTGTGTGTGAAGGGAGGGTGCACATTAGGCAGATGGCTTCTGATGTGTGACATTCACTCAGTTCTGTATGTATTTCTCTATATATGTATGTGCGTGTGGTTCTGTATGTTCTGTATATGTGGCTCATATCTGCATGTAAACCTGTTAGAACGGACGTCAGGAAACCACCAGAGCCAGGAGGAGCCATTTACTGTTCATCTCACTCTGTACCTCTCAGAGATGGACCGAGCCTCTGACTCAAAGAGGAAGATGCAAAGATGTTACTGACACATTACACGGCCACATTCAAATAATAAATGTGTCACATTTATACATTTATCACTTTGTTAAAAATCAGGGTATTTCTTGTCTGACCCTGCGACTGTGTGTGGTATAGGCTCGGAGAAACATGCATCGTGATGTCATTAAGTGGATTCTGATGTTGATGAGTCACATGCTGAAGCTACTCCGTTGGATAACAGCTCAGAAGCTACAGTGCAACCTCAAAGCTTCCACATAGATACATGAAATGATGCTCAGACCGACTTGTTAGTGTTGGATTGAAGGATTTTTGGAAAGGGAGGTGAAACAGTCTTGAGAACAAATAACTATTGTAGACTAACTGTAGACTACACCACACACCCCCCTCTGTTGTATTTAGAATTATATTATGACTTTAAAAGTACTTATCCAGCAATGTGGTATTGCATTTCCATAAAGTTGGTGGACCTGTGAGAGACAGATAAAAAAAAAAATAACGGTCACAAGCAGTGGGGACTGAGATGCCCTCACTTTTTGTCCCTAGTATGGGCTAAACCCTAAAAACACTGGATCCTACAATATAATTTTCCATGTCTGGTAAATGCCCCCATATTTCTAACTACACACACTCTGTTTGTGACCCAGGCCTTTTGTTAAAAATATCTCCCAAGCTTAGATAACCGTGATGACATCACTATGGCATCATCAGGGCTAATTTTCTTAGACTTCACAAAGCTCCTCCAAAAGACCAAATACAACAACTTTCACAGACTAGTGCATATTTTAATGAAAACACCCTAATAAGTCATCAGTAGCTCAGCAGAAACATTAGTGATGTATTCGTTATTTCAAGACCCAGATCCAGTAAGACCCAAGTGAGTTTAATATTTTCTATAATTAAGAAACCATTGAAGTTAAGCCTAAATGTGCCACTTTGTGATTGGATGCACACCATCCAGACGGGGAGTGTGCTGAAGTAAGGCCTTGCTACTGCTAGCTTGTTTAAAAAAAAACAAAAAAATCCCCGAAAAGTGCTTAGCTGTGGAGACTAGCTTGATTGATCTTCTCGAGACTAATGGTCTTCCTTAATTGAATCATCATTAGTGGCTGATTGTTTAGATTAACACAGCAGAAGGAAGCACTTGGTCCAGTCACATCCCTGCAAAAAAAAAAAAAAAATACATTGCATTACTGGAATTCTCGCTGTGGGGCAGGATGAACTACTGCAAGTCCAGCATGTTCAAGGCACTGAAGTGATAAAAATCCCCGACAGTATGCAAGAAAATTTAACACAAGACACAAAATACCATTTCTCACATCCAGTATGTGTGCCCTTATATCTTCCCTTTATGCAGAGAGATATGTAAGTGAATGATAAATAGTTCTTTTACAGTATTTGTCCCAATTTCAGAACACCGATGAGTCATTCTGCTATTCTTACTCCTGTAATGTTGTTCATGCTAAACATCATGACTTCTTAGTGCCCTTTATTCAGTCGAGACTACAGTTTGCCATCTCATTATTTAGTGTGTTGTTGACCGTGTTGTTATTTGGTGTAACCAAGCTCTAATAGTAGAGAACACAGTTGATGACTGACTTAAGAAGCCCAGGAGTTATAGTCAGAAGCCATCAAATCAAATCATTTTTCAGTGTTTATACAGTCACTAGCAAGGCCTGTATCATGTGACCAGCTAAAGTAAAACACAAATTAAGTGAACAGAGTGATTGGCTATGTTCGTCGATGATAATTCACCTTATTTGGCTTTGTTTCGTCAGCAGTTTTCATTCACAGTTATGGTGGTTGTACTTCAGAGCAAGGTCTGTGAATTAACCTATGGAAGTCAGTTTCTGCCAAGAAAAGAAAAAAATACATAAAAACATAGTAAGTAATTTTGACTGATTTCTTTTCATTTTTATTGTGCCAAATGGTGCTTTCAGACCAAACGCGAATTTAATCCTCGCAACGCTTTCCTTGTGTGAGTACATTCGCTGCAAGTGTTCACACAAAATGTGAGAAGGCGATCAGAACCTGCGAAAATTTGCTCGAGTTGGAAATTTTCAACTTGCGTGTGTTTGCATAGACTTTGTATGTAAACTCACCGCCCCGAACACTTGCTTCGCTTTTGCTCTGATAGCACAGTAAGTCAGACGGGGAGATACCGAGTAAAAGTTTTGACTTACTCTATCTTAATTGTGACTTTATTTCTCAGTGACTTAGTATCTCATAATTTAGGCTTACCATAATTAGTTTTATTTTTTGTCATTAATTTTTTTCATTGTCCTTGTCTTCCATATTAGGACATTGATGTTGCCGCACTCTGTGATAATATAGTAGTGTAGAAAATGTTCACAAGGCGTGGATCGACTGCACTGTGCTTGTCAGTGTCATGTTTCATGATCAATGCAGGCAAGTCAAAGAAACATCAAACTCCTGGTCCAAAATATGCAGAAATCACAGCGGTCAAATTTGGCACTATCCAGAATTGTTTGGCCCTGTGTGCTCGTACAAACTGCTGATGGCGCTAGAATGGAATTCCACTTTGTATGAGATGCTCCTGGCAGACCGCTCTTTTCTGTATTATCCATTTTACCTGTACTGCATTCAAAGTGCCAAGCCACCACTCTGGACTGGGCACTCCCAATGCTAGTTGGTGTGAACCCCAAAACAGTCGGCTGTCCCATAAAAGTTTTTAAATGAGTAGACCTCATTGTGCTTTGCAGGTCTGATATTTTACAGTCTGTCACTGGGATGACGCAACAGTACATCCTACTTTATAACATGTCAACGTCATCACATGTCTCTATGAGGTGCTTTTTTGTCTTTTCTGTAAATGCACCTTTGCGTACTGTACTGACTGGACAACTCTAGCCTTTAGCAGGGCTGTAGCACCCGAGTATGGTCTCTGTTTTGAGATGTTTTCCCATTGTTTCACATTTCGGTGGTGAATAACCCCCCCCCCCAAGATCTCAAAATATTCAAAGCTACATTGCCAGTAGCCGAAGATGGAAGCAGATCAGAGAATGTTGCTGGAAAGGATCAGAACCCCTTACAATGTGAGTTTGTATCCCATCTATGCAGTTCCAGTAAAATACTGTGTGATTTCTGTTTGCAGGGCTCAGCTGATTCATATACTAGCAGACCATCAGACTCAGATGTCTCTCTGGAGGAGGAGCGGGAGGTGCAGGCCCAGGTCCAGAGCCAGAGCCCAAGCCAGAGCCAAGGACCGGGACAGAGCCGTCAGGAGAGGGAGCAGCAGGCTACCGTTCAACTGGAGAGAGCCAAGGTGAGCCAACCCGTGACACTACTTAGCCAAATTCATCTGCTCATATGTTTATATACACATAAACAAACTGGTTTTGCCATTGGCCATATTGGATTTGCAGTCCTCAAAGTCTGGAAAATTAATGAGAACTGGCCAATAAATATTCTATATAAGTTCATATGTGTTTGTGTTTCCATCCTCCAGACTAAACCTGTGGCGTTTGCTGTAAGGACCAACGTCAGCTATTGTGGCGCACTGGATGAGGATGTTCCTGTACCAGCCACCGCCATCTCCTTTGACGCCAAGGATTTCCTCCACATAAAAGAGGTGCGTTAATTAAACATGTCACCTACTGTATAAACTGCCATGTGAATGTTTTTTATACAAAAATGCCCTCCTTTATGTTATCGTCCCCAGAAGTTCAACAATGACTGGTGGATCGGTCGGTTAGTGAAGGAGGGCTGTGAGATCGGCTTCATCCCCAGCCCTCTGAAGCTCGAGAACATCCGGCTCCAGCAGGAGCAAAAGAGAGGACGAGTCCAAGGGTAAGTAACAGAAAAACACTCTTTCTCACTGTTTCTCTCATAAACTAAGCACCAAATAGTCACACAACATTTAAATTAGTATTAGATTGTATGTAATGCCTGTTCATTATTCTTTTAAATATTTGGGAATATGGTGCAAACTATAAAAGGCACTTAAGCTATTTAAGACAGTTTTATATGTGCAGAATGACCATCAGATAAAATTCAAATCACTGAAAGGAGCAGGCTAGCTGCCTGATCCTAACCCTCAATGAAAAAGCCTTTAAGACCATCACTGAAGGGATTAGTATTATTAAAGAGAGAACATAGCACAAAAATGTGTTCATTGTCACTTTTACACATTTTGATGCAGAACAAACACAATGGAGGCTCTGTTATGTTCTCAAAGACACATAAAATCCACAAAGCTCCTGAGCAGACCTGAGTTAGACTGATACAGCAAATACAATTATTTAATCAGATGCAGCAGCATACATTATGTCCAGTAACACCTTCCTAAAAAGGCTAATAAGCTCTCAAATTTGAAATTCTACTCTGCTCATGACTACTCCCATCAATTCGTCTCATGCTGACTGTGCCACTGAAACGGTTTCAATAACTGCAATTAGCGGCCCTATCAGCCTCCTAGTCTCCTTGTGTGTGTAATGTGTCTTGAAGTTTCTGTCATGCAGAGTTTGTACATTAACTCACATGCACTTCTTGTAGAGTTTAATACTGATCTTACTAGACTGGAGTGCCTCAGCGCTTCACTCACTAGCCTGGCTTCTGTGGCTTTTTGTCACCAAGCCTCACAGGCAAGGGGCGACATTTGAACCCCATTAACCAGGACTACGTTTTCACTGAACAGTAGGTCTATGTGAGATATGCTGCCTTCCAGAGATGTTGGAAACAACATTGCTTTACTTTTTGTACTTTACAGTTTTCCTTGTTCTTGCTGTATTCTTTTAATCTAATACTTTGTGCACAGGAAATCAGAAAAAAGCACAGAAAGGAATGACTATAATTATAAACTGAAGGCCTTCAGATGTTGTCAGTACTACTGAATATTACTAACTTCTATAGCCATGGACTGCTTGTGACATCAGTTGGATTTGCTGCCTGTCCTGCCTGTGTTGACAACCTTACTAATTTGTGAGGCCAAGTGGAAGATGTAATCACCAATTACATGACCATTTTTCAGTTCATGGTTCACGTTCAATCTGGCACGACTCCAACACACCATATGCCCCCCCCCCCCCCTCCTAACTTTTGTGATGTGTAACCTACAACACTATGTTTTGCACCTCTCCTCTGCAGTGACTGATCAGTTTAAGCTTAGGCAGTTTTATTTTGTTACTTTTTCTTTCATATTCAACATTAATACCGTGGTATGTTTCTGTCTTTCTTTATCCCCTTTTGTCTTTTCCAGTAAGTCTGGAGGGAACTCTTCTTCCAGTGTAGAGGATGAGGTATCTGCCTCTATCCGCCCTCTCATATCCTCGGCAGGTGAGGACATCGGACAGGGGGAGAGGGCTGTTAATAGCCAGCTGCCAGCTTAGTGCCAAGCTTCCTGAACCGCAACAACATAGAAAGAATAAGATTCTAAAGCCTTCCCATGTCTCTGCATAGAGCATAAGTTCACTGCGTAGAGTTGTTGGTACATTTTCCCATGATCCTCCTCTTCCTCCAGTTGAGGACTGCAGGCGCTCTGAGACTGGGGCTTACCACAGTGTGAACCCAACGACAAGACTATGAACCCCCCCTGAACTGCATTCATGTGACTTTGTGAATATAACCTTAGGACAATAGAAATACTATGTGTATGTTGCCGGTTATCCTTTATAGGTTTCCTTTGCTGTGTATTATGACGAAAAGTTGCTTATGTGAAGCATGTTTGAAGTTTTTGTTTCTGAGATATTATGGTGACGCCTCCCCTAGCAGCAGCTACTGACGACCCTGTCACTGTCTTCTCTCCCCTCCTACAGGAAAACAGAAACAGAAAGTGGTAAGTTGGTGACGGTAAAACCTACTCATTTACCATCCACTAGACTCCTGTTTTTGTCATCATAAAATGACAGGAACTAGTAGCACTGACAGGAAGTTACAACCTCATATCACATCCTAGGGCACATAATACTTCAGCCCTACTGAAGTATACAGTGCCAGCTCATCACCATTCCTGTGATGCCAAAGTACTGTAGATGCTTTTGATCTTAGTACTTTTGATAAAGTTTTTTGGGGAGCTTGTTTTATACATTCATCATATTAGATGGTGTTTTTGGTGGTTTTCAGCCAAAGTGTCGAAGATACATCATGACTAAAGGACAATATTACAGGAATAGTTGAAAGTTTTTGGGAAATTTGCGTTTTCTGTGCTTGCTGAGAGTCGCGTCTTGGGTCTGTATGTTAAGTGTGAAATTACAGCCAACAGCTTGTTAGCTTAGCTTAGCACTGGAAATAGGGGGAAACAGCTAGCCTGTCTTTGTCAATAGAAATCCGCTTACCACAGCTCACTAATCAACATGTCATATCTGGTTTGGTGGTAGATAGATTTTTTAGCTTTGGACAGAGCCAGGATAGCTAGTTTGGCTGTAGCTTGATATTTAGCGTATAGACATGAGAGATCTTGTAATCTAATTATCTGCAAAAAGCCAGTTTCCCAAAATGTGGATCTATTCCTCTTAAATATACGAGGGTCTAACGACTGCTGGGCAGAAAAGGCGACTTTATGGAAATGTATGCTATTCTTTGAGCCTTTCCAGCAGTGAGACTAAAATGTGTCCTTAGGATTGGGCTAGAAGAGAAAAGGCCATAGAGTCATTAAAATCAAAATGGATTATTTTCACTTTAGAAGAATCAGTGTTCTTAGAACATGAACCTCAGGCTCTATGGAAGGAAAGAAAACAACTGAATACCTAATTGTGAAATGCAACCACAACTAAATACTGAATGTTGAAACTCAAACACCAACGTAGAGCCTAGAAATATTTCACTTTAAAAACATTCATCTGAATTTATGTGGTTTGATTCAGATTCAGGCAGAAAGGTCAAGAGAAAAAATAAAAACATTTGCTGAAATTGGTCAAATTTTGATACCAAAATTCCAGATTCATTCAGACCTGAACATTTTTGACTCTACCCTAATTAATTAATAATTTAAGTACAAAAACTTTTAGACATTTGCACATTAAAAAAATTAATAGAACAACTTTAGACCAAAAAAATTGTCATGGAGATATAGTTCACTTGGGCCAATTAACAAAACGGCTTTTACAGCCACTAAACCTGCACAAATAAGACAAAAAGAAACTCAAAGCACCTGCAAATGGTGCCAAGCAAATAGAGTCTTGGTGTTTCAGTGCTATATACACATATTTAAATGAGGTAATATGCATACATTTGGTGAAAAATTGGCCCATTTCTATACAAATGAGCCAGGGCTAATAGCCATATGCATTTCAGGTGAAAATATTAGCATATTTAGAGAGTTTGTGCTGACTGAAGTGCATTTACAAGAGGTGTCACACCCAGACTTTCCAGTGATCAAGGCAGCGCTGATTGTAGCCAGGCGAAGCAATAGTGCATCAGAGAACATTATATGCACACAAATGCACGAGGGAGGAGTGCACAGTTAAAGCATCACACTCTGAAATACTAAATACAGAGTCATCGAAAAATAAGAGACATCTCGCAGAAAGATACGAATAAAAGCACAAATGGAATTAATAGATGATCAGAACAGTTTTTAGTAATTCGAATATGTTCCCTTTGAAATCAAACATTTAAAAATATGAGTGGAATGTTCTTGCAGCTGCATTTATAAAATGTTTTCACACAAATGTTGCTTAACTACTTCATTTGATATGCTACTTAAGTACGCTTTAAGAACAAATATTACTGAGACCACTACAGAAAATTGCAGATAAACATTTAGCAGTTGCAAAAAAGGGCAAATTTGACTCTGCTGCAAAACTTTATGGGGGTGTTTGCTCTGTAATATCATTAGCGCAATATCTTTTGTGAATCGGACCTTGAGATGGGGCATATAGCGCTTGCAAGTGATGTGCAATTCATTCACCCCTCAGTACACTGAGTTATCTCCATGATAACTGAGCAAACTCCCACAGAACCGGAAAAGGCAAGCAGTTGGTCTTTAGTTAAGGTGATTTATGTTTTTTTATTTTATTATTATTTTGGTCAGACTACTGTTTCCAAGGTCAAGAATGAACTTTCTTTCTTAACTTTTTTTGGGGGGGGCTAAAAACAAACAAACAAACAAACAAACAAAAAAAAAAAATATATATATATATATATATATATATATGTGTGTGTGTGTGTGTGTGTGTGTGTGTGTGTTTTGAACTCTTTCTTTCTGAATTGTCTGAATCCTAAAATATACTTAAAATCAAGTTTTCAAGAGGAAAAACTCATCTAGATAGCTAGACAAAGACCGCTAGAAAAGTAAAAGTTCTGTGGGATTATTTCAGCATTTTGTATCCAGTAGTGACTCAATTTCACAAGTAGATATTCAGTTATAAGAATCAAATCCTTTGCCAGTGTGTTTTTTAAGCTGACAGGTAATAATGTTATAAATTACAAAGAAATATATTATATTTGCATCAGTAATACTATAGGAATGGAGTAGTAATTCTTCATTTTGTTTGTCAGCTCTGCATCTTTAAATTAATAGGTTCACATAACTACATTATATATCTAGTATTACCACTTTGGCATGGTGCAGTGCCCTCGTGCTATTGTGATACTTGGTCTGGTATTGTGTTAATTGGTTAGTAACATCAGTGTAGCCATCATAACCATCCACCCATGTAGCAAATGATAAATCATGTAGGCTATGTAATAACATGTTCATTTAAATATTTTAATGAAGTTACTTGCCAAAAGATGTCGTGATTGCTTACGACAACAATGAACAATTTACAATATGTAATAATGACCTACATTATCAGGAAAAGGTTTAACAACAACATTTTGCAGGAAATAATTACAGCAAAACATTAATTTATCCCATTTTGTGTATTTATTACATTTTGACAAGTTATATCAGGGTACATTATTATTTGCTACATGCCTCAACATAGCAATAAACCATTTAACACATCTGATTGGAATTCAAAGTCAGCTGACTCAACAGTCCACTACTGCTGTGTGCTCTATGTGTTTTTTGTGGAGCAATGGAGTTACTTTGATCCATTGTCTTGTTTGTTATAAGTCAACTGCTGCTGAATGAATGTGTTTGTGTTAACAGACGGAGCACGTCCCCCCATATGATGTGGTTCCCTCCATGAGGCCTGTAGTGCTGGTGGGACCCTCCCTCAAGGGTTATGAGGTGCGCAGTAAAATGTCCTAAAATATCCTTTTAATTTTTTCAGTGATTACGGGCCTTTGTTCAAACAGCATAAATAGCACTGATGTTACAGAATGACAGTCTAACCCCCCTCCAGAGATCATTACATGTGATGTTTACCAGCACAAGAAGGACAAGAGTACAGAAAGGAGATGAGTCCTGTACGTCTTTCTCCCAAAATAGCTCGCTGTTGGTGCAGTTAATTGTGAGTGTGTCATCGCCCACGTAACATCCAGATTGCAGCCAGACTAACAAGGAGACTTAAGAGGTCAGATGAAAATATGTTGTGTAATTGGCAGATTTGAGCTGATTTCTGTAAAGAGCATTAACTGTCATTACTTCCATTGCATTTTGTAAATTTATTTTGTACCAAGGAATGCACACAATATTAGGAGCAAAATGTGGTGCTATAATAAAAGAAAAAATCCTAACTACAAAAACACTTGGAAGTATACAGACGACAGTAAAGTTACTCTAGAAGAAGAGTTATTCTTTAATTTATTCAACTGTCTTTTCACTCAGATAAGGCATCATATGTTGTGGTTTTTTAGCAGCAGAAGAAATGCCATCTGTCTTGTTCTCCTGCATTTGCCTGATGGATGGGGGCTTATTCATATTTAGGGTCATTACGGAGCCTATCCCAGCATGCACTGGGCAGGAAGCAGGAAAAACACTGTGGGCAGATTATCAGTCTATCACACTCCTGACACATAGACAAACACATTTAAACTCATCTATTGCAATTACAAATCTTCAATCAAACAGTTTAATTTAATCATTAGAGGAAAACAGCGGACTACACTCAGAAAGAACCAGGGTTGAGATTCATGTTAACAGCTGGATATAAAGGCCACAAGTTGTTCTACTTATTTAACCTTTTTTAACTGTGTTGAGATAAAAAGGAGCCATCTGGCCAAGATATGTTGCAATAACACTATACATGTGCCACAGCTGAATAGAAATGGGATTGTAAAATCATAAATAACAATTCTAACATTGTCACGTAAATATCCATATATATAATATCAATATATATAATGAACTCTTCCCTTTTTCTATGCAGGTGACCGACATGATGCAGAAAGCACTGTTTGACTTCCTCAAGCACAGATTTGACGGCAGGTAAGCCAAATATTTATCGTGCCAAGTAATGACCGTGTGTTTGATAGTTTGGTCACATTTTGGTAACCGCTGGTTTTGGACTAAAGTTGGCTGAATGATTCATCTCATCACTGCATTTTCGCTAGTTTAAATTACATTCACCGCTCCATAAATTACAGGTCACACTTCTTCTGTTGTGAGGTTTTGAGAACTGTTATGTTGCATGTAGTGAATAAGCTCTAACATCCTGCCATTGAAATAAACATAGTGGCCTTTGATGAATGTGCAAAAATATTTTTTAAATAGCATAGTTTTAGAAAACAGCAAGAGACTATAAAGTATTTATTCAGCATGAAGATAAAAGTTATTATGCAACCAATACTTCAAGAAAGGTTGGACAACCACAAGGATATCCTCAACACTACTGGCCTATTTGTCAGCATGCTTCACATTATCCAGACAAAATGTATGTCCAATAAATGAACAATACAAATCACATTACCGAGGATCTAATTCATCTAAGTGAACCTGTTTTCATGTTTTTAAAATGTTCTTTTTTTTAATAGGATATCTATCACACGAGTCACAGCAGATATATCATTAGCAAAGAGGTCTGTTCTCAACAACCCCAGTAAGAGGGCCATCATTGAAAGATCCAACACTCGCTCCAGTTTAGGTAAGAAGACTCTGCGTGTTCCACCGTGCTCTGTTTATTTTCATATAAGTCCATTTTAAAAAGAAATCATAACTACTTTATTACGTAGAGGCTCAACTACAGAATGTTTAAACCTGTGTAAGCTAATTCTTTTAGCCACTTGGGGGCAGCAGAAACAAGCTGTGAACACTGACATGTTATCAAAATTGAATGGTGATATGGCTGATTTGTTAGCCTTCACCAACTCCTAAGGGAAATATCTGGCGCTAAGTGCTCCATGCAACATGCTAAAATGCTGTTTAGAGCTGAGCGGAGTTGCAGAACGGTATGATAATTTTTTGCAGGATTGTCTCTCTTTCACATTCAGGTATTTTTTTGATCCATTATTACTATAAAAAGATTGATTAGCAAAGATGATAAAAACAAAGCAGAACTGTGCAAATGTCTAAATGTATGTTGTGTATTTTTTTATTGTATCATCAGCTGAGGTGCAGAGTGAGATTGAGAGGATCTTTGAGTTGGCTCGCTCCCTGCAGCTGGTGGTACTAGACGCCGACACCATCAACCACCCAGCCCAGCTCCTCAAGACCTCCCTGGCCCCCATCATTGTTCATGTTAAAGTCTCCTCGCCGAAGGTAAGGAGAGTTGGGTGAACATAGCCAAATGTGAAAAACACATCTCAAAGCAATAACATCAATTTAACTCTCTGTGACAAGCCCAATAGAAGGTTTCCCACTGAGTCATTCAGTTGGTGGAGACAAACAACAAGAACACCTAGACATGTTAAAGGTAACAGTCTTTATGTTAGGTTGATATTTAAACCAGCATGAAATACTGTAAAACTTTAAAGCCACTGATTAACATGCAAGGCTTTTTAATGTAGCGTGTGGAGTCAGTGGAGACTTTAAATCTGCACCAAGTAATCTGCACAGTGGCACCTTTGCATGGAAGAGAACGTCTGCCGCACTCTACACTAGGGCTATAACAATGTCCAGTCTAGTTAGTCTGGGTGTGGAGGGTGAATAATCTGATGTGCTCACACAAGAGTGCGACCACAGATCAGAAAAGATGCAGCATCAAATTCTGATTGAAACGGTGCCCCTCGTTTAAAGGCAGTCATATCCTGGTCAGGTGACTTTCACACTTGATTTACACACTGCACCCTCCTCGCATGCAAACTGCTCGCTTTGCTACAGCTGACCAGGAAAACTGACCAGTCCACAAACTGATCAGGAAGCAGCAATATCACCTGTAAAAGCAGGATACTGAGGTCACGTGTCCAAATCCCCACCTCCCAAACATGTGCAGACATCAAAAGGAAAGCCTTAAAAAAAACAAATGTTTATTATTATTTGAAATGTGGTTTTATTCGTTTATTTATAGTTTGATACTGGATTCAAGTAAATACCCACCATTTATAGTTTTTAGAATATTAATTCCCCTTCAGTTTTGGAGCAGGTGCACCCAAAGCTGCGATACATTTGGTTCAGTGTAACTGGAACATCATGTACTCTACTACTCTGCCATCCAGGTTCTGCAGAGGCTAGTCAAGTCCAGAGGGAAGTCTCAGAGCAAACACCTGAATGTGCAGCTTGTGGCAGCTGACAAATTGGCCCAGTGCCCTCCAGTAAGTGGCTATTATACTGGCTAATGGCGTCCTATTTTTTTGTTTAAAAATGTAAATTAAAAATGTCTCCTATGTTCAAATGAGATTCAGACATATTTTTAAACCAAAATGAATTTTTAAAAAATATATTTTTGGATTTAATTTTATTTTCTCTATATTGACATATATTTTCACTAATTTCACGTATAATAGTAATATCATACGATACCATTCTACGCACAGACCTACGGTGTCAGTGTGGAGATCATCTATGTTTCATCTCATTTTAATCATTAGCTTCATACCTGGTTTCCTGCCTCTGACCATCTGCTGCTAACAGGAAATGTTTGACATCATCCTGGATGAGAACCAGCTGGAGGACGCCTGTGAGCATCTCGCTGAATACCTCGAGGCCTACTGGAAAGCAACCCATACCTCGATGGCGACCCCCCTAAACCCCCTGTTGGGACGCAACCTGGGCCCCACCACCCTCACCCCGTACCCCACCAGCATCTCTGGACTGCAGGTACACATCCACTAGCCCCAGGGTTTAGTTTACTATTTATCTGTAGAGTTGCCCATACTGTGTGTGAGGAGATAATAAAAGTAAGAGACAATGCCAGGATAACAGGAATCAAGTCTCCCTTTCATTCAAACCCTTAGGGACCTGTCAAACCTCCTGATTCTGCAGTATATTTGGAATAATGGTTAGACAATGGTGCAGCTTTTCCCCTGTACTTACCTGTGTCCTTGGTATGTTCATATGATTAGCAGAGCCAAAGAATGCGGCAGAGCAACCACACGGGAGACCATTCTACCCCGAACGAACGGCGCAACCTGATGACAGCAGACGAAAATTACCACAACGAGCGGGCGCACAAGGGACGCAACCGCATGTCCTCTGGCTCACAGCATAGCCGGGAGCAGCAGGACCCCTACCAGGACTACCAGGACCCCTATCAGGATGCATACAAGCCACATCGCAATCGCAGTTCACCGGGCAGCTACAGCCATGACTCCCGACACCGGCTCTGAGCCTCTTCTATCATCACCGTGGCCCAAACGGCCCAGGTTCCACCCAAAATAAACGCTGCAACAGAGCCAAAACGGTCCCAAATTGTACCCTTTTGTTACGGTTTGTGTTAATTTGTTTTGTCTACTTGGCTATTTTTCACTTAAAAAGTCCAACAAAAATTTTGTTTTTAAGCAACCAGGGCAAACCCCCGTCAATCAACTGCGCGAGTAGTCGAGAGGTTCTGGAAGCCAACATTAACTAATGCTGTAACATTAATTATTTTAACTTATGTTTCTGGGACCTTTTGGGATTGTACGTCTGCTCAGCACCCGTGCAGCGCAGATTGTGCTTGTTGCTAGTGTCAGCAAGCTAATTATGGGCAGTGGTCAGATGGTGATGGTGTGTGGGCTTCTAAGTGCCTGGGACGCCGCACCAGGTCGGACGGAAGTCCACTGCACACAGACTGCTGAAGGCTGCTGACCCCTACCCTGGACCATGTATAAATCCTCTCACCATTTAGCTAATTGCATGCTGATAGATGATCAACCTCCGCATCCACTTCATTGATATTTTGTACCTAGCATTCTGGATTCTCCCATGATGAGATGTAGATACGGAGGTCCAATTTTCTAAATCACCTGATTGTGTGGATAGGCGGTAGGTGGTGGGTTTGTGTGGGGGAGTGCAGATGATATCTGGCTGCTAGTTTTGAAAACTGGTGCTTCACATTCCCAAACTATTTTGCTATTTGAAAGTCACTTTGAGCAAGGCCAGCTTTTCTGTAGCATAGCTTTAGGATTTCATTTGGGTGAAGACCCTCACCGTCATAAGTGGAGCAGATTCTGATGGTGCTGGGATCAGATCTCAGTTACACTGTAGGAGAAGGCAATACTGCTCTGTTTTTAACATCTAGGACTTAGAGAGTTAGAGAAGGCAATATCTGTGACAGTCTGTCAGATAGTATAGTGAAATACAATAGCAAAATACTACTTGAGATGCCATTTGATGTTGTCGACATGTGGACCAGCATAAAAACCAATGCTGTGAGAACCTTTAGAGCAGTTTGGGATGTTTAGTCTAATATTTTCGGTGTGAAGAATAGGATTGGGAACAGTCTTTCTGTTTGATAGACCTCAAAGAGCATCTTATGCTGAAACTACAGGTTGTTTTGCATTTATTAGCATTGAAATCAAAGCGTTGTATAGCGTTAAAAACAAAGGTACAAATGTTGGTTAAGTCTTGCCATTGGTTCATGGCCATCGAAGTTCCTTCCTGTAGTTTTAGGGGATTAAAGCATTAAAAATGTGACATGGCAGGATAAGTTGCATCACGTTCATTCTCTGTGTAGCTGGCATGTTGTCCTGACTGCAGAGCATGTTCCCTCCAAAAGTAAAATAGAACCCTACTGTAATCAAGTTGATGTTTGTAGAACTATAGGGCACCTTTCTCCAAAAAAAAGAAGAAAAATAGAAAAGAAAAAGATGGCCCAAATTTCACATGTCTCTGGATCCTTGAGGTTTGTAACTCAATATGCTGAAACGGCTAACAGAAAACATTTAAGTATTGGTTTATGTAAAGTTTTTAAGAGTTTCAGTGAATTGCATGACTGAAAAGTGGAGCCACCATCATGATAACAGCTTCTATTAATTATGTTTTAAGGTAGAAAGTGCACTGAAACAGCTGTCTAACAGTGATACAACTCCAACCCCTGCCCTCACAAAAAATTGAGATAATATAATGGTGCTTTGTATGGAAGCACAGAGCTGCTGTAGTTGCCAATCATGATTTTAAATCTTGTTATCATTATCATAATGTACTGTACATATCTTATTCTTTTAAAATGTTGTGGTAACAACTTAACTATCTCCAGGGAATGAACAGTTCTAGCTAGCCAGAAAGAAGCCTGAAAACAGGCTTTAAATTAATAATACATTTGGCTAAATGGCTAATTTATTGAAAAGAACACTATCAGAGGATAATGTTCTTCATACTTTCACTGTCCACAAAGTCATTCCTCTCACCTTTTGAGAGAAAGAGGCATCAGGAGAAAGTAAGCACCATTTGTTTATGTTGAAATAATGAGATAGTTAAGTTGTTACCTTAGCGTAACAGAGATATAGTAATTATGGCGAGTTGTTATCTGAACAGTTTGTCAATTTGAGTCAAGGCTTCCAGGTGTTGACAGGGAGATCTTTGTGGAAAGACAAAAACTGACTAAAGTGTGTCTTCTGATTCATGTGTTCTCCTGGCAGTGTGTCTTGGTTGTGCCCTCGATGAACCTAATAGGTGAGAAGATGGACAACATAAGGTATAATGATATACAAGTTTATTATCAGTTCAGAAAGCTTGTCAGTTTGCTTCTACTAGACTACAGTGATACTTTCTAATGCCACAAAATGTTGCAATTCGCAAAAAATCTAATGATGGTATTTTCTGTACCTGTATGGAGGACCAAACCTGACAAACTAACTGATAAGATTAGAAATCAAAAAATTCTTAAAGTAAATTAACATAAAAATTTCTATCTACATTATTTATTTATTTTTTCATTAAACTTAACTTTATTTGACTATTCAATCCTCCAATTGATCAATTTCTTTTCTAGTCAGCCAAGTTTGTTTCTTCAAATTCTGCCGTCAGTCAACGACACACCAAAAACACACTGCCGGGGAAATTTATTCTTTCAGGAAAATAAATCACAGTGAAACAAGTGATTGTTTTCCATATGTGCTGTCTGATATCAGATACGTACAGTATATAATTGACTATATTTGTCTGAAGAGTTTTCTTTGGCATGTTTAGACAAATATTGGAGCTACTTTTAACTTTTAGACGCCTTCCCTTCTGACAAAACGATGTACAGTAGTGACCGCGGCAGCACCAGATAAGCTTGGTGCCTTACAAACAGTGAATGAACCTCTTAACAAAATGCTCAGAAAAGAAATACTGGCTCAAAAGAGGATCCATTCCCTTAAAGATAATGAGATATAATGATTTTTTTTTACTTGAGATCTATACAGAGTTCTAGCAAAATAGTAAAGATTTGAATAATAAATCAAAAACTGATTTAAAAAGAACAAAAGATAAGATTGGGGGCTGCTGCTTTTAGGATCATTTCCATTTTTCTTAAAACATCTCTAATAAATTAGTAGAAACTTGGTCACAGAGCGACTCAACACTATATCTTGTATGAAGGTAAACTTTGCTGCAAGGTTCATGTCTGTTGTACTTTATACCACCAACCTGAGTATAGTTACTCTTTAAATCAATCGCATCACGAGGCAAAAACATTGATATTGGACGATTCTGCAAAACCCTGGATTATGACAAAATTTTTCAGTTTTCAATGCAGACATTATGAAAAAAAATTTCTTGTTTAATCTGCACAAATGCTTATGTCTACAAATGGCAAGCTGGGTGCAATAACTTCCTAGTCCTAAGTCTTGTTGTTACAGGAGGTTCAGCAGAAAGTCTTCAGGAAGTTACTTCTCCTCACCAAAAAATAGTCCAGTAAACAGACAGATTAAATAATGGCAATATGTAAAGTGTTAATTAAGGAGCGTTAGAGGTGCTGCTAGGTGGATTTTGATATTTCATACAGAGCCAGGCTAACTATTTCCCTTTCTTAGTCTTTATGCTAAACTAAGCTAAGCTGAGCTAACTGCTGGCTGTAGATTTGTATTGTACAGACTGAAATGAAAATGATATCAATCCTCTTACTCTTAGAAAGAAAGCAAATAGGCGTATTTCCCAAAATGTCAAACTACTGCCATACCTCAAACCCTTTCAGGTTAGGGAAGGATTGTGGTTAGGGTTTTTAAGAAAGAAAATATTAATTGTAGGTTTGCGAAAGAACAAAAACTCTGGTCTGCCATAATAAGTCGGAGTTTACACAACCTCCACTCCCTTGATTTTTCCATCTCTACATAAAGGGCACACTACTTCCTGTATTGGCACTTAATGTAAATTGTGGCATGCAGAATCGTCTAATATGAATGTTACAGGGGTTGCGAGCAGGCAAGTCTTGATAATATGTATTTCATTTTGTATGGAAACTGGTGGACAGGAATGTCTTAAAAGTATATCGTATTTTAGATTCACGCTGTGTAACAAATTCTGTCCTATATAATAAGAAATACATGACTATCCCCAAGAAATGTTCAGCCTGACACAGTTTCAAAATGTCTTGAAGGGACCTCATTTGTGAGGCCTAATTAGTGCAACTTTCAAAGGAGATCATGGCTAAACACCACACTCCTCCTTATTTTATACCCTGACACCAACCTAAAGCCTGACCTGATAATTAAATACTGATCAAATGTTTTCCCATGATGCAAAGCAGCTCTTAATTTATTGATTTAAACAGAATAAGATATAATGTATTTTCTCTTAATCACTCTGTATACATCAGTATGAAAGGAGGAAAATAATGGTGAAAAACTTGTATAGCACAAAAGAATAAGCAAAAAACTAAGGCGGGTTTTGAGCAACTGTTCTTACAATGTAAATCTAGTATGAGGGCACAGATTAAATCCAGAATCAGTAGATTTCTTTGCCCACATTCCCTGTTCATTTCTTTGTTGTACACTGTTTGATAATGGACTGAAACATCAAGACTGCAAATGGAAAATGTGTTTCAATGCTACTGTTTACAAGCACGCTTACCTGTCTCATTCTGCCCCATAGCATAAACGTCATTGGTTGATTGAACAGGGAGCCATTTTCCATTCAAAATAAAACCAACCAATGTTGAGCTGGGCTGCTTGAGACAATCAGAAGGTATTTCCAGACCAGCGTACCACCATCCCTCTCTTTGTAAATGTGCCGAAATGATGAGAGATGTTTTGGCCCTTTTGACTTGTGGAAGTAGATCAGAACAAAATTACACAAAGCTCACTCAGACTTCTAAAAAACAGCCCGTCCTGGCTTTCCTTAACTTTCGTTTCACCTTTACCTCCTGCCAAACTTTTGTCTCAAAATGAAACTCACTGCTAATTTTATTTTTCACAGATTCAATCTCAAAGTAACCACAAATACAGAACTTATAAGGAAGATTTTCTTTGGTAAGATGTAAAACAAAAGAAAATAAGCAAAAGAACAAATATTTATTCCAGTAGAAAAGTTATAGATGAATATTTGCTGGCCATTATTTTTATAACAAATAAATGTACATAATGTCTTTGAGAAATGCTATTTGCTGTATACATGTGCTGAAATGAGACAATGATGAACCACTTGGAACAACAGCAAGGTCCAGTATACAAAGTTTCAGTAATGTGCAATACAAAACGGCATGCTGTTTTAAAATGAGGAACTTCATGTACTGTACTATGCAACCGCAAACTGTGTACATCGCTTCATGCTGTGGCTTCTCCAACCACCCTTTTCCAAGCAGCTTCATCTGGACTTTTAAGGGATGTTTGTGTTGATATTTTTTTTTTCTGTGGAAGATGAAAACCTAATGCGGTATTGCATGCATAATGTACCATTCTAATTTATAAAAAGGAATTAAAGAAAAATACATAAAATTGGAGGCGATTGTGTATAAGGCAAAGCTACAAGTGACTTAAAACATTTCTTTTTCAAAATAAAAGTCGCTCTAAAGTTTTATAAGTGTAATGAATGTTTAAGTCGAGACTTAAGATTTACTCTCATTTCATTGTAGAGTATTTTATTTTATTTTTTGGTGCTTTTCAATTTGTGATCTCTTGAGTTGCAAATCATTAACAAGGAATTTAAAACAAATTTGGGAACTTGGAGGCACTAGCACTAGAATCAGTTAGCTGTTGGCTACAACTTGAGCCTGTTTTTTGCCCTATGCCTTTATATTTTGCCGCATTGGCACGGTTAAAAGAATGCTGAATTATTTATCAGCAGTTCCTATTTGCAATGTACCCATGAATGTACACACAGCTATTTCCGGATTACTTGTATAGTGATGAAAACTTAAAAAACGTGAAGATTCTCAGGCAAGTTCTGTAGTTATAAGGATTGTCTTTTTTTTCTGACTTCCAAGCAGATGTATGGAGTTTTATTCGCGATGGACATCAAATGTAATAATATTATCAGAGAAGGTAAGTGAACCAATCACACTGAATCAATAAATATGTGTATCATTTCTGTGTATATTTACATTGCGGGCTAAATCAGCAGCCCAGACTACAATCACTAACTTATTAAGTTGTTATTATTGTTGTATATTATAAGTTATTGTTATTTACTATCCACTTTTTGTGAGCATTTCTTTAGTTTAATTGATTGTCACAAATTTCTACCACTACTTTTTTGTCTTGCATTATGACACAAATCTTTATTTAGAGAGGTGCGTCAGAGAACAAGTGATGGTAAAACAAGTAAAAGAAAAATAAGCTCCTGCCCACTGTCAACTTATGTTGACACAAGAACCACACACACTTTGCCAGACATTTCATGAATAAAATTTTAATTTTGAATATAATTTTACACTGTTTCTGGATCAATAACAATTGAGGAAGTACTTGACATTTTAAAGCACATATGTTCAGTATAAAGTTGAAAAAATACAGAGAGTAAAAAAAGTCTATCAGGGCGCTTCCTCTCTTTAATGGCTCTAATGGAAATGCAGCTTTGCATCATGGCTCAGAAGTGAGGAGGTCACCTTGAGTCCATGCTGATGAGCTTTACTTGTTTCCACTTTAGATGTTGAGTTAATGCAGGTTTCATTGTCCTCTATAGTATCTGCTTCCTCCTTGACCTTTGACATCATCTGACAGCCTGAGGTCTCTGAGATCGTGTTGGTCTGGCACTTTTCCCATAGCCTCTCACTCTTTAACACAATGCCCTGGTGAGAAGGAAAGACTAGTTTAGAACATTTTTAAGTGCAGTTATCATACACATACCACAGGGTTTTTTTTAACATGTGTGTATAAGCAACTGTATAGATAATGTTTTTTTATTCTAATTTTAAATATTTGTTGATATGTTTTGTGTGTGCTGCGTGAAGAGGTCTGAACCTTCAGTTTCAGTGTGCAGCCATGTGTTTAACACTGAAGCATCTGAAGTCAAACACGGACATCTAGCGGTGAGGTTGTGAACAATCACGGTGCTATAATGAGAAAGAAGCACATGTACAAACTAGACACCATCAGTTCAGAGTTTTAATTTTACTTTGGCTTATGACCAGATACCTGAATGATGTCCCATCAGCCTCAGCTGTACTTTGTTGTTTGTACGTATTAGCCCATTTAGCATGTTAGCACACTAACCTATAGGGAACATGCTGAATATCAGCATTGTCATTGTAAGCATGCAAGCGAGCTGACGTCCTGTAATGGTCAGTGTTTAGGCTAGGCAGTAGGCCACTCCGCAGTTTAATGGCATGTTTTGAGGACAGTGAACTCACCATCTCCACTAGAGTCAGCAAACCTGACAGGCACACCACAGAGAACATGATAACCACGAGCACAGTCTTCTCTGTTGAGTTGGAGGCATAACATTTGGCCACAGTACATGGCATGGTATGCACGACGACAGGGTTAAAGTGGGAGAAACCAAAATCAAAGCCTGTCCCACTGCAAACCCCACCTGGAGGCACAGAAAAGCAGAATGCCAGCAACACATTTATTATATACAGACTACAACAAGCCAAGTTAAAGGTATTTTAATCAATTTCTGAGATGGGGTTTTAGCCAATTCTGTGGTCTGGTCGCTGCCACAAAGACCACTGGTCGCTACCACTAGGGGCGCTAGTGATACTGGTCGCTGCCACACAGACCACTGGTCGCTACCACAGTCTCTAAGGGAAGGCTCCTTTCTGTTCCTTGTCACACAAACTGTGGCTGTATTAAAAAAGGTCAGTTTCAAGTTTTTATACAGTCTGTGGTTCCAAAGTAGACCTAAAGTGACCTTAGATCATTTAAATTATCTCAACTGGCAGATGATACAATTTTTTTTTGTCTAATAGAGAGGAATGGATCAAAGCAATTTTCTACTGTATCAGGCTTAAGAATGAACTTGAACAAATCTGTTTATTATTTACATTAAAAAGATAAACAGACTTAAATGAGCATACTTTCCTAATAAACTACCTTACGCTGCGCACCGCATGACTGACAGGATGGCTGCACTTCTCCACCATCAGCCACTATCGTGCTCACAGTTTTGAACAAACAGGTTAAGGCCGCGACCAGTGAACATGAAACTAGAATTAGACTCTGTATTGACTGCTGCTTATTTGTTTAGCATTATTGGATTTTTGATGCATCCTCCAATTAGTACAGCGCTACATATGATAATATGCTTGCTATTATGTGCCGGCGGCCATCAGTGCGTAAAATAATAACACTTAAATATTATACCTATCATAAAGGGCGAAATTGAGTCTCTCCTTGAGCAATAGTCTTTGGTGGCATTTTTCACGCTATTGAAACTTTGTTGCAATATCGCAGACATCACGGGCAAGTAGTGGACTGCTGTGTGTGTGTTTGTGCGTGTGGGCATGAGATGAGGCTCCACACTGCTGCCACACTGGTCGGTGTGGTCACTGCCACTAGGCGCGCTGAAGACAGTGGTCGCTGCCACACTGACCACTGGTTGCAATTGGTTATATCTACTGTAATACATCTTTATCGTAATTCTTTGTTAAAATATTATGGATTATGCCTATTCTTATTGTTGCACTATATATTGCAGTTTGTGTGGTTATACCTACAGTAATAGCCTACATCTATCTATCTTTAGTCCTTGCCTTATAACAAGGCCTGTGTTATCACCTGTGAATGAAACTGTGTGTTTGTGTGTACATCTTACTATATCACAATACTTCGTAAAATGTACTCTATTATATCTTATTGATGCACTGTAGGCATACAGTATATTGTAGTTTGTGTGGTTGTAGCCAAACTACAGTAGGCTAATACATCTATCTAGATCACAATACTTATAAATATAACTACTTATTAAATATAGCCTACAATATTATCGATTATGCCTATATTCTTATTGGTGCACTGTATATTGCAGTTTGTGTGGTTAACCTGCAGTAATAAATCTCTATCTTTGGTTCTTGCCTACAAGAAGAAGGCCAGTGTTGTCACCTGTGAAGGAAAGTGTTGTGACTACTTGTTGGTTGAATCCAAGCTAGACTGATTTTAACAATAAGAATATAGTTAATCAAAAATGAGTAGGCTATATTTAACAAAGTATTATGATCTAGATATATTTGTTACTGTAGATAGGCTATAACCACACAAACCGCAATATATAGTGCAACAATAAGAGTAGGCATAATCGATAACATAGTATATTTAACAAAGAATGATGATAAAGATGTATTACATAGTAGATATAACCAACTGCAACCAGTGGTCAGTGTGACAGCGACCACCGTCTTTAGCGCCCCTAGTGGCAGCGACCACAACAACCAGTGTGGCAGCAACCCAAGACTGTGGAGCCTCGTCTCATGCCCTCTCTCGCCAAATTAACAGATTAAGTCTGGTTCGCGATGTCTTCTTCATACTTTGGTGTTTTTGAATTGAATAACGGCAACCATGCGCATAAAATACTATCTATTCATTTCCAGGCCATTTTATCAACTTAGTTAGCCATTTAACTTTGGAAAGTATTGTTAAAGGTTTCAAAACTTAAAACCTCCAGACCTCAATTTTTTATGTTGCACAGGGTATCTTTCCCTAAATAATGACATTTGTTCCTTCAAATGAAATTAAATAAGATCTTATCTAATTCTTTGTATATTTCAGTAGGCATTTCCAGTGTTAAGGATGCATAGATATGGATATTCCCTCAGTATTAGATAGTAGAACTCTACCATTCAGTGAAAGATGCCTCATCCACCACATGTTGAACCTTTTCTCATTATTTGTTTAATCATAGGGCTGAAGTTTAGGTTATTGCAGAGTCACACCCAGGTATGTAACTGGGTTCTTCACAGGGATACCATTAACTTCTGATAGTTCACATTCCTTAAGTGGTAGCCTAATAAACAGATTTGTTCAAGTTCATTCTTAAAATTCCTCAACACATCTAATTGCTTTGATCCATTCCTCTCTATTAGACAAAAAAAAATTGTATCATCTGCCAGTTGAGATAATTTAAATGATCTAAGGTCACTTTAGGTCTACTTTGGAACCATAGACTGTATAAAAACTGAAACTTGAAACCGACCTTTTTTTAATACAGCCACAGTTTGTGTGACAAGGAACAGAAAGGAGCCTTCCCTTAGAGACTGTGGTAGCAACCAGTGGTTCGTGGGGCAGCAAGGCAGCGACCAGTGGTCTGTGTGGCAGACCAGTATCTTTAGCAACCCTAGTGGCAGCGACCAGTGGTACACACACTTAACATGAGGAACAAACATTGTGTAGATTTGTTTGCACTTAGACTCACCTCTAGCAGAAAGACAACTGACAAGCAGCCCAAATATACACCTAGTACGTGACCTTCTACCCAAGTCCCTGGGCCCTTTAAAGAGAGGAACATCTTTACAATTATAGCAAAGTCACATAAGAAGAAAAAGGCAGATCCAGCAAACATGATGTTGCAAGAAAATGGTTTGTTTTGACAATGAACATTAGTCAGAGGTTTACAGAGGAAACAGGCAACTTTCATTTGAGAATTAACTTTATCAAGTTTCACAATATGCTTTATTGTGTTTTTTAGATTATAAAATGAGACAAATTAATGCGACAAAAATATTACATTATCTACCTTTCTTCCCATGACGACGAGGTGGACCAAGTAACAGAATAAAATCAGACCAGGAGCCAAAACGAGAACCACCTGGAGATGATGTAAATTTTAATAAATTAAACTTGATTTACTAGTAGTAAAAGCTTTTAGTACACAGTATATGTCTGATACAAAACTAACACATTTTTCCAAACAGGCTGCACCACTGCCCCGACAATAACAAGCCGGTTTAACTGCAACACCAGGAGGACAGTTTTAACTGAGAGGGAGGAACGGAAAGTCCAGTTACATGCACGTTGGCCATGTTTGAGAGCTGACAGAATATAAGCGAGATATATAAAGTCCACAGATATAAAATTTGCTTTAAACTGATTGTAAAACTATCTACTAAGTCCACTCAGTTTTCCTCAGCTCACTGAATTGTGAACCTCATGGTGATAATTTCTTTTCATAATTTAGGTTTAGCATCTTTTATGTGATGTTCTCCCCGTGTCTGCGTGGGTTCTCTCTGGGTGCTCCGGCTTCCTCCCACCGTCCAAAGACATGCGGCCTAAGTGGATTGGTGACCCTAAATTATCCTTAGGTGTGAGTGTGAGCGTGAGTGGTTCTTTGTCTATCTGTGGCCCTGCTATGGACTGACGACCTGTCCAGGGTGTACCCCGCCTTTCGCCTGATGTCAGCTGGGATTGGCTCCAGCCCCCCCGCGACCCTGTACGCAGGATAAGCGGTTGACGATGGATGGATGGATGGATGGATCTTTTATGTGACAACCAGCTGGTTTGTGGCCGCCTTCAAAAGAGTTCAGCTTTATTGACATTGTCTTTTTTTCCGGGACCTATCTTCCTGGCTTTTCACTAATCCCACTTTCTGAAACGGGGCCCAGGTCTGTTGCATCTCATTGAGGGAATGGTGGAGGCGATTACCAGACTAGGGATGCACCCAAAGACACAGCAGGAGAGGAACGAGAGGGAACATCAGTCAGTGCCCATTTGCAGAGGCTGAGCATCCAGGTGCCAAGAAAACCACCTCGATGTTGTGGAACTGAGGGCGACATTGACAGACTCAACATTGACACTATCGCATCTTGAGGTAAGCAACGGTACTAGACAGGACAGCCTGAGGCTAGTATGCAACCTTCAGTAGATATCTCTGAAACATAATACATAGATGTCTTTGACATAACGTGACTGTGATTAAGCACGTTGTGTTGATCATATGAGTTCAATTTTGAGTTTTAACTATGTTTTTTTTTTATAGCTCCTTTAAACTCAGTCATATGTGAGTACTCTCCAAATATTAAGTATACTATGATGTCTGTCACGTAATGTAACAAACATATTGCTTCAATTATAACAATAAAAAACAAGTAATGTAACAAATGTGTTTGCTCATATCTGTTTGAAGTATGAATGGATGCACTTTACAAATAAACTTGAGACTTTTAGTTACAATGTTTGCAAGATCACTGAAAAAATCTAAGAAACTATATTAGGCTACTTGAACAAAGTGTAATTTGCTCATATCTGAGATATTATTCACTCTATAGGCCCTATTCGCCCTGTAGGGAGCATGTAAAATGTACACATAAAAGTGCCTTAATGGAATTTTAGAAAAAGACTTTACCTTTACCTTACTGGTAAGTTATTCAGCCTCTGTTATACTCAATACAGTTTCATGTGACTTTAGCTGTATCTAGTGGACAAATGGGGAAACCGCAGTGAGAGGAATCATATATTTGGAAACATTCTTTTTTTTTTTATCTGTTCAACAATATATATATACTGTATATCTACATATCAGAAAAAAATAAACAACAACTATAATAATAATAACATAGGTAACAAGCTAAACAATAGAATTAACATTAATTATTAAGTAATTTAGCAGAAAATATAGCAAATTAGTTACTAATTTACTTTACAGGATTTTTATCAATATTTACAAGATTTATACATGTACACATTGAGCAATACACAATATACGTACAATATATACAAGGCAATGAGGTAATGCAGTGCAATAGTATGCAATGTTAAGCAGATATTTACATTCACTAACTCACTTTTTTTCCACTGTCTGATTTGATACCAGATAAGAGGCAGATATTGTAGCCAATATGACTTATTATATTTTAGTCTTATTATAAGAATATAAATAACATGGCAAATTAAATTACATTGTAACCCACAAAGTGCAAATAATGTTGAGGACATGTAAATCTCTGTGCACAGGTAATTCTGACTAACCCACACCATGTCTAATCCAGGACCAAATTAGGTAAATACAACTGGGATTAAACCAGGTCTAAATCAATTCCAAACTAGGGCAAAATCTTAACTAGGTCTAATCCAGGCCTGAACCAGGTCCAAACCATAGCCCAGAAATCTGCTATTGTGATTTGGGGGATGTAGTTGCAGATGTAGTTGGCTCTCTAGTTGTTTTTTTTCTTTTCTTTTTGAGTTCCTCATCTACTACATTTTTGAAGTGTTCAAAACTGTTGAACACAACACCTTCAAAACCTGAAGTGGTTGACTTCCTAGTTGCTAGGCAATAGGTAAATATTTTTTGGCTACTTTCAGCAGCCTTGTCTTTGGAGGGCGTGTACCTCTTACGCTGCCCACCACACTGGGATACTTGGCAGGCTCCACAAGGCTTTGTGGATTTATGAGGCTTGATTGGTCTGGATCTCAGCGCAGGAGGCGGTGCGAAAGGTATGAAGCCTTTACTGCTGGATGCCCCACAGAGCATCATGGATGGTCCCTGTGGCTGTGCAGGAACCACTACCAGGACAGGTGTTGCTGACGCTCTGGGTGGGATGTACGTGGCCACAGGGGGTTTATCTTGAATGGGCCGGTTCACAAGCTCCGGCTCTTCCACATCTACACTGCAAATATAAATCATACACGTGATGATGACTATAATTCATGAGAATCAATGTGTATGACTATCAATTCACATGGTTTGTTGTGTTTAAGTTCAAACCATCCAGCTGATAAATTCAGATATGTTCACATATTGTAATAAAGTCACATACTTGTGAAATGAAGAACTGGACAACTTACCTCCGCTTCTGACCATACCTTTTCCCAGCTGCATGACGTAGGCTCTGGTACTGAACCTGAGGTCGATCTGGAGCTGGTAGGGATTCTGGCAGAGTAGGAGCTGCTGGCATTGGTTCTTCTGACAGCACTCTTTGGTGGGGTTTCACCTTTGGCCCTGTAGTTAGCCTTCTTCTCTTCCCGTGCCATGAATGTAGAGATGGCCTTGAATCGCCAATCTTCAGCCTTAGGTCAGCTGGCACTAGGTGACTGTTGTCTGCCAGTTCTAAAAGGAGCAGGGCCAAGGCTTCTCCAGCCCAGGAAGATGCAGATGGCTCTGGGTCATCAGCACATCCTGCAGAGCAGGACTGTCCTTCTCCTCCACCTGTTCTGATTGAGTGAGGATGACATGTTTGTCACTGACAGTGTCCATAGGATCCTGCTCTGACTCTGCACCCACGACCACACCCTCATCTGCCAGCTCGTCCTCACTTTGTTCAGCCGTCTCCTCTTCTTCACGGGACTGCTCTTCCTCAACTGCAAATATGTAATGTACTAATCACCAGTGTGTCTAGGCAGTTACAACAACTAACAGTAGACTAATTAACACAACATGGCAATGCTGCAGTTCATTTGTTTCATAATGTGTAAAATAAAAATGAACTGTATCATACATACTTGTCATGGATAGAATATGCATGATATTTATAGGTATTTGACCACTTAGTATGTATGTATATTGTTATAATGCAAGATTTTGTACCTTACTGGGCATAGTAATCCCTTGGAGTTAAGCTGGTTGACTGGCACGTGGCATACTCTACTCCAAGGAGCTCCTCCTCATCTGGGTCCTTGTATACAGCAGGGTAGGGCATTGGAGCGGCAATGATTAACGATTAATGCTTTTAAAATCCAACAAAGGTTAAAGTCAAGGGCAACTGGACTTGGTTGAAGATACTGGAAGACCTTTCGTCCCTCATCCAAAGGACTTCTTCAGTTCTGACTGACTGGCAGGGAAACTCAGCTATTTAACCTCAGTGGGGTCGTTTGCCAGGATCGTTGATACCGCTGGTTCGTTAGTGTTCCTGGCTGTTGTAACGACAGTCATTACAGTCGTTAGTACTACCGAGGCCGAGACTGAACGACCATCGTTGGTATCTTCACCTACCTCAGTTGGGAAGTGTTTTAGGGTATCATATATTTTTTTGCTTTAGGACTTTTCAGCGTTTTTGAGGATTTTATATATAATTTAAATTAATTTAAAAAAACAACAAATTTGGGAGTAGACTTCACAATTCTACATTTGTGAATGAAAAAATTAGCTATTACTACTGAGCTCATCACCCTTGCTTTGCAATATCAATCCAAATGTTTATGTTTAAACTCATTTATGTATATCACACCAAAATGTCTGTATCACATTACATGAGAAAAACACATGGTCTGTAGTTTCGATATCACTTTCACAAAATGTACATGTGTTATCATCGTTATCATCTATACCAAAGCGAAGTCTAAGTAATTCTTTAGAGGGGTAAATGGTGTTCATTACGTTTCTTTCATTTTGGGGGGTATAAGGAGTGTTAGATGTTGTTCTTAATTTAGTAATTGAATCTTTATCAAATTTTGTAGGATGTTGTTTTTATTTTGTCTTTCAGGGTAAAGGTATTCAGTAAAACAATTTCTAATAAAGTGGTTAGTGCATTTTCTATCCAGAACAAAGATTCCTTGAATTGATAGTGGGCCCAATTGTGGTTGTATTGGATGATATGCCAAAGTGTTAGAAAGTCAAATTCTTGGGGTAGTGTTCTATGTAATTTAGTAAAGTCTGATTTTAAGGGTTTGAAATTATGCTTGATGCAAAATTGTTCATAATTTAAAAATTGTCCGTTGGTATCCATTAAGTCAGCTATGGACCATATATTTCTCCCATACCAATCTTCAAAGAACAGAGATCTGTTGCGGTGCAAAACACATGGTGTGGGGTGAGAAGTTATGTACATATAAAATTTTCCAATACAAGAGTATTTGTCTATGAAACTCTGACAATGATATAGGTAATTTGTCAACATTAAAGTTCGCTCTAAGAAGAAATTCTAAACCTCCAATTTTCTTGAATAAGGCATTTGGAATACAATGCCAAAAGAAGTTGCTGTGTTTGATCCAAGATTTTACCCAATTTATTTTTAAGGTTCCATTAAGGCAGTCAAAATCAATAACTTTGATATGCATGATATTTATAGGTATTTGACCACTTAGTATGTATGTATATTGTTATAATGCAAGATTTTGTACCTTACTGGGCATAGTAATCCCTTGGAGTTAAGCTGGTTGACTGGCACGTGGCATACTCTACTCCAAGGAGCTCCTCCTCATCTGGGTCCTTGTATACAGCAGGGTAGGGCATTGGAGCGGCAAAGTTGGGCTTGAGGACATGCTCTTTACCGAAGAGCACCTCAGCCTGCTGAATCTGCCGCGGGTCCATACACCACGTCTGACTGCCATGACCACCAGCAACCCGGAGTGATTCCATGCGGCTGTTCCACTGCACAGCAAATGCAATCAGATACACCTGAAATACATGACCATTCATGCATTATTGTACATCAGAAACTAATTTTGATTACAAAGTGGGCATCGCCCAGCAGCATGACATACAATTTGTCTTTTGTCCGCAATAGGCTATTTTGTGTGTGTGCATCTCATACACCCAGTTGATGCTATGTGAACAGCATAGAGCTCACACAAGCACAAGAGGAGAGGGTAGCACAAAAGCAGGGAGGATACAGGTAAAGTATGCCTATGAACAATGATGTGTAATCAATATTTTTTTTAATATTAAAGCGGTTTATACTTACTTGGAATGGCATAACTCCACATCTCTGTGGGGAATGGCATTGTACAGGTGTGAGTGCAAGCCCTCCAAGGAGTTACTGCCTCGCCGACACCTGTACTTGTTTAGGCAGACACCATTCAGCACCACCACCTTCACTGAAACATACAGCTGTATGCCAGGGGGTCCTGTAAAACATAAGTTACTTATTTATTATCCTGCCACATACACTGCACTTCTGTCCCTCCAAATCTATGCTTTTTATCTGATGTAATAAAACAGAAACAGATTCAAATTAGTTTCTTCTTTTCAAACTGTACAGTGGACTAAACACTGGAAGACCAGGAGATGCAAAACATGTACACAAGTAACAGTACTGCTATTAATATTACTTAAAGTAGAAGTAAAAAGGTATTTTGTAAAATAATAATAATTAAAAAAAAATACTACACAAGTACTGAGGAATCTTCATGGATGTTATCTGATTTACCTTTTAATGTGATATTTCATATGATTAGCTGAAAGTTCAAAAGGTAATGGTTTTATAATTTTAGACTATATTTTTGCTTGCCTTGTGTTTTCAGTGTTTTAACATGTTATTGACTGTTAATGGCTTATCAGTTACTATGAGACAAAATAGTTTAAATTAGTGGAGATAGCCGACAAAACAGGCCTAAACTATTTAAATGTACAGTATGTAGTCAGTCAATTCCAACAGGACAAACTGGCAAGTGACAGTAGTGTTACTAGCCATAAGTAAAATCTACCTGTATTTGGATAGTAGGTTAGTTCTAATGTCCAGCCCTGATTGTGTTTGGGTATTTCCAAAGTATTTACTTTTTAGTAAAACATTACAAAGACTATCAAGAATTACTGCATTTTACGATTCATTTTAGTTAGTTAGATGGGCGATTATATTTTCTCTATTAATGCTTTTAAAACTTTAACAGTTAATAACTTTGTAATTGCTGCATGTAAATCCATGCAGAAAAAACTGTTAGAAAGCGTATCTATTCGTAAAGCCGTTTTTGGCCAAACGCTACGCGAAGACGTGATGTTAAACAGTCCTAGTCTATTTAATACACTAAAATCCGCTGTTCCGTGCTAATCGCGGTATCTAATGCGAGCCGTTACAGCTAACCCCGCTTAAACACTGTCAACGATCATTCGGTAAAGACTAAAAACGTATAAAATCACAGAGAATATACTGGACTTACCTCTTGTTTGCTGTCACCGATCTCAGCCCACTGATGATAGTAGTGTTGTTTACGCTTATCATTCCCATGATGCACTTGACGCGGTGAGTCAAAGCAATGGCTGGTGGGTTGAGGGTTGTGGGTTGGGTTGCGTAAATAACACTACCATCATCAGTGGACTGAGATTCAAGGTTAATGTGGGTATTCCTCAACGTTGCCAAATCTCACCATACCTGTTCATCTTAGCCACAGATTGCTAGCAATCTATATTAAAAACTGTAATGATATTAAAAAACTTAATGTACTTGGAACAGACATTATACTCAGCCAACTAGCAGATGACACAACAATATTCTTAAAAGATACCAAATTTAAACAACTATTGCCAAAATCGAAACATTCTCCAAAGCATTAGGCCTAACATTAAACTTAAAAAAGTGTGAATTGCTGGCTGTACACGACACTCTACTGAAAGACATCTGTAATATCCCTATTAAATCAGAAATTAAAACTTCTGAATGTAGAAAATAAAATTAAAGAATGCAAGTCAAGACTAAATATATGGCTACAGAGGGACTTATCAATACTAGGTCGAATTTACCTAACTAAGATGGAATGTTTATCGAGATGTATTTACCCAGCCTATTCCAATGCCATTCCAAACAAATTGATTAAATCTATCAACCAAATCAATTTAAATTTCATTTGGAGAAATAGACCACATTATATGAAGAAGAGCAGTATGGTTAAAGACACAAAGGATGGAGGACTCAAAGTTATTGATTTTGACTGCCTTAATGGAACCTTAAAAATAAATTGGGTAAAATCTTGGATCAAACACAGCAACTTCTTTTGGCATTGTATTCCAAATGCCTTATTCAAGAAAATTGGAGGTTTAGAATTTCTTCTTAGAGCGAACTTTAATGTTGACAAATTACCTATATCATTGTCAGAGTTTCATAGACAAATACTCTTGTATTGGAAAATTTATATGTACATAACTTCTCACCCCACACCATGTGTTTTGCACCGCAACAGATCTCTGTTCTTTGAAGATTGGTATGGGAGAAATATATGGTCCATAGCTGACTTAATGGATACCAACGGACAATTTTTAAATTATGAACAATTTTGCATCAAGCATAATTTCAAACCCTTAAAATCAGACTTTACTAAATTACATAGAACACTACCCCAAGAATTTGACTTTCTAACACTTTGGCATATCATCCAATACAACCACAATTGGGCCCACTATCAATTCAAGGAATCTTTGTTCTGGATAGAAAATGCACTAACCACTTTATTAGAAATTGTTTTACTGAATACCTTTACCCTGAAAGACAAAATAAAAACAACATCCTACAAAATTTGATAAAGATTCAATTACTAAATTAAGAACAACATCTCACTCCTTATACCCCCAAAATGAAAGAAACGTAATGAACACCATTTACCCCTCTAAAGAATTACTTAGACTTCGCTTTGGTATAGATGATAACGATGATAACACATGTACATTTTGTGAAAGTGATATCGAAACTACAGACCATGTGTTTTTCTCATGTAATGTGATACAGACATTTTGGTGTGATATACATAAATGAGTTTAAACATAAACATTTGGATTGATATTGCAAAGCAAGGGTGATGAGCTCAGTAGTAATAGCTAATTTTTTCATTCACAAATGTAGAATTGTGAAGTCTACTCCCAAATTTGTTGTTTTTTTAAATTAATTTAAATTATATATAAAATCCTCAAAAACGCTGAAAAGTCCTAAAGCACAAAAAATATATGATACCCTAAAACACTTCCCAACTGAGGTAGGTGAAGATACCAACGATGGTCGTTCAGTCTCGGCCTCGGTAGTACTAACGACTGTAATGACTGTCGTTACAACAGCCAGGAACACTAACGAACCAGTGGTATCAACGATCCTGGCAAACGACCCCACTGAGGTTAAATAGCTGAGTTTCCCTGCCAGTCAGTCAGAACTGAAGAAGTCCTTTGGATGAGGGACGAAAGGTCTTCCAGTATCTTCAACCAAGTCCAGTTGCCCTTGACTTTAACCTTTGTTGGATTTTAAAAGCATTAATCGTTAATCATTGCCGCTCCAATGCCCTACCCTGCTGTATACAAGGACCCAGATGAGGAGGAGCTCCTTGGAGTAGAGTATGCCACGTGCCAGTCAACCAGCTTAACTCCAAGGGATTACTATGCCCAGTAAGGTACAAAATCTTGCATTATAACAATATACATACATACTAAGTGGTCAAATACCTATAAATATCATGCATATTCTATCCATGACAAGTATGTATGATACAGTTCATTTTTATTTTACACATTATGAAACAAATGAACTGCAGCATTGCCATGTTGTGTTAATTAGTCTACTGTTAGTTGTTGTAACTGCCTAGACACACTGGTGATTAGTACATTACATATTTGCAGTTGAGGAAGAGCAGTCCCGTGAAGAAGAGGAGACGGCTGAACAAAGTGAGGACGAGCTGGCAGATGAGGGTGTGGTCGTGGGTGCAGAGTCAGAGCAGGATCCTATGGACACTGTCAGTGACAAACATGTCATCCTCACTCAATCAGAACAGGTGGAGGAGAAGGACAGTCCTGCTCTGCAGGATGTGCTGATGACCCAGAGCCATCTGCATCTTCCTGGGCTGGAGAAGCCTTGGCCCTGCTCCTTTTAGAACTGGCAGACAACAGTCACCTAGTGCCAGCTGACCTAAGGCTGAAGATTGGCACTGCAGTTGGTGCTCTGCATGAGCATGACAGGTCTGCAGCCAACTCTGTAAAAAGGTATGAGTCTAGGTGGGGTTACACCATGTTTGGCAGATGCTTGGGAGTTGACACACCTGAGACCAGAGCAGCAGAGAAGACAAAGTTTTCCTGGATGAAGTACCCTCAGGCAGCCCAGGTGACTGAGGATAGTCGTCTGTTGTACCTCATTATTAAGATGCTGAAAACCGGCCACCAGCCAGTCGTCTCACCTCCCCCACTAAAATCACCAATGCAATCAAGGGCCAGAATAAAAGGATTGTAGAGTGAGTCACAGAGACGATCCCATCCTCAACGGTTTCTCAATTCCTCTGCCCAATCTGAATGCCAAGGCCATCTCTACATTCATGGCACGGGAAGAGAAGAAGGCTAACTACAGGGCCAAAGGTGAAACCCCACCAAAGAGTGCTGTCAGAAGAACCAATGCCAGCAGCTCCTACTCTGCCAGAATCCCTACCAGCTCCAGATCGACCTCAGGTTCAGTACCAGAGCCTACGTCATGCAGCTGGGAAAAGGTATGGTCAGAAGCGGAGGTAAGTTGTCCAGTTCTTCATTTCACAAGTATGTGACTTTATTACAATATGTGAACATATCTGAATTTATCAGCTGGATGGTTTGAACTTAAACACAACAAACCATGTGAATTGATAGTCATACACATTGATTCTCATGAATTATAGTCATCATCACGTGTATGATTTATTTTTGCAGGGTAGATGTGGAAGAGCCGGAGCTTGTGAACCGGCCCATTCAAGATAAACCCCCTGTGGCCACGTACATCCCACCCAGAGCGTCAGCAACACCTGTCCTGGTAGTGGTTCCTGCACAGCCACAGGGACCATCCATGATGCTCTGTGGGGCATCCAGCAGTAAAGGCTTCATACCTTTTGCACCGCCTCCTGCGCTGAGATCCAGACCAATCAAGCCTCATAAATCCACAAAGCCTTGTGGAGCCTGCCAAGTACCCCAGTGTGGTGGGCAGCGTAAGATTTCTGGGCTATGGTTTGGACCTGGTTCAGACCTGGATTAGACCTAGTTTAGATTTTGCCTTGGTTTGGAATTGATTTAGACCTGGTTTAATCCCAGTTGTATTTACCTAATTTGGTCCTGGATTAGACATGGTGTGGGTTAGTCAGAATTACCTGTGCACAGAGATTTACATGTCCTCAACATTATTTGCACTTTGTGGGTTACAATGTAATTTAATTTGCCATGTTATTTATATTCTTATAATAAGACTAAAATATAATAAGTCATATTGGCTACAATATCTGCCTCTTATCTGGCATCAAATCAGACAGTGGAAAAAAAGTGAGTTAGTGAATGTAAATATCTGCTTAACATTGCATACTATTGCACTGCATTACCTCATTCCCTTGTATATATTGTACGTATATTGTGTATTGCTCAATGTGTACATGTATAAATCTTGTAAATATTTATAAAAATCCTGTAAATAATAATTTATTAATAACTAATTTGCGATATTTTCTGCTAAATTACTTAATAATTAATGTTAATTCTATTGTTTAACTTGTTACCTGTGTTGTTATTATTGTTGTTGTTTATTTATTTCTGATATGTAGATATATATTGTTGAACAGATAAAAAAAAAAAAAAAAAAAAAGAATGTTTCCAAATATATGATTCCTCTCACTGCGGTTTCCCCATTTGTCCACTAGATACAGCTAAAGACTGTCACATGAAACTGTATTGAGTATAACAGAGGCTGAATAACTTACCAGTAAGGTAAAGGTAAAGCCTTTTTCTAAAATTCCATTAAGGCACTTTTATGTGTACATTTTACATGCTCCCTACAGGGCGAATAGGGCCTATAGAGTGAATAATATCTCAGATATGAGCAAATTACACTTTGTTCAAGTAGCCTAATATAGTTTTTAGATTTTTTCAGTGATCTTGCAAATATTGTAACTAAAAGTCTCAAATTTATTTGTAAAGTGCATCCATTCATACTTCAAACAGATATGAGCAAACACATTTGTTACATTACTTGTTTTTTATTGTTTTAATTGAAGCATTATGTTTGTTACATTACGTGACAGACATCATATTGTACCCGACCCTGCTTAGCTTGCAAGATCGGACGAGATCGGGCGTGTTCAGGGTGGTATGGCCGTAAGCGAGAGGAGAGTTCACATGAAGTCATGAACACCGGTTAACATTTACACACAGAGATGAGAGAGGCGTATGTTTGATAAATTCTGGGCAGGATTACAGTGATACAATTTCCCCACATGAACATGAATGATAAAGACTATTACAGCTGAGGAATGTAAATAAATAAATTACTGTAATTTTTCTCTTCTTTACAAACAGCAGAAGGCACTGCTGCTTCTTCTTCAGTGCAGACGGCTTGTCAAAGCAGAAGAGAAGAGCATAGAGCACGAAAATGATTTTTTTCACCACTGAAAATATAAATACATAAAATAGACTGGTAGAGTCTTGCCAAGAATTCAAACTTCTGTAGAAACCTGTGTGGCAGACGATGATGGGTTGGGTAGTGAATTACTGTTGGAGTGGCAGTAAAAGTGGAAACAAAAGAGGGAAAAGTGTGGTGTTGCACCACTGTTCAGTTATTTAAATGGGAGAATGCTCTAACATAAATTAACATAACAGCGACGACTTAAAGGCCGTTTCAGTGAAATGAAAGATAACTCACATATGGCTGAATTTAAAGGAGCTATATATAAAAAAAAAAACAGTTAAAACATTCACAATTGAACTCAAATGATCAACACAACATGCTAAATCACAGTCACGTTATGTCAAAGACATCTATGTATTATGTTTCAGAGATATCTACTGAAGTGCTGTCTCGTACCGCTGCTTACCTCAAGATGCGATAGTGTCAATGTCGCCCTCAGTTCAACAACACCGAGGTGGTTTTCTTGGCACCTGGCTGCTCAGCCTCTGCAGGTGGGCATTGACTGATGTTCCCTCTTGTTCCTCTCCTGCTGTGTCTTTGGGTGCATCCCTAGTCTGGTAATCGCCTCCACCATTCCCTCAGTGAGATGCAACAGACCTGGGCCCGTTTCAGAAAGCGGATTAGTGAAAATTCTGAGTATGTTGGGAAACTCTGGGTTTTCTGTTTCAGAGAGCGAGATCAGATAATCCCTACATCAGTAACTCCGGCAACTTATCCTGTGAACCTAACCTCCTCCCGTGGAAGATAGGTTTACAGGATGAATTGGAATACCGTCAGTTTCTCTCTGACTCCTCCCCTCTGGTAAATGATGAATGAGCAACGCTGTATAGTAGCCTAATAATGATAACGCATTGATCCTTCCACTCCTGCATTTTAGAGCCTATCATGGTCCGTGTTGGCACGCATTCATATTTCTAGCTCCACCCGAGTAAAATGGAAGCTCTGGGTGCTTCTCAAGTCTCTTATATGTCGTTTCCTCGCTCCTCGCTTGAACCGGAAGTTGTTCCGCTCCGCCATCTTGCAGGCCGCTGCAGCTGATCGGACTGATCTGATACATCAGGACAGATAATATTAAACTAAACTAAAGGTGTATCACTGCAAAGTCTTATATTTGAGTTGTTTTATGATTCACTGTCTTGTTAAAATCTGTGTTCATTGTACGTCTGAACAACAAAAGCCCCCCACAACTTTATTTAGGCTATTTATTGGAAATATCTTTTGTTTTTTAAATTTCTCCCATCAACTTTTATTATGGAGACAATTAAAGTCAGAGAGAGTCGGAGAGTCTGTCTGCAAGAAACATGTCTAAAAGGGTAGCCTCAGGGGTGGACTGGTAAACTGGCATAGGCTACCGGCCAACGAACTTTTAGGGCCGGTGTTGTGCCGAACTCTGCCGAGAATTGCATGCACCTCGCGAGTGACAACGGTCATTTATGCTGAGAAAAGAAGTGGATGCAAATCTCGGCAGGTAGCCTATAAAATTTGTTCTGACGAATTATGCATCCACCTCTTTAGGTCCTTTTCAGACACTTTGCTGTGCTCATTGCTCAAATGCGGTTATCACCACATATTTACTGAATGTCAAGGAATGGTAATTCTACTAAGTGTATTAAAATATTAAAGACTCTAAACGTTCATAAAATATACTTATACCACCATTGATGAAGCCCACAAACAATATTACAGCGTTTAAAAGGCAGTATTTGGAGGTGCATGCAATTCTTGGCTGGCAGGCAAAACTCGGCATAACGGTGTTATGTAAATTATTTAGGCTATTTATATAGGCCTAACTGATTTTAAAAAATGCTGCATAGGCCTATACTGACATTGGGCTGGCCCAATCACATCTCTTACTACCCCCCCACCCCTCTGCTCGAGCTGTTTCTTGTGTTGTGGGATTGAACATTTCATCAGTATTTCCTTTTAAACTAAATTCAAATTGATTAAGCTAATTTATCATTAAAGTGAAAAGGTGCCACATGCACAAAGACTTTAGGCTACTTCAGGCATGCCTGCATGTATGTAGACTCAGCTGGGATTAAATTAAATGAGAAAAGTTGATCTACGGGAGAAACATTTCCTCGATAAATTGGTGCAAAAAAAGGGGAGGACCCCCAGACCCCCCCTAGTTACTATTATCAGTGTTAATTATTATCTGAAAATGAGAGGGGGGGGGGGGGGGGGGGGTCGAGCTTTTCTCATTTCTCCTCGATCCCATAGACAGTATATTACTGGACGAAGCCACCCCGCAGATTTGAATGGAGAGCAGTGAAGCCAGTTTTGGACCAATAAAATACTACTATAGTAGTGGCAACTGCCTGTTGGCACCAGCGTCTACTGTGCATGATCGCATGGAAACACCGTAATTCAAAAACCAGACATTTTTCTGGATTGTGAAGAAATGATCTGTAGCCTTTAGTGCCAAAAGCTCCTCCTCAACTCCTCAAGCTCAATGCAGCTGAGGAGGAGACGCGAGGAGAGAGGAGTCGAGGAAACGGGCATTTGACGAAATGAGATGTCCTTTCCTCGGAGCAGTCATTTTAAAGCGACGTCAATTAAATCTGACCTGTTGCACAGCTGCATCATCTGTCCACTGTTGTTGTGATCTCTCTCAGAGCAGCAGACCAGCTTGTGGCACTAAAGGCTACATATAATTTCTTCACAATCCAGAAACATGTCTGTCAACATTATAACATGTAGAAATATCTCGAGGTTCCAATAAACATTATAGCATCTGTTGAAAACAGTCGGATTACAGCAGCCTAATCATTCACTAGGCTACACAGTAGACTAGACCTACCACTTTTTTGCGGTGCGCCTTTTGTCTGTAAACAGTAGATCATTACAGCCCTCAGCTTGATGAGATGAGTGTTTCATAATCAGTCCCTTTACAAAATGACACAGTAACATTTATGTAGTCCCATTTACAGCTGCCATCACAGGACTCTACTGTTGGAATAACGTGCAGACTACATGGGCACTATTACTATTATTATATTATTATATACCATTATTTACTTTGATGATTAGAAAGGCTGCTGTCAGTCATTTAAACGTTTCCATTGGTGAAGTAATGTCACAGCAAATATCCTGGGACAAAAGAGAAAAAACCTGCAGTAATAAACTTGACAGGACAGGGAGGAAAAAGTGACAGGAAAATGCAGTGCGCTTGCGTACACAACAGGGTGTTCAGGGGACCACCGTTTCTGTTGAAAAAAACGTTTTGCTACGTTTTGTCTGCGCTGAACTCGCCCCTGGTCTGCAACATGGCCAAGAAACTCCACGCCCATGGCTACCCAGTGTATGGCTTTATAGAGGAGAACGTGACCTCCTACAGGCTTATTAAAAACCTGGGCTTCACTGAAGATCCCTCATACAGATAAACCTGGTTTAGATTCAATGATCTTTAAAGTTGCTCTCAGAATGTTAGCTAATAAATGTGCCTTTGTAGCGTGTAAAGGGGAAAGGTAAAGTAAAAAGTTTCGTAAGACATTAAGGTGAAAAAGCTCATGCTACTGTTGTACTTCCTGTTTTGGTTCACTTACCTTAAACTGTAATAATCTGCTTCATGGACAGGCGCTTGCAGTGCTCTCTTCACAAATCTCTTTTCAGAGAACGCACTTGATGCATGACTGGATGTGAAATGAAAAGAATAAAATCTTAATGTAACTGATGTGAATATTTAATCCTGCTCTGGTGCTAGGTGTAAATTAAAACTCGTGGCAGGGCTTCAGGTAATGCCAATGCTCGTTATTGAATTCTCTTTTCAGTTAACAATTTGGTCAATAAAAGGTCAAATATAATGAGAAATCGCCATCAAAAGTAATCACAGCCCGAAGTGATGTCTTGAGACTATAAATTAATCAGTTAGATTTGAAATTAAAGCTGCAAGCAGCGACGGCCCCTGCCATACGTCAAAAGCAAGTCATTGATCTCAGCTCACAGTAAGCTCAAGCAGGTAGATTGTGTCCGACTTGACTGCGCAGTTTTTATTTCCGCCCCTGCAGTCACATGCAGCTCACTTTAAGACTATCAAGTCGGCGAAAGTCAGCCACACTTATCTCGAACGCACCTTATACGTTATGTCTCAGTACGTTGAGTGTGGAACACGTTAAAATTTTATTTAAATTGCGTGATGAGTGTCACACAGCGTTGACTTCCTGTTGCCAGTAGGTGTCGGTACCACTATAAATGATTATTGGCTTGTAGATGTGTTAGGGGCGGGACAGTTATCAAGCACATACATTTTTTTTGCAGATTTGAGCATGTAAAGTTACAATGACTTCCTGTTTCACGGCGAAGCGTGGGACTTCGCCAGAACAACTTCCGGTTCAAGCGAGGCTCGAAGAGTGAGCAAACGAAAAATAAGAAACTTGAGATGCACCTTGTATTATCCCTGGATAGTCGGAGCTGCTGTAGATCACCTCGGCACTGTATTCCCGGTAGTCAAATTGGCCCTTGTCGGTCTCGTCGGAGGTGTTCGGCCCGATTCTTGTGCCTATTCCTGTGTCCCGCCAGCATTCCCCGCTGTGTTCTCTTTGCCTCTGGCCTGAAAACCTCCTCCTGTTAGCAGCAGTTAGCAGATACTCTAGTAATAAGCTGCCCCCTATTTGTTTGGAGCATGAATTCAACAAACTGTATCTTTAAGACAGATATAATCCGACTCGACTCAAGGTGACGAAAGTCCCCCCCAGTAGTTCTGGGAAATGAAGGAAGAAAATATTGCAGCATGTGGAACAAACAATTTAATATAATTACAAAAATTAGGCACAAAGCTGGTTCACAATGTATAAGGAATATAGCAGAATAAATACCATGCTGTTTTCTTATAAATAAGCACACTTGAAAAGCTTTGACCTTCCTGCTATTACAGTGTACAAACTGATGTTTGGGGGAAGATGAGCCCAGAAATGAGCGGGTGTTTGGCGAATAACAAGTAGATGCAGAGCCTCCTGTGGTTCTTCCACTGAGGTCATCGCAACATAAAGTCCCTCATCTCAGGATCACTTTAGGAGTCTGCATGTTTTATGACGTAATTTCATCTTATATAAACACTGACATGGTGAACAGTTTGTGGAAACACAAATCATTCCCTACAGCACAGCAAAGTCCCCCTATTGCTGACAGTCTGAGAGTGTGTTACAGAAACTTGCTAACTTGCAGATCCTCTCTTGGACTCCTCCTAACTTAAGACAGGAAGTTTCTGTAATTTAGCCCCTGGCTCATGTGGAGAAAGTGGTGTGTTGCTCAGGACAGCAACATGTTTCCCTGGAGAAGAGAGAAGGAACGTTAGTGCGATGGATCAATAACCTGTCAATAAGACTGATTTATCACATACTTCTATGACGGGGTGTTCTCTTTGAAAATGACGACAGTGACCGAAATGATTAGTCTAAGCTTTCCACACATATCGTATATTTCATGTTCATATTCATGCTACAGTGGTGGTGAAGGGTTAATTGGTTAATCCTGACCCCATGTAAAGTAAATGCCTCATTCAAGTGACACTACTGAAAAGGCATATTTGGAGGGTTAGTGCTGTTGACACGTCTCCACTCAGACTAACCTGAATTTTATTACCTATCCATTCAAAATTACAAGGTATTGAAATTTATAAGTATACAGAATATTAATGAAAAGAAAATAATATTGTTATTTTAAAAAAAATCATAATTTGACACCATTACTACATATAATGATCTTTTTGAAAAATAATTATGAAATATAGGGAGCAAATTAAAACCCCTTTAAAAAAAATGTCCTTATTCAAACTATTTTACTTTATTTATGGATAAAGGGTGTCACAGGATGTACAGACTGTAAGTCCAAATAAATATTTTTTGGATATATAAATAAGCAAAGGAAAACTCCCGCACGCTGTCTAATTTCCAAAGAATATATTAACACAACGTTTCGGTACTAGACCTTCTTCAGGCAAATGGTGTTACATACTGAGAAGCCACCTTTTATAGGAGGTGACTTATTTGAAATTTCATTGGTAGTTTACATTACTGAAGTATGAGATGTATGAGAGTTTTTTGGTCCTATTGTGTTTTTTTGGGGTCATATGTCCTATGTATTTATCTAGTGTTATGTTTATTTGCTATTTCCTCTAAGTTATTTGTCTATTGATATATAAGGCACCGGTAAGATTTGCGAGTATGTCGATGTATGAGTGCATTTATTATATTATTCTGATGTATATTCAGTATACAGATATCTACATTCATTTCATGGAAGTATGAATGAATGTTTTGTAATGGCTGCCATATCTGATGAGGAAGTAGGTGATTGGTGTAGACAAAATAAGTCACCTCCTATAAAAGATGGCTTCTCACTATATAACACTATTTGCCTGAAGAAGGTCTAGTACCGAAAAGTTGTGTTAATATATTCCTTGCAAGTTAGACAGTGTGCTGGAGTTTTTCTTTGCTTCGTTTGACTTTTTTGTCCCCCTCCAACGCACCTGTTTCCCGTTTTTGAGGTGCGAAGTTAATTACTGTTCTGGATATATAAATAAGACTTGCCCAGGGAGCACCGGGGGCCTGTGACAACAGGCTACAAGCTAAATGAATTACAGAATTAATCTATATCAGAACATGTACAAAAAACATATTCATTAATGAATTTAATCAGATGTTTTAAACAGCTCTGTTATTATTCCGAAACACATAAAGAGACCTCTTCAAGAGATTGTTAATGAGTATGGCGGCTGATTACTAAGTTTTAAGTATCTTTTATTAAACACATGAGTGTATGAGTAGGTACAGGTCAGTACCTGTGTACAGCCGCTTCTTTCCTCTGCTCAGTCTTCCTTCTTGCTTTCGATAAGCTCCTGGGTCTGCTGGGCTAGCCTCCTCTTCTCAGCCTGCTCCTTCTTCAGGGCCTTCTCTATTTTATTACTCTGGTAGATCTTCACCCCGGCGAACGCCAGACACAGCAGCAGTGTCTTTAGGGCCAGGATGTACAGGAGGAGGGGGACATTGTCCAAAGCCTGAAGATAGATTGTGTTTATGTTATTAACACAGCTGCTCTAACTGTTTACTTTTGATTATTTGTTTTTCTTGCGGACAAACTTTACCAGTGAATGAAGGGAAAAGAAAGCTCTGGAACAGTCAGGGATGCTGGAGAACATGTTTCTCATCTCCAATTGATTGGTTTGGCCTAATAATCACATATTCCAATGATGTGATCCACCAAATAACACTGCAGGATATTCTGTTATCATCAACGATGTAATCTATGATAATCACACTTCAGGATGTTCTCTTACTAATGATTAAATTTGGAGTGACAAAGATCTGGTTTATTAAAAACAGCAGAAGTAGCCAGCTAGGCTGCTGCAGAAGTAAACCATCATGAACAAATCCACCACAAACGCGTGGTGATAAAGGGGTCACTTTTAAAATAAGATTATTATAGTAGCTTTGATGGTAATAGGGTTGTGTCTCAAAGCGATATATCACCGATGAATCAACCTCTAGGTCCCTCTTCAGAGGCCCCAGCTGTCCAAATGGGAGATGGAAGTTAATTTAGTCACAGAGAGAGGAGGAGGTGTGTGAAAGGGGGAAGCAGCTGCAAACCGTGTGCATTCTGGACTTAACAGTTGTAACAGTGTATCCAAAATTTCATTCAGAAATTGTACAATTTTCAAATTGCTATGCCAACTGACCCAAATTTAACACAAAGTTTAGGTCAAGACGTTTTCATTATCCCTACAGAAAACTCTTTAATTCGTCTTACATCCAGCCAGTCAAGTGGAATTTATTTCAGTTATTTGTAACTGTTTTGTTACAACTGCCTCAGAATGTTGTTACTTATCTGTATATTTAACAACTTAATTACTAATCTTATGTTTCTGCAAATGTTTTGTTGTTTTTATGTCACGCTTGTTTCCCATCCCAATAACGCCAATTTGAATATTAATGTTATTCTCAATCTATTAATAGCGTACGTACGCACTTCCAACCGGAGTGTAGCAACACACAGATAAGCAGCACACCCAGAACAGAGAGACGGTATGACAGATAAAGAAAGTGTTTAGCCACAACTTCGACCTAAATGTGAAGTTGTGACATATTATGCGACACACGCAAACTTGCTCAGCTAACACTTAGCAACGTCAGCATTATGCTAGTGACAGCTGAGACAGCATACGGTTTATCAAAAAAAGAGCCAAATACAAAACATGCCCAAGGTATCTATAAAAGAATACATCAGAGCTTATTTACCTTCCAGTTGATCATTTTAGCTTCGGTAGTATTGAAGATTCTTCTTCTTGCGACAGCCAAAATTGTATTAATGCTTCTCACCAGGAGGCGGGGCTTTAAGTGACAAGCCAATCGCAATGCAGTCTCCGTATGACGTAATCTGTGCTGCATTCAAATCTGATGGGGCAATCAGTCTAGCACATGCTTGAAGGTTCTAGTAGTCGAGAGAAAGATGCATAGATACTTTCATTAATCATCAGAAAAAGGCTTTTTGGAGATAGTGGAGGTGTGGGTCCCTCGCCAGAATGTGCTTTCTTAGCATATTCAGATTCATTCTAGATAGACTCATAGCTTGTTCCCTAGCAAGTTACTTATTAACGATTATACTCATAAACCACTTCACGAAAGTAAGGAAAAAACACTCAACAACCAAGCACCAAAATCACAAATAACACATGACCAAACCAGTGACTTGATTACAAATATGAATGTGAAATCGGGGCCTTTTTAATTAATTCAGATGTGTCTTGTACGTTACATCCTGAGTCTAAGTGGATACAATTCAGTAGCTCTGATTACATAAACTAATATAATCTAAAACAACCACAAAACAACTGCGGTAAGATAGAGGGGATTTTTTGAAAATAGAGAAATAGGGTACCTCTCTACGTCAATTCTACCGGTTGCTTCATTTGAATGACGTGGCAACTTTCCATTGGTGGGAGGTCACAGTGCACGATGCCTTCTAGTGCCGTCGGGTAAACTCATAGGATAAACCTGCAAGAATACATCATACACACTTACTATCCTACTATGTGTGCCAACACAACTTGATACAAATTTCTAAAACTTCAAATCATAGAAATATCACTATATCATATTGTGTACTTCAATATATTATATAATTGCACAAATATACACAGACATGCGTAGTCACGGTGGCCGAGAGGTTAAGGCGTTGGACTCGAAATCCAATGGGGTTTCCCCGCACAGGTTCGAATCCTGTTCGTGACGAGGTTCTTTTTTTCGTTTTACATTATTGCTTTGACCGACAGCACGGCAAAATTGTATGTTTCCAACGCCAGCGGGAACTTCCGGATCTCAAAAATGTAACCAATAGCGTAGGGAAGTGCCTTAAACCTGCATCCTTCTAATGGAAAGAAGAGGGCGACAACAAACACAAGTAAGCGGTTGGGTCTCGTTTTGCAGCCCGTCAATTTTTAAATACCGGTATCTTTTATGCTGACGATACAGTCTATACGATAAACGGAGCAACTTTTAGAGCTTTAGTGGCCCCGTGTATCATCATCTTAAATCTAAATTTAAGCCATGGGGTCTAGTTTATATTTCGGTAGGATTACAGCGAGTAATCGATCCAAAATAATAAAGCGATCCAAATAATCCCAATGTCATAGCAAAAGTTCTCCGTGGCCATTAAACCCCGGTCAAAAGTTTTAGGGACAAATACATAATCGTAATCATATAACTAACCATCACAAACATGGCAACAAACGGACAAGACAGTAACGTTACTGACCTATCGTTTGTGCGAAACAGCACAGGTAACGTTGCTCACCTATCCAGCAAAGCAGTTGTTGGTTTTCATTCCTTTCAAATCTAGAAGGTTTTTCCAGCATTGAAACACCTCACCGATGTTAACACGGGTCCTCCCCTTACCTGTTCAGACCTTTTCCTCTTCGGCTGTTTCCCCGCCATCTCTCCTTCTGGACAGGTCCTAGAATCCCGTAATGAGTCCAGTTTGACTGTACCGGTGTTTGCGTCTTCATCTCTGCTCCATACCGCCACCTGTTGCTGATTGGCTGGAGCAATGTTTTGGGGATCACAAGGAGTCACTTTGTTTGTGTTACATTTACAGACCCACGACTGTGTAGGAAAATAATAATAATAATAATAATCTTTATTTGTAGAGCACTTTTCAAAAACAAGTTACAAAGTGCTTTAACAAGTGTAAAGACAATAATACCCAAGAGACAATAATACAAAAACAATAAAAGATAAAAGCATGAAAACATTGAAAAGACTAAAATACACGTTTAAGATACATATAAAATTAGTAAAATAGAATAAAATAAAAGGGATAAAATAAAGTTAAATAAGATTGGGAAAGGCTCTCCTATAAAAGTGTGTTTTAAGAAGGGACTTCTTCTGACTCAGCCGACCTGATTTCCTCAGGCAGGCTGTTCCAGAGCCTCAGGGCCCTGACAGCAAACGCTCTGTCCCCTTTAGTTTTCAGTCGAGACTCTGGAACAGACAACAGACCTCTGCCCGAGGATCTCAAGGTATGTGCTGGTGTGTATGGGACTAAAAGTTCAGAAATATAACAAGGCGAGAGGCCATGGAGAGCTTTAAATGTGATCAATAGAATTTTAAAGTCAATTCTAAAAAATACTGGGAGCCAGTGTAGTGAAGCTAAAATAGGAGTAGCTCCACAGCTGAGTTCTGGACAGTCTGGAGTCGATCAATAGATTTTTGGGTTAAACAGGTGAAAAGGCTGTTGCAATAATCCAGGCGTGATGAGATGAAGGCGTGTAAAATGGTCTCGGTGTCCTTAAAAGTTAACATAGATCGAATTTTTGCTATATTTCTAAGTTGATAAAAACATGATTGAACAAGCTTTGTGGTGTGCTGCTCGAAATTTAAATTACTATCAAACCAAACACCAAGGTTCTTTGCCACAGGCTTAATGTGATTTACTAGGGAACCAGCAGATGGCAGTATTTGTTTTGCCATCTGCTGGGACCCAATGACCAGGATTTCTGTTTTGTCTGAGTTCAGTTGGAGGAAATTATTTGGCATCCATTTTTTTACTTCACAAAGGCAGTTGTTAAGTGAACTCAGCATTCCAGGGTCTTTGGATCTGACGGGCAAGTACATTTGTGTGTCATCAGCATAAATATGAAAAGAAATTCCATGTTTATGGATAATATGTCCAAGGGGAAGCAGATACAAGGAAAAAAAATGGGTCCTAAGACTGACCCCTGAGGCACACCATATTTAACTGGACAGGACGAAGAGACATAGTTGTTTACAGACACGCAAAACTTCCTATTTGACAGGTAGGATGAAAACCATTCTAAGGCAGTACCAGAGATCCCCACCCAGTGCCTCAGTCTGTCTAACATGATGTTGTGATCAATGGTGTCAAAAGCAGCGCTAAGGTCCAGGAGTACCAGGACTGAGCACATGCCTTCATCAGCAGACATTAAAAGGTCATTGGTCGCAGTCTCAGTGCTGTGGTACTTCCTGAAACCACATTGAAACTTTTCAAATATTTTGTTATTTTCCAGTACAGTGAGCAGCTGTTTGGACACAATTCTTTCTAGAATCTTTGCATAAAAGGCAGTTTTGAAATTGGTCTAAAATTATGTGGGAGGGAGGGATCTAAACCAAGTTTCTTTAAAAGTGGGTTCACACAAGCCGTTTTAAAATAATCAGGGACACAACCAGTAGATAGGGAGCTGTTGAAAACAGAGATCAAATGGGGCCCAACAGAATCTATTACTTTCAGTAAAAACTTTGTAGGTATTACATCAAGTGGGCTGGAGGACACTCTCATTTGTGATACTGTTTTTAAAAGCTCAGACAAGTCGATGGGATAAAACTGGTTAAAACTCTCTTGTTGCTGGTGAGGAACCTTTGAGTAAGAGGCCACGGAGAGGCTCTGATTGACACCACCTTATTGGTAAAATAAGATAAAAACAATTCACAGTCGTCATTATTTCCATCTGAGGCATAAGGAGGGGTTGGGTTTACCAGCTGATCCACAGTCTTAAACAGAAACCTGGGGTTGTGTTTATGTGTAGTAATGAGTTCAGAAAAATAGTGTGTTCTCGCATCCTTAACCATGTTATTGTAGTTAATTAATAAATCCTTCAGACTGAGGTAATGGACTTGGAGACTTGATTTTTTCCATCTGCGCTCTGCTTTCCTGCATTCCCTTTTTAGGCTGCGAATGCTGTCATTTATCCAGGGTTGCTTACTAGCTTTAGACGTAGGCCTAACCTTTAGAGGAGCAGTAATATTTAGTGACGACAAGCAGATATGATTGAAGTGATCGACCAGATTGTTGGTGTTGGAATCAGACAGGTGTTGGCTTTGGCTCTGAAGGAATGCGCAAAACTTTGAAACACTTTGTTCATTAAAGATGCGAGAACACACGGCGAATCGCAGCTAAAAATAATACATCTGTGGTCAGATATGGTCATGTCCACTAATTCCACAGAGGAAATGCTGACACCCTGGGTAAAAACCAAGTCCAGTGTATGACCACGGTTATGTGTTTGCCCTTTGACATGTTTGAAGTTAAAAGAAGTGCCCATATTTAAAAAGTCAGTTGTATTAACATTGGTGGGGTCATCAACATGAATATTAAAATCGCCACAAAGAACAATTCTGTCATAAAAAAATGGGCACAAAACAGAGAGCTAACGAACCGTGAGGAAATATTTGCTAAATTTAACAAAAACACTTTACTAACGAGTGTCTCAACACAAGGTTGTATAACACACACAGAACTTAATAATTAAATGTATATTAAAATATGGTAACATATAAAATAAAGAAAAGAAAAGAAAAGAATATTAGGAGTGTTTTTCTTTTCATTTTTCTGGTAAGTACTTTTTGTTTAAAGCCTGTTTTTCGCTAACCAAAATTAGCATCCAAGTTAATTTCACAATTAATCATCCAAATATGATCACATGATATCATATGAACTGAGTTAAAAAAAACAAGATGGCAACAGCCAAAATGCCGAACTCACTGCTTCAAAACAGTAGTCCACAAACCAGTGGGTGATACTACAGTGACTACTTCCACTTCTTTTATACAGTGTAAGTTCCAGACTCGTACATACACTCACCTAAAGGGATTATTAGGAACACCTGATCAATTTCTCATTAATGCAATTATCTAATCAACCAATCACATGGCAGTTGCTTCAATGCATTTAGGGGTGTGGTCCTGGTCAAGACAATCTCCTGAACTCTAAACTGAATGTCAGAATGGGAAAGAAAGGTGATTTAAGCAATTTTGAGCGTGGCATGGTTGTTGGTGCCAGACGGGCCGGTCTGAGTATTTCACAATCTGCTCAGTTACTGGGATTTTCACGCACAACCATTTCTAGGATTTACAAAGAATGGTGTGAAAAGGGAAAAACATCCAGTATGCTGCAGTCCTGTGGGCAAAAATGCCTTGTTGATGCTAGAGGTCAGAGGAGAATGGGCCGACTGATTCAAGCTGATAGAAGAGGAACTTTGACTGAAATAACCACTCGTTACAACCGAGGTATGCAGCAAAGCATTTGTGAAGCCACAACACACATAACCTTGAGGCGGATGGGCTACAACAGAAGAAGACCCCACCGGGTACCACTCATCTCCACTACAAATAGGAAAAAGAGGCTACAATTTGCAAGAGCTCACCAAAATTGGACAGTTGAAGACTGGAAAAATGTTGCCTGGTCTGATGAGTCTTGATTTCTGTTGAGACATTCAGATGGTAGAGTCAGAATTTGGCGTAAACAGAATGAGAACATGGATCCATCATGCCTTGTTACCACTGTGTGGGCTGGTGGTGGTGGTGTAATGGTGTGGGGGATGTTTTCTTGGCACACTTTAGGCCCCTTAGTGCCAATTGGGCATCGTTTAGATGCCACGGCCTACCTGAGCATTGTTTCTGACCATGTCCATCCCTTTATGGCCACCATGTACCCATCCTCTGATGGCCACTTCCAGCAGGATAATGCACCATGTCACAAAGCTCGAATCATTTCAAATTGGTTTCTTGAACATGACAATGAGTTCACTGTACTAAAATGGCCCCCACAGTCACCAGATCTCAACCCAATAGAGCATCTTTGGGATGTAGTGGAACGGGAGCTTCGTGCCCTGGATGTGCATCCCACAAATCTCCATCAACTGCAAGATGCTATCCTATCAATATGGGCCAACATCTCTAAAGAATGCTTTCAGCACCTTGTTGAATCAATGCCACGTAGAATTAAGGCAGTTTTGAAGGCGATGTATGGTGTTCCTAATAATCCTTTAGGTGAGTGTAGTTTTGTAGACATGGTATTAAAATTTCTCTCAGCACAGTGCACCTCAGCTAAGATGGAAATGAAGCTGCTTATTCACTTGGGCAATGGGATATACTGTATGTAGATTAATTACAGCATTTCTTCAAATAAAGTAGAGTAAATCAAACTATATGTAACATGTAGCCTACCTGGTTTACTTGAACTGAGAGTTGAACCAGAGGAAATCTTAATTTTGAAATGTCTTAATTGCATACAGAAATTAAAAACCTGTCTGTTCGACCTGTTCAAACAGGAAGTGAGATAGGAAAAGAGATAGTTCATTCCCAATTATTTATGTTGATTTTTTTATTTATAATCATGAAAGGTTTTGGCTAGATCAGACCCCAACAGAGCAGTATACATACTTTGAGGGTCAGTTAATCCCTGTAAACAAGTTTAATGTTGAACCTGGCCGCGCCACACATTCTTAGACTGGTGTTGCTTTTGTGTCATGATAAGACAAACAGTCTAAAGTGCTACAGCCACTGGGAGTACCTTTTGGTAACTCTAAAAGACCACAGCACCCTCAGCTTTTATTGCAATCCATGTACATGATCTATCCAAACTAAGCATGAAAGTGCATTTTTGACCTTGGAAATAACTGATAAAAAAATTATTAAAAAGTCTTAAAGGTGTCCTGTGGAGATTTTGACCATTAGTAGTGCTAGTGAGAACTATAGGGTCCACATTTTGTTTTCCACAAACATATGGGTGACGCTGTACACAATCCTACCATTTGCTTCATGCTAACAGGTAGCGATGGTCCGGCACAAAGAAACATAGCACTACCCTCCCAAAGGCAGTGAAGAAAAAGACTGCTAGCTAATTCACATAAAATGTAAAAAAAAATAATCAACATTGCAAATGTTTTATGTACTCCGTTTGTTAGACCTCAAGGATACACAAAATATTTTTATTACCAAACACTGACTGCAAACATAGCCCACAAAACTCCACAGGGCACCTTTAACTCAAAGTCCACTTACTGGCTTTTCCCAAAGCTTTCAACCACATCTTCATCAGCAGTTGGAGTTTTAATAATGTGGCAAAAGTATGGAACTTTGGACATGTGATAAGTCATGTGGCAATCTATTGAAAGCTGAATAAACTAGTAAATGTAACTTGAGTTAAGATTTTTCTTTTGTCAAGTTAAAAGAAAGCCTTGGATCAAAGCCCTTGTCAGTTTTTAATGGGTCCTGCTCAAAATAACTGAAAGTACCTGCTGCGTGAGGAAATGTTTAAAATTTTGCAGACAAAGAACGGTTAATAAAGTCATTAAATCACAGCTACTTAAAGGCATTAATGTAATTTCATAAAACACTCAAATTAACCATCATGCTGTGCAGTACCTGATTTAGCTTTATGAAAAATAAATACAAGATGAATAAACATGTCTATGCTGATAACTATGTCAGCCATCAGTTTAAGTGGAATTTAATTTTTCAGCATACGAAACGTGTCAAAGTCAAATGAAACTACAGGCCTGTTCCCACTGGGCTCTAATGAAAGGTCGGTTAATGAGCACACACAGGAAGTCACAATGTGCCAATACCAGAGCTGAATCATTTTAGAAAGTAAGAGTGTGAAATTGGGAATATCATTGTATTTACATAGTGGGGTTCATTAGATGCCATGTCTGTAGCTCTTAGCAGACTTTGGTTTCTCCTGATCTGCTGTGTTGTTAAAACACACTTGAGGTCATGTTTTATTCCCATTCACACAGAGCTGAAGCATTAAAGCCCAGGTGCTCCAGTCAATGGAAAAGGATCAGGCATGCAGTGTGTCATGCAGTTTATATAAGTTCATGCTGTCAGCTTGTGAATTTCCTGTTGAGAGAAAAGAAATAAGTCAAAGTACAGCTTGATCTGTAAAGTTCAGGGAGCACATCACTTGGATTGGCAAAGACAAAAGTACACGTATCCTTTTTTTTCAGCTGTCCAGCCGGCCACTTACTGTAACTATCAGTCCAAACTTTATTTATCCATCCACCTGTCCATCCCTCAGTATATCCACCTTTACTTGTATTTGTCCATCTGCATCCACTTGTGTCTTCACCACCATCCATTTGTCTAGAGTATCAATCTTACCACATAGCCTACTGATTCATTGATCTACCCATTTAATAATCTATTCTCTTATTGTAAATAAATCCAATGACAAAGCCAAGACCAACAAGGAACTGATCCTACTAACCTAATAAAGTGGCTGGTGAGTGTATATATAGCTATATATTAGAGCTGGCCCTAATGGCATTTTTTGAGCTTCGACGCTTCGATAGTAATTAAGAGCGAATAATCGAAGCTTCGCTTGAGGGGGGATCGGATGAGGGAGAGATAACGCCGGCATGGGTGCGCAAGTCTGTGTGAATGTGTGAGAGAGAGCAAGAAAGAGAGAGAGCGCTCCGCTTATTTATTCTCACAGCTAGGCTAAGTAAGTGATTATTACCAAATCTTTGTTTTTAACTTTGTTATAGCAACTAGCAGACCCAAGTACAGGACTAAGAAAGGGAGAAATATTTATTGCAGGTTAAAAGGATCGGATATTGAGCGAGGCAGAGTGAAAATAGATGCATGTCGAACTGGGTTGGTGGCTGCTGTACAAAGCAGAGGGAACCGTAGCTGAGAGTCCAGAGTGACAGAGTCTGATCCGAGCAGGTCCAGAGCAGAATCCGAGAATAGTTTCGCCGGCGTGGTCCAGGCGGAGAGTGCACGGGATGAGCGTATTTTCGGTAGCACTAAATCTAACACGTTATTAAGCAAAATTCATTTTTAACTTTAATTATAGGGACTAAATTCTCTTCTTCTACAATCGGCCTAATATAATTAGGCTTATTTAAATGCGTTCATTATGTTGTTGTCAGTTTGTTTCCAGCCTACAGTTTACTGATTAGGCTAATTTTAAAATGTAGGAAATTTGACTGTTTCGATCTGTAATGAAATTAAGCAATTGTAAAATTAATAAACGCCATAACTTCCACACTACTGCTGTCATCACTCAGTTTAAAGTGCTCACACACAGCTGAGGGCTTCATTTCGTTTTCCCTTTGATGTGAACTGGAGTGTTACGTTCACTGCTGTCGTCGGCGGTCAGCTGCGCGAAAAAAACCCTTAATAATCGAATCTCATAATTGAAAATCGAATGTGTACCCAACGGTCGAATATTCGAATATTCAGGTCCAGCCCTAATATATATATATTTACACATTAAAAAAATCAGCTTCAGTAGGGACATGGACTTAGTCTTGGGATTTGTTGACAATAAGAAAACTACAGAGTAATACCTGCGTCATCCTTTAAGACAGAAAAAAGCTTTCCTCACTTAAATCTATCTGACAAGCTCTCTCTTTGGTGATTTGATCCAAGTGTAGTTTAATGAGCAGAATAAATTCAATAATGAGGATGCCTTCCACCCTGCACCCCTGGGTCTAACACCATTGATAAGCAGTGGTGTAATGCTTCCCTGTGCTTTGCATTTTATTTTATATAGTAATAATTAGTGTAATTCCACTGTTTGATTGATTATCAAAGCTGAGAGCACAGAGATGTTTGAGCATTTGTGTCCTTGCAGAGATGTTTCAACAAACCTCTCAAGTGTGCTGATTGTGGGTTATGTCCTTGATGACTAAACCACCATCTCCACCTCTGGTCTGCTGCACTGTGTGCAAGGAACTATATCTAACATTAGTCAGTCTTTTCTTCATAACATCTAGCTCACCAGCACATGCATCCTAAAATCCTGACGTTGGCGTCTTCATCACGCTTGTGTTGGTCAGTTTTGAAATTGTACTTTGGTGAGCACAAGAAACCACTTGAAAGCCTGGAGCACCCTCTCTAGGTAGCCCTGCATTAAATATCTCTCCTCTCAGTAATGTTCCAGTCAAAAATCCTTTGCAACTAGAGGTAGGGTGTAGCTGAAAATATCTTCCTCTGGTCATTCTGTGACCCATGCTGTAGTTCCCTGTTAAATTGTCTGCAGGAAACAGTAACAGGACTTCTCGTCTTCTCTGCTTCTTCATCACGCTCAGAAGTTCTCCCTCCTCTCAAGGAGCTTAACGGAGGGCAAGCCTCCGTGTGGTAGCATGTTCTCCCTCGCTCATGATGATCTGGTAAAGCATGGGTGCGCTCAGTAGCGCCCCCTGTGGTTCGTCCTCGACATGGTGAGCGGCAGAGACACTGAGGACAGAGAGGAGACCTCCCAGTAGAGAGAACGAGACAGGAAGAGCTGGTAGAGGGTCACCATGGAGATGGACTGGCAGAGGATCACACCGATGGTCACCACCTACAGAGAGTCAGAGATAGCATGGGTTATTTGGCCACTAGGGGTGCAGAGGAACACTTTAAAAATACAATATCATCCTCTTTGGAGTCGTTAGGGTGAACTTGTTAGAAACCAGCTGCCTATTTACACATGAAGCAGATATGGAGTAACATTATCATCGAACCTTCTCCCTCTGATGCTCGTTGAAGACAGCTGACATGAGGAAGAGGACGGGGTGGCAGAGGAACCACAGGAAGCATCCCTGCAGAGAACACAAAGAAGACCCCATGAGCACCTGATGAACTGAAGGTGAAGGTTTGTCTGTATGTTAGTGCACTGTGGAATTCACCTTGGCGAAGCAGAGGTAGAAGTCTCTCTTCAGGGTGCTCCTCTCAGTTGATGTGATCTGATAGAGGACAGAGGCCAGCAGGAGGGCCAGGGCCACTCTCAGGGCCATGAGGAGGAGACCTGCCAGACTCTGCTGGGTGTGGTAGCTGTGATGTTCACTCTCTGCTTCTGAATACTGCTCCCACAGCAGCAACGCTCCCTGAAGACGAGTTTCACTTTTAATAGCTCTAGTATTATTAGGTGCCTCTCAAAGGTCTCTGATGCTGAAGACGCCAAATCTAACGTACTCCCCCCAAATTCTGACTGTCTTTTTATCCCACAACTTGAACTGCATCATTCTTATATATCACACTAAAATCCATTATTAACCTGACATACTAGTGTAATCCTGCAAACCTGGGTAACGACTCCACCAACAGCGACCGCCGTGGATGCCGGACTCTGTTCCCACTGCAGAGGTCTGGACTGAGGCTTCCTGCCTCGACTCAGGGTCCAGCTCATACATAGACTCAGTATCATGTACAGCATGGACACCTGGGACACCATATCCCAAACTGCACCGGGAACATGGAGTAGAAAAAAAGAGGGTGCACATAACATAACAATTAATTTGTTGTCCATGTACAACTGAATCTGCAAAACAATAAAGTTCCTCTTGCTCTTATAACTAAATCAAGCTTCAGAAGCAGATTAAAATATAGGTGGATGGAAAGAAAGGGCATATTTAAGAAAGAGGAACATACACTCTGCCAGGCTGCCCATCACTGGAATACCAACACCATCCCTGGAATACCTGCAGAACACAATGGGAGCAGGAACAGGAAACATTAGAGTACATCAGTTTATATTCTCCTCAGTACCAATTCATATGTGTAGCACACCTGTCAGCCCTCCCGTTTTCTCCTGGACACTCCTGTATTTTACCATTTTCACCCGCCGTCCTCCCGTTTGAATATTTTTCCCATACATCTCCCGTAATTTTAACCTTTCCAAAAAATAAATAAATAAATAAAAAACCCAGCTGGGCCTTTTTTGGCATTATGTACAACATTAGCTAAAGCATCCAGTGACGGGAAGTCAGTCAGTCAGGCTGCCTAAAAGGTTATAATTTTGTGCAGGTATTGGGACCAACAATACAATCACTCTCTTCTACCAGTTGGCTTACTTAACCAGTAACCTCTCTCAGAATCACAATTGGAGCCTAATGTGTAAGTGATGTATACATATCCTTATTCAAGTTTCTAATGCATAAACTTGTAAGTGCTGAATATATATGCCTTTTAGAGTTTTCATTTATATAATGCAGTGAGCCAGGTATCACAGTCGGACCACCTAATTGTAGTCACTTATACTTAAAGTAGGAAATAGTTGTTGCACTGATATTTTAAAGCGGTTCCCTAATGGTGATTTTAGGATTCACTGCAGTATGTGGACAGTGGTAGGGGTGGTGAGACAGCCCGGAGCAGGGTGCTTGAAAACTTCCCTTATTTTCAAATCTCTTCTGTTGACAGGTATGACATAGTTAAACTCAATACAACTTTACAACCTAGTCTGACAACAGACTGAACTGTCATTTCATTTCAGCTTATTCTTTCTGACTTTAATACCACATAGAACGGTATTTTATACCTGTTTCATGATAATACCGACTAAAGTATGAAAGTATGATGGAAAACTATGAGGATGATTTGGCCTAGAATTATTTACTATTCTAATCACATTTAGTCAGTATTTCCCAGCAGTATACAGGAATAATAGACATATTAATGGATAGATTTAACAATTAAAAAAGACCAATTCATTAATTTTCTTGCTCATATCAACGAGCGAGGACAATCTGCGGTCACAACAATCCTACTTGTTGTTTATAGGTGTATAAAGTCTCCCAACAGCTTGCAAAAACATTTCATAAACAACATTGCTGCTTAAAAAAAGGCTGGAAATCGGTGTGCTAATATTTCAATCACAAGTCACTGGGGTTTACACTTCCCAGCAGGTGAGTCAGATTCTACAGGATGTACCTGGCCAAGTGGATGTAGTTGCAGAGAGCTGAGCAGCCCTGTAATGCCAGTGCCGTGGTCAGCACTCTGAGGACAGTGTGCATGGGACCTCCTTTCCTCAGAGCCTGATACAGAGGCTTGATGTAGATACAGCAGGCCACGAAGTAGGCCAGCAGCAGGAGGAAGTAGAAACTTTGGAGACCTGGTAGAGAGAGAGAGAGAGAGAGAGAGAGAGAGAGAGAGAGAGAGAGAGAGAGATACAATCAAGGAAGGACACCTTTTGTCCTACATGAATAATGCAGATCTCTCAGGAACAGTCCCTAATGTCACATCTGTGCAGACTGTGAGTATCAAAAGATTTGACCTAGCTTCTGGAAAACCGTTATTATTAATATTTAACACAAAACATCTTTTAATAGCTCCACACAAGCATAAAGCAGTGGATGTGGATAATTACATTAGCTAATTAGCAGGCTCAGTAATGCAGTGCCAAAATGTGCTGAGATCTGACAGCTGTGGTGATGGGAGTACTCTGGATGTCTGACCTGCCTCCTCTGCGCTGAAGTGCTCCAGTGGATTTCCCGCCGAGTCGGCGTTAAACAGCAAGACAGTAAAACTGAGATCAGCATAAGAAGGTATCACTGCACTCTCCTGCAGAGACAAACAGGAAGCAAGACGAGGAATACTCAGCAGCAAAATAACTGGATAAAGATTATTAACAAATGTATGTGTATTGTATTTAACTATTTGGAGTATTCACACTGTCATTGTTGTGGTCATGTGCTGTTAGTGAACTGCCAGTTGGACCAAAGACAGCTTTCAACATTGGAGGGCAATAAAGTTAAATCTATTCTATTACTACTAACTTATTTATAGAGTTACAAAGCTAAAGCTAATACGAATATACGCTGTCTCTGGTTAGCTTTCTGGTTAGGTTAAAACAGCTAAACAAAAAAACGATTTATGATAAAAACACAGCAGCCATTATAACCTGAAACAGCTCCCTCCACCAGCCTCCTCCCTATAGACTAAGCTTGTTCATTGTTAAGCGTGGGTTAGTCTCATAGCAATTTGTGATGCTGCTGTTACCTGACATGTGTATCTGTCAGAATACAGGGCCTGCCAGGCTGTAGGTGTGGACTGATGAGGGATCGTGTGGTTGAGTTCTTCTTGATTGAGAGAAACTGAAGCAGGAGGAGGAGGAAGAGGAGGACAAACACAGTGTGATGATGTGGCAGTGTGGAGGAGACAGAGAAATAAGAAAAATAAATAAATACAGCTGCATCACATCCATCATATCAGCTGTCTGTATTAGTGAACCCTGGTTCTTACTGGTGAACTGAGCTTTAGCGAGCCTCTCAGGGCAGCTGAGGTTGTCCAGGTCTGAGTCCATATCCCGATACAACAGCAACCTGGACTCCTTCTCTGTAGCCAGAGCAGAGTTGTCCAGCCTGCACACCAGCAGGCCGTTGTCACCTACAAAAAGACGGACAGGACAAGAGGTTCAATGGTACTGATTCTTATGCAAATTATATTATTTATTAGATTTCTTCTTAGATTAGAAGAAAAACCTGGTCCCAGATTAGTTGTGTGGTAGTTTGATTAATTTAGTGGGGCCTTACGATTATTTAATAAAGCAGAACCCACCTTAATGTCTCTATCAAGTCTGCTGAAATTGTGCTTTACTGGTGCAAATCATGACAGGCTAATTGATAAATTGTTTTAACTATTTTTAGGCACAAATATCACACATTCTCCGGCTCCAGCTTCTGAAATGTGATTACTAGCTGCTTTTCCCTCTTTTATATCATTACAAATTCAATATTTCAGGGTTTTCTATTGAAACACAAGCATTGTTTGTGCATGTTCCTAAACATGTTTTCAATTAAATAAGCACAAGCTGAGCAGAGAGCCTGTAGCTTTCGGGGGCCCCTGGAGTTATGGGGCCACTTGGCAGTTATACCCATTTAGAATCCAGCTTTGCCTCCACCCATACCCCTTTGTGATTCAGAAGCATCTCAAGAAGCTGGAGGGATTATGTCAGTTTCGTTTTCAAACATACTGACATTCACTGCAGTTCATCTCAGGACAAGCTGAAACTAAACAGCAAAATAAGCCAAATTATAAAAAAGAGCCAAGATTTAAATGAATGTCTCCTCTCTGACCTCCACAGAAGCTTCACACTTTTATAACCACTCAATCCTGCAGTAGGGTGCAGGTGAAAGGACAGCCTTGGAGCTGTTGTAGGGGTTCAAGAGGATGGGTGTATATTATAGATATATAGGTTAACATCAATATATATAGGTTTGATCTCAATATATAGTGTCCTGGAGCACTCACTGAAAGTCACCATAAATAAGCAAAGGCTTCAAAATAAAATTTAAACTCTGACGATGCTGCAAATTATATCTCTCTAATAATAACTGCCAACAAAGAAAGAAACAGAGGATATGCAAAGTACGGTTATTAAAAGTGATGTTAATCATTAGTGGAGCCATTGTCAGATACAGTCTAGCACTAGTACATAAAAAATTAAGAAAACACATCACGCCGCGTTAAAGTGAAAACTGAATAAGCTACTGTCTCTGGTGTAATGACACGTTAGCAGCAGCACATCAGCATCGTTACCTTGGTACATGAATTTAGTGATGAACTGGCCCTTCTGCTGTCTCGCTGCTTCGCTCTTAAAAAGTCCCGTTACAGTTTTCCCAAAAACCTCCGAACTGAGCAGAACTACAGCTACAAGTGCGGCTAATGAATACATTTTCCCCCGTATGCAGTTTAACGTTATCGACAAATAGTTGGCGAATGAATTCAATGAGCCACGAAGCCAGAAGTCAACCAGCTTCTCCAAAGTTACCCAGGATCACACCGGAAGTTAGGTGTTTCTGCCCTTCAAATAAAATCTCTATTACTCACTTTGGGGAATAAAAGAAGAACAACAAATAAGAGTGTAGCAAAAACATCAAGACTTTATATTAAATTAGGGATTAAACTAAAGATGTAATGGATTGCAAAATCACTGAACAAACACTGAATTGTGTGAGTAACTAACAGCACAGTATTGAAAGTATGCTTTATTGTTCATTATATGTGATGTTTTAAACAATAATACGTTACTTGACCAAATAAAACCAACGTAACCGTTTTTTAAGATAGTAAATAAATTTTTACGAAACGCTCTTATTTTGATATTAATTTCCGGACGTTACATATTTATTTTCACTTTGCCTAGTCGGCGTTGTTTGGCAGTTTGATTGATTTAGGATTCACACAATCAACGAGCGCGTACTTCTATACGTCATACACGACAACCAATCAGAGAATGGAAACGAGGGCTAGATGTCCCGCCTATTTTCAACGTGTCAACACTGTCGTAAAACGCCCTGCAACTGTCGCACTTTCCACAATACATCTACTGTACTGATGAAAATAGAGAACTTCTGTACTACCTATTCATACAATGGATTATAAACACGATTAATATGTTGTTATTATGTCTGTATAAAACTTTACTTTGAACTGACAGCTGCCGGGGTTCAGTGTTGATGACCAGGATGGACTTCAGCAGGAGTGTTCTGGTGACTGGAGGCTCTGGATTCATGTGAGTCCATGTAGTGAATTCAAAGTATATATATTAAGAAAGAAGATGTGACTCGATCATTGTCATTATTCATCTTAACTTGACTCCTCTCGCTGTTACTAAAGTTACACGAACACCTCTTAAAGCTGTTCATAACTTAAGCAGCATAACGTTATTAATGTTGTAACGTTAGCTGGCTGTGGTGGAGCCGAATATGCTTTTTTATTTTACTGTGGGTGATTTAATTAACTATATAACAAGGAATTATATGTAATATACTTATTATACGTAGGCTTTTGTTATGCAGCATTTGCAATGTACATTTTTCCTAATCTGATGCACCAGTCAGGACGGCTTTCTGGTGTGCAATAACTTATTATGGGTTTTTAATCTTAATAAACAAAGTAGATAGTATCTATAGCTGTCAAAATAAAAGTACATTTCCCTCTGAAATGTAGTAAAGTAGAAATATAAAGTAGCAGGCAACTCAAGTACTGTGCAAGTCCCTCAAAATTGAAATTAAGCACATTACTTAAGTGAATGTACTTAGTTACTTTCCACCTCTGTCTATGAAAGTATACTTTACGTTACCTTTTGCGGGATGGATTAAATTGCTGTGGTCATTCGATGCACTTAATGTTTTTACATCTTAAGAAAAAGCTCTCAAGCAAGTGAAAGAAAAGTGAAAAATGTGCTGCTGTACTGTAAGGTAGGCATACCTTTACACATGACGTGTGGCCTGTAAAGCCACAATGTGATTATACAGCTTACAAATCACTGAATTAGTTCTTTGGATAAAAATGAACAATGGTACTGCAGCTGCAGTGTCTTTTTGGTGTGCGCCAAAATCAGAATTATTCAAATTCTACTGGTAGCTTTTTGAACATTTTCCTACTGCTGGTTACTACACAGGTTTTGATCCACCTCCCCATCTCTCTCTCTTTAGAGGCTCCCATCTTGTGTGTTCACTGGTCTACAGACACCCTGACTGGAGGATTATTAACCTGGATAATGTGAGTCTTCACTCTGTGTGTGGTAGGGATGACATTGTCCTTGTCCACAAAAGAACGAATGAATATACAGATGTACATATTTCAGATATATTCATTCAGATATTTTGAGTTACAGTTCCATAATGATTTTTTTTTTTAGCAAATATAAAATTCTGGGCAAGCAGTGAATGTATTTTCTCGTGTGTGAAAAGTCTGATCTCTTCCAGCTGGATTACTGCTGCAGCCCCAGGAGCCTGGAGAGTGTTGAAGACAGAGCAAACTACAGCTTTATCAGGGTGAGAGCTGCTGGCATTAATGTGGTAACAGCAGAGATCAGCCTCTGTGCTGTAAAAGTGAGCAGCAGGCAGTAACAAAAGGTTCAGTTTAGGGAGTTTCAGAGAATAGTAACATTTGTACTGTTACAATAACTAGTAGTATAACTATTTAAAGATAACACTTTCTTTAACAGGGGGATGTGTGTAACTCACGGCTGGTAAATCACATTTTCAACACAGAAAACATTGATGTGATCTTTCACCTGGCGGCCAAAACACATGTCGGTGAGCAGCACTTGTTCAAACATTTATCTATCAGGCTGATTTTACTGTTTATGTTAATAATCTGTGTTGTGCCTCGCGCATTTATATATACTGGTTGTCTTCCCTCGCTCAGAGTCGTCATTTGAAACTCCGTCTAGTTTCCAGCATGTTAACATTGAAGGAACAAGAGTTTTACTGGGAGCCGCCCATCAGGCCCGACACCCGCCACAACGCTTCATCTACGTCAGCACAGATGAAGTGTACGGAGCCAGTCTCGACGAGGTCAGCGAACAAACGAACAGCGAGTCACTTGATAGAAGGATTTAGGTGTTTGAGTGATTTTGTGACTTTGGATATTGGGTGTCTGTTCTCTGCAGGTGTTTGATGAGAGCAGTCCAGTGAGACCCTCCAACCCATATTCTGCCACCAAAGCAGCTGCAGAGTACCTGGTCAGATCCTACTGGGACAAATATAAGGTACACACACACAGGCTGGGAAGTGGTTTCTAAATGACATGAATGAACAGGGTTTTAAGAAGCTTAAATGATCTGAAACTGAAGACATTCATCTTAGAGATTCACTTGTTACAGGATGTTTTCTAATGATAATCAACTAATTGTTGAAGCCAAAAATGCCAAACTTTCCCAAATTTCATCTTTTAAATTGTAAGAATTTGCTGCTTTTATTTGCTGCAATAGTAAACTCATTATCTGTGGATTTTGGATTGTTGGCCTCATAAAACAAGCATTTTCATGATGTCGCCTTGGGTTTTTAAAAACTGGGATGGGGATTTTTTCAGATCGAAGATGAAGAAATTAATCTAGAAAATAATCAGCTGAGTAATTAATCATGAAAGAAAATGTAGCAGCCCTAAAATGATTAAACAGAATTATAAGTATATGTTAAAACATATGTGTGTGGGAGCAGCAGCCATGTTGGTTTTATTGCATTTTAATGTTGCATATTTTCTGCATTTCCAGGGTGTGCTCACACTAGATTTAAACAATATGACAAAAAGAGATTTCGCTAGTACACACAGTTGGATTTCTTTAGTTTCAGTACTGTAATTACCTACAGTATATCTGAGGAGAAACACTTTATTTTTCAAGTTTGGTTAATTTTGATCTTTAAACTGGTCTCAAATGTGATTCTACTTAGTTACTTAGTCCAGGTTTTGTTTGTTTCTTTGCATGTTAAACACTGCTCTGTGTATCTGTTACCAGTTTCCCATCATCATTACCAGGAGCAACAACATCTACGGGCCCAGGCAGTACACTGAGAAGGTACAGCACCCTGACTTTCCTGTTAACATTTCCATCCATGATCAGTCCCTTCAGCACAATTCCACATTTTGGAGCCACAACTGACTTTCGTAGTAAATGTTTATCATTGTTTTCTTTCTGTAGCAGAACTAGCTTTGTCAAGAGGCTTGTGTCTGATTTATTTTGCAAACATCCGGTGGCGTTAACATAATCACTGTGGAGTGGTTTGAAATGTGTCCTGCATTTCGACGACACATTCAGAATGATTAATTATTATTTAATTATTAAGAACAATTACATTCACAGATTTTGCTGGTTTTAAATGCACCTGGTAAATGGAAGCGTGCAATGATCCTTCACTTTACTGAAACTCAACACACCATCAGGTTACAGGGATGAAGATATTCCCTGATTAAAACCGGCATCAATCATCTTCTCGATCTTTCAGGTCATTCCAAGGTTTCTCACCCTCTTGCAAATGAACAAGAAATGGTAGGTTTGTTTAAGCTTTACTTTGGAAAGAAACCTTGCGGTTGTAATCCAGCTTCAGCATTTGCCTGACAATAAGAGAAAAACAAAGCGAGTGAATCTAGTTTCTAATCTGGGTTTCTCCCTCTCCTCTCTGCCGCAGCACCGTCCAGGGAACCCTCCCCATATCCCGCCATTTCCTGTTCGTCGACGACGCCGTCAACGCCTTCCTGCTGGTTCTGGAGAAAGGGACTGTGGGAGAAATCTACAACGTGGGAACGAGCTGTGAGATTCCCATTGTGCAACTGGCCAGGGAACTTGTTAAAATGGTGGGTTTGGGAACTGTCCCACACAGAAACACACACAGTAATAGTGTCAATACCCAGCCCTTAAAGATGAAAGGTGTTTTTAATGACAAAACTGTGCATATGTTCCTTTAGGTCAAGAACGTGCCTGACTCCGAGGTAAAGGATTGGCTTGAGTTTGTGCCTGACAGGTGAGTAAACTAGTGGTGTATGTATGAGCATTTACTAAAATTCCTTTGTTCTGCTACTGTCATGACAACACGCATAGCTGCTGTAAATAAACAAAAGCCTACCAAGTACAATCAATATTACAGCAAGTAAGACATGCCACAATTTTTAAGCTTAATGTCGGCTTCAAATTAATATTTAGGAAGGATAGTTTAATATAAATTACTTTACTTCTAATCAATAAGGTAAAAATCCTGCACTCCTGAGGCCTACATGTTGCTTCATTATACATAAAACCCCCCAAAACTCTTAACACTTGATATATTTCGAGGTTCTTACTTTATGGAAACAAAGAAGCAGTGTACACATGGGACCAGAACCCTGATAAGGCGGATAAGTGTGACTTTTAAGTTAAAACCAAATAAAGAATAGGATTTCTATTGGCCAAAGCCCCTCAAGGGATTGCAGGATCCCACGCCTGCGGGCATGACATCACAAAGCCTATAAAAGGAGACCATTGCCATTTCACTGCTGTGGGAGCAGCTATAGGAGGCGTTCATCTTCAGAACTTTCTTTCCCCATCATGATGAGGTCTATCACTGTGTGTGAAGCCAATAACTGCACTTTATCAAGACCACAGCTGTTGGATCCAAGTTCACTGCTGGTAAATGGGAAATCGTCTGTATTTGCATAACTCCTTTCTAGTCAAATCCTTTTGAGACTGTATTCATGGTTATTAATAGTTTTTATAATACTAATATTTCTAAAATATAGATATTTTACTAAAAACTAAACCTGCCCCTCAACAGATCCCAGCATACCTCACCTAAAATATGATAGGCCAACTCGACACGTCATTCAAGACACACATGAATCTACTACTACGTCCTTGATTTATGCACGTCTAAAACATCAAACACATGACCTTTGACCTCTTCCCTATAGGCCGTGTGTCGACCTGCGCTACCCCATCACATGTGAGAAGCTGCAGCAGCTGGGCTGGAGAGCAGCCGTGTCCTGGGCTGAAGGCATAAGGCAGACCGGTGCAGTAACGCAGTCTCGCGCACACATGCACGCACGCATCTTTACAGATTAAATATGAATAATTAATGAAATATTTAACGTTAATTTCTGTGTTTTGTGTGTGTGTCTTTTAGTCAAATGGTACAAAGACAACCCAGACTTCTGGTCTGGCGCAAGCGAGGACCAAGGACAAATCAGAGGCCAACTTGAAAAAGCTACCAACAAATAACTCAGCTGTGGCTTGCTGCTCGACTGACGGGAGTGATCTAAGATACAGAGCAGTGACGTTTTTCTACAAATAACTGATATTTGTGTAACACAGAGGCTATTATGGCTGATCTACAGTGCAAACACCAGTCTCACTGTTCAGAAGAGTTCTATCTGCGTTGTGCCTCTCACTCTAAATGATCGTTGGACCAATGACGAGGCAGCAGGAAGGCCGAGCCTCCCTTCAACCAAAACAAAGTTTCACCAGAGAATGAATGCACTTTATCTTGATATTAATTACTGATTCATCTGATGTTCACAAGTTGATCAGGACCTCTACAGGGTATGTTTCAGGCTGTATGTGAAATTAGAGTTGTGACTGATCATTCCCATGTTGTGTTTCCTTCAATGACCAAATATTCTGGTGGTCAGCTCAAAACAGTGAAGACCCATGGATTACATTTACAGGCACCGACTCAATTAACGAGGTTACTACTGTTAGTTAAGTGCTTGTAAACGCACCACTGAACTCATCAGATTATGAAGAAGCCTTGTGAAACATTCAGTGAGTTTTAGAAACTTTAAATAAAATGTTAAACCTTTTACAGTCCAAGTCCAGCATTTTGATACTTTGATTTATTTTTAGAGCAGTAGCCTTATAATAAAAGGGATGAGAAGGGAACTGCAGCCAACTCAAAGCACTGATCTCGGTCTGGTGTGTTTTTATACATAGTAAAAGATATATTTTTCATATAAGTCTCTAGAATGTATTTAACATCTAATAAACTATTTAATAACTTCAAGGTGTTTGACAGTGTTTATGCTTTTCTCTAACATCTAAAATCCAACACTTTTAAAAAAGACAGACAGACCCAAACACTGGTTACATTTGCAAATCCAAACCTTTATTTGTGGTAAAATCAGAATAGATGCACAGTTTTTTTTTTTTCTTTCTTCGTGCAGTGCTCCTCTTCGTGCACAACTGCTAAACTAATACATAAAGCAAATACTAACTACCAGGCCGGTGTGTGTGTCCACAATGAGGGGTCTGGCCAGTCAGTAACGGCGACAACTCTGGGCTTCATTTAATTTCAGTTCAGTCACTAAACGGCAATCATTCCTAAATATGAATAACCCTCTGAGGTTTGTTGAAGTGAAAGTAAAATAAAGCGGCAGAGCGTTGGATTTGTTTTGTGTCCCCGTATTTGTCTTGCAGAATGCTTTTTGCCGTTTTGTGTGTGTGTTTCTGCATACAAAAGGCAGTAAAGTGTGACGATTCACCTGTGTACCATATCTTTGATCTGCCATTGATAGTGGCTTTGCGAGTGCCGCACTGCATTCTGGTCCATTGAGGCTACTGTTGTAGTACAACTGCAGAATGTCTGTGCTAAAAGTAAAAATCCAAACAGCTGCGATATATTCTCATGCAAGAGACCGATGAAGACTCCTACGGATCAGCTGCGAGTCACTCATGTAAAAGACACCTGGACGGACGTCATCAGGTCGTCCTTTCCCCATTTCTGATTGGCCAGAAGCTCCCACATATGGGCATTAACACTGTGACGCCTGAAAATATGCAAATCACAACAACATAGCAGTAGAAACACAGTTAATTCTGTGTTATGAAGACTTTTGAAGATCACCACTTGCCAGACATTCACAACAAGGGTATTAACGGGAAGGAAAAGTGTAAAGACTTAAAATGAAAAAAACAACAACATTTGACCTGGAGAGAATCTGAACACTTGTTTTTTGTACTGCATGTTTTGTTTTTAGTTTTTTACAAAATGGTCTTCGTAACGTTTTGTTAATTTTTTTTCTTTAATCCAAACCTTGGCATATACGTTGTTACTGTCTCAAATTTTTGTTTGCCAATTAAAAAATGGCTGTTTATGGTTGATTATCATTATTGGCAATGGAACCTGTCGCACAAACAGGTTTATGGATCTGATACTGAGTCCAATGTGACTTTAAAGGTAACCTGTGTAGGATGTTTCTCTTAATATGTCACAGTCGCATCAACTGTAATATAACTGTCAGTGCTTCACTATGTGGCCTTGTGTGACACAGCATGCACATCTTTACAAATGCTGTAACAGACAGCGAAGGGAAGAGCCGCGGTACGGCCGTCGGACTTTGCATCAAAACAAACCATGTAACAACAACCGCAAGCGGGAGGTAGAAGTTGGGTGCCAACCTTAAAACAAAATAAAAAAGGAAGCGATTGATTTTGTCGGTGGGCAATATGGGAGGCGATCCAAATTTGTCAACCGTCTGAGATTTTGTACCGTTTATATTGTGGCACCTAACCTTCATGGGCAGAACCGCATTATGGCAACATTGAGGCATTAATTTAATTCACTGGACTAACCAAAAACTGACATTTCTAATTGGTTATTTTGTCTATGAATGCAGATAATTACAATACACCGCAAAACAAAAAGCTTCAGCAAAAAAGGTAAACACGAAAAGATGTACACGCCTTAACACAGATTTCTGAAAAGCAGATGATTTTAAGTGACAGTTTTGGTATTTTTGGATTCATCACAGCTTGTTACTGTGACACATTCAAAGAGAAATCCTCACACGTTGCATCTTTAACATTAAAAAGCTCACACTACCCCAGAAAAATATAAATTTTCACTCATACCAATGACATTCAACATTCAAGTGCCAGTGTTTTTGTTTTCTGTCTTTTGGTCAAGTCACTTTGTAAAATATCAACTTTTGTGTTAGGCTTATAAAAATAAATACTTCTCAAAAATGCTTGATAAATTACACAAACTAGCAGCGAAAGTAGACTCGAGAACTCTGTGTGCAAACAGCTGAATCCTGTGGTTGCTGTTAACTAGAACTTCACCCGGTCCCAAAAAACAAGGAAGAACCTTTCCATACAACACACACACACACACACACACACACACACACACACACACACACGTGGAAAAACCTCTCTTTTTGAAACCTAACTGCGCTACACTTCAAACACTCGCTCACTCCTTCATACCTCCCGGAGGTTTTGAAGGATATGTTATTACAGAAGACTTTAGTTGAATATTAAAATAAGTAACTCAAGTATTTTCTGTAAAACTCGGTGGGATTTAAGTCTTTCTGTCACTTCTCTACAACAGAGGGGCCTTCAGGCCGCAGCAATGGGAGCATAGCACCAATAATTGTTCACGGACAATCGAAGCACTCCTGCTGGTAAGCTAGTTACTGTAGTGACACAATCATTTGCCATGGTGACACTGTCAGCATGTCTGTATACAGTGGAACCAACTTCACTATCTCCATTAGGGCTGGGTATCACCCTTGAATTTAAGGCATCAAAAGGTTTTGAAAATATTCAAAAACCAAAAACTAAAGTGCTGGATTTTTAAATGAGAACTTTGAGTTTTCTTTCAGAAGAAATAAACCGAGCAGTGGAGTTTACTTCTAAATAACATAAAGCTTATGGTCCAAACAAATGTTACATTTAAACTAATTTACAGTAGAGGGTATGTATTTGTTCACGTGATACCACGCAACCACACACACACACACACACACACACACACACACACCCCCGAGTGGCAAAAACAGACCTGCTGTGGCTTCAATAAATGGGAAGAGCTGCGATACCGTGAGAAAAACAAAACCAACTTGAACAGCCATGCCAGCAGCTCTGCGAGGCTGTACGTAGGTACAGCTAAATGCCAACATCAGCATGCTAATATGCTCACAATGATGATGTTAACATGCTAATGTTTAGCAGGTTATTTTTACTTAAAAGCTGAAACAATGTTTGAAGCAATGTTTCAATTTTGTTTTTTCATAGTGAACACACCCTGTTACCCCTGTGTTTTCCAATCCAGGGTGAACAACCAAGGTGACTTCGACGTACAGTGAGGTCACATGCATTCCCACTACTGAATATTGTATTTACTTTTATCAGTTTCTACAGTATAAAAGAAGTTGTTAAATAATAATTTAGATTTTTCACCCACGCTGAAAAATACCCAGCCCTAACTAACACGTTTTAGACTTTCAAGGCACTGCGCACACGTCAGAATTTGGGCTGAATTCACTTGTGCTCCACAGTAATCCGAACAAAGCAGACAGAAAACATCCCTAGCTAAACTCATGCAGAGAATCTCGGTGACGGCAAAGTGAAAGCAAACCACAAACAACGGATCTCTACTGCACTTACTGCAGAAGTCCAGTGCCCAAGGGGGCATTTTGACGAGCTGGGATGAGGGTTTGGGGCACAGTGGTAGTTAAGTGTTGCGCCAACACAGCTCAATGGTAATTACAGCTGACAGATATGCATCTGCCATAGAAAAAGACCTAAATACATTGCATATATATGTGCATACTCTGAACACTACTCGACAAGATTGCTCTATAGGCTAAACAAGACGAAACGATAGGTGAACTGAAGTTTTACCCTCCATGATTCCCTGCTGTATAACTCAAATCCCTATCTGCACTATCAGCATTCAACTAATCACTCATCTCTTTTATTTTATCAGCAGTCCCTAGCATCTTTATCACTGCACGTGAAATGCTCAGTCATCCCTTCATTTGTTCACAATTATACCATCTGCACCCCAGTGGCTCTTACAAGGCACAGCGATGTCTACACGCTGAGCCAGATTCATTCAAGTGGTTTTGTTGCTCACTGTATTTCCTTATTAACGGTATGCCTTGGACTTTAGGCTTTGAGAACAGCATTTTAACATACTTAGCATTATTATTAAAACATAAGAGACTGAACTAGCTGCATACTAAGTTTGTGGTCGGCCTCAGCCATGGATTCAAGTAACACATCCTGACAATATCCCCTCACACAGGGAATATATGACAGTTTATAATTCAGTCAAGCATAAAATGGGTGAATTTTTCTAACAGTGCCTGATAGCGCTCAAATTCAGTCATTTGTGTGAGCTCCAAAACAAACAACTATCTGGGTGGAAACTTTGGGGAGTGACGGACACCACTGAGTGCTATAACGAAATCAGAGAGTGCATCTTCAACTGTGATGTGAGGAGCTTTAATTTGGCCTGTGCAGATCCTTCTCCCAAATGGTTGAGGACATGAGTTGGACTTGCATGTTTAAAATGCGACGGTTATCAATTAACTGCCGACAAGACATCTGGTTAGGTGTCCAAGACTGTTAAAAAAGTTAAACTTAAGAGTTCTGTTGATGTGTGAAGTGAGTTTCAAACTAAGCAAATCCTTCATAACTGATTGTCATTTGCACGGTTATCTTCAACATCTTATCCTGTTACTGATGTCTATCTTCCTGCTGGTTATTCCTTCATACGGAACAGTAACAGTTCTTTTAGGAAATTGAAGATGGAGACCGTCTACAACTGCTGAAATTATAAATGTTTGTTATTCATATCATGGCCACACGAAAATTCCTTGATTGGTGCAAAAATCATCTATTGGGACACCTCAAACACAGTTCTGGTCAACAAACTGTTTTAACTGGTGCTCATAGTAGTTTAACTATAGCAACAATACAATGCTTTGTGCTACAGTCACGGTTAGTAACAGTTGATCCACACACTGAAAGAATACAGAAAGTAATTTCCTGTTTTTGGTGCATTTGGGCACGTTGTGTGGCCCCTTATCTTGGCCACAGGAAGGTGAACAAGGTTTAGTGAGATATAATGTATCACTGAACTCATTTCTCCCACCAGAAATTCTGACACAAGAAGTTGGTGCACTGACACACCAAGTAGCTTTTGGAAAATCTAGTTTGTTTGCGACCTGCTGTCTGCTCGAATCCTGAGTCCTCCAGCATTACTCGTCCCGAAACTCTTCAAAAAAATTATGTCAAAGCCAACTAGTTTCCCAAAACCTACCAGCTGTACTCGAGGAAAACAGCTTTGCAAATTGACCCAAACATGACATGTGATTAAAAAGTAGTCTAAAAATCATAGAGGACGGGAAAAATCAGAGTTCTAACATAACTAAAGCCTGCTGTATTTAATTGTAATTGTATTTATTTGCTTGGCATTTAACTCCTTGACCAAAAAACAACAACACTTGCATATGTTTTATTGTCTTGGTCCAGCCTTGTCATTTGTCAAAGCCAGTGGGCAATTTGAGGGAAAATTAGTTAGTCTCTAAAGAATGAATCTGCCGACTTTGTTCAAATTGCCCACTGAACTAAGCTCACAAGACACTGCCTGGTCCAACGTCGAGTGATCAAACGGAATTTTCTTCTTCTTCTTTTTTTTATTTTTTTATTTTTTTTTACACATCATGTTTCACTTAATTCATATTTGATTAGTCACATTCTTTTTCAGTGGAGATTCTCTATTTGTTTTAAGAAGAGTACAACTATTTACATTTAATCTGTATTTTCATTCCACTAAAGTTGTTCATGTAAACAAAACAAGTCAACCCTGATGAACAATTAACAATTTTCCCCACCAGGTAGCAACAGAGCATTTTTTGGCTGCTCATTAACACAGTGGGGATTGGACTTTCACCACTGAACCGTCCAAATTTCCAGTGGAGTTCCTTTTAGAAATGTAATCAGGGATGAAACATGGACATCCTGGGTGCAGGTTAACTGTCCCTTGTTGCCTGGTTCCACAGCAGGGCCTACCAAGTAGGGCTAACCAGGGATCAGGCATTGATTAAGTCACAAAAAAAATCATGTGATCTTCTTACGTGTGGTTTTAGTTCTGTTATGCCACTTTTCTACAAGCACACCTCATCTTTCCTGTATCTTACTGTGCTATGCCAAGAAAGGTTTCTCCTTAAACATTCCCAGCAGTGCTGAAGTGGGACATTGCTAGCCAAAGTGCAGCACACACCAGCTATGTGATTAAATTGCTGCTTTTCAGAGGAGCTGCCGCACATTGATGCTGGGAAAGATAACAGCATTAGTCTGCAAAGGCGCGTGTCAAGACGCTGCTGGTGTGTGTGCTAATATAGAAAAGCACTGCTGTGTGTCTTGCCTTCTTTTGTGTGGATTCTTTCCTAGCTGATCTCTTTGAAACATCGCAAGAGAAAAAATTATTTTCATTACAGGAGAAAAGTGGAACGGTAAACGATGAGGCTCCTATCTGTTGAATGAATAGTAGTAATAGGAATGTATAAAGGTCATGGTGCAGGCACAGTTTGGGCAAATCTCAAACCTCCAACACAAGATCAGGTAAGCACTATCTTCTCTGCTGGTCCTGTGCTATGGACAAGTCTGGAATTGTGCCTCACATTCGCTCATAGTACAGTAAGACAGGACTTGGCTACAATGTGCTACGGAGGTGTGGCGTTATATCCTTTGGAAAGGCCCAGCTGTCCCTGCTGTGGAGTGGGTTAAGCTAGATTATCCAGTTATTTACTTTTCTCCCTGACCTTAACAGATCTTAAAAGACCTAATGAATAAACTGGAATGACTTATTTCAGAGAAGACTTTTCATGTAACTCTCCAGGATAGAGTGAGCGATAAATTTTTGAACTCATTTAGCCTTTTCTTTTGTTGTGTTTCCCCCTTGTAAGAAGCTTTTGACCAACAAGGGTTTCAATGTTTGTGGTGGAAGCGGAGCCAGATTCCCAAGAGCATGGTGGCACTAAGAGTCAGCTGAACAGCCACTGATAAAATTTGGTTGTTTTCAGCAGCAGCCATGTAGTGGTTTTAAACTTTTATACCTGAAAAATGTTGTAGCATTGCTCTGACATCACTGCTGGATGTGGTCATGAGTGAATTTGGCGACTTTTGCCAATATTTCATAGCATAGATAATTGTCGGACAGAGTATATTTTATTTTGGCCAACATAGAAGAAGGTTAAAGAGTGATATGTTTAACCAATAATTTAAAATCAAATATGACTTGAGAGTGGCATCGGCCTTTGAGGCACATATCTATATCTACAACCACATATCTGAATGGTATGAGAGGGAGACTGCTGCTGTACAGCGAGGCCAAATTCTCTCTTAATGGCTCTGTAACTGACATAATGTGATCCAACAATTAGTGACAAGATGGCTTTGAGAAACCCAAACTCAACTCAAACCAGAGCTGTAGATGTGACATATAGGTCAATTAGTAGGCCTCGGTTTCCCAAAAGCACAAAACCACTGCTGTTATTCTCTGCTCACTGGCTAGTAAAGCAAAAAGAGACAAACGTAATGTTCCTTTTTGACCCATTTTAGCCACTCTGGATGAGGGTTTATGAAAAGAATCTGTAAATACGGTTACAGTGGTGATATGCTTTTGGGAATCAGCTCATCAGAGACCTTCTGACAAATTTGAACTCCAATAGACAGATAAGGAATTGCTTTGAGTTTCCTCATAGCAGTTTTTGTAAAGTTTTTTTTTTGCCAAGGTTTGATTTAGTTCAAGCCTAGTTTGTTTCCTTCCAAATAGAAATAAAGAAAAACATGTTTAAACCCATACATGACATTAAATACACTTTTTTTTTTAGTCACAGTTGGCCAATACTTGTAGCCAGTTACGTATTATGGCAATAAAAAAACGGAAATAAGAGACAAAGTTCAAATTCTTAAAGGCACAGTACAGAAACAAATGATTCTCCATTATGTTTTGTTTCAAACAAAGGTAATGCTGTTCGCATTTGTGGTATTAACAACCACAAATCCTAAGACTGTTTGCTAGCATCATTGCTAATGGGCGACAAGGTCTGCTGGCTTCCCACTGACTGGGTGTTTCAGTTTGTCCAGCCTCTTGTCCCTTCTGTCTCTGTTATACACCCTTGTCAGATCTCTGTAAATCAACACTTCAATATGTTTTACAAAGGTGAAAAAATAAAAAATAAAACATTTTCTGTTACTGTGGCTGCTTTTAAGTATCTGTCGTGTAAGTGAAGAAGACCTCAGCCAGCTCCCATTTTTGAATTTATATGCAGACATATGTTGCTCAGATTTGACATCTTGCCTATCTCTGCACTATATTTTAGAAAAGTTTTTGGCCGGTGATTTACAGCATGGCCATGCGTTACATACAAAGATGACATGAGAAGGTACACAGGACGCCTGGCTGGCTTGAATGCAGACAAAAACACAATGAAGCCAAAACTCAAATCTAAAGTGGGGAAAAAAAAAACAACTGGATTGCCCCCTCAGTCTTTACCGGCTGTTTTGTAGGACTTAACCCGCTGTAAATCTTAAGTGTCCATCTAATCTTAGGGGGTTAAAGGAACACCTAAAACCTGGTTAATTTCCTTCAAGCACTTGCCACAGAGGGAAAATAGTTTGAAATGTCCTCACTGAAACCAAAGGATGTTGCTCGCTGGAAGCTAACAAGTAAATCTGTGGCTAGTGTTGAAAAATAACCAACTAAAATTGGAGAATCCCTTTATAATGAGGCATATTTCAAGAGGTGAGATTTACCAGGAATTAAGGAATAAAAAGAAGATAAGATGGGGGACTGTAAAGACGAAAGTGGAGATGCAAAGGAATACTCTAAGATGGAATTAAAAGATCTGAGTGCATAGGGAGGGAGGAGGGCTATATAAATGAGTATAAATAGTTTAATATCATGCACGTGGGTTGTTGGGGTTAATGGAGGGGAGGAGAAAGATGGGGTGCAGACGACAGTATGGAGAAAGGAAGGAGAATGAAGAAGGAAGAGGGATGAGTGAAGGGGAGATGCAGGAACCTAGTTGCCCCACCAGTCAACTTGAGAGTGTGAGTAGTTGCCTCCGTAGCCGTCACTGGTGTAGAAGTTACCAAAACCACCTGAGGGGGAAGAAACAGAGCACAAAACTCAAAGTTAACAAACAAAAAGTAGCATGTTAGCTTGTCTCTAACACATCAAGTTGTGTTGTAGTGCAATGCTCAGTTAGAAAATGAGTATTATTATTAATTTATGTGTAGAGGAAACAGTATTGTGCCTAATATTGATCCTTGTGAGACACTTAACAATTTAAAATTAATAATTTTGTCTCCTATGAATAATTTATGACAATTGCATTTTCTTAAGCAATTCTACAAAAAAATATTGCAGCGTGTGGAGTGACTATAAAGTATAAAATGATTAAAAACACAAGTTTAGTCCTAAAGCCAGATCCTCACCTCCTCCAAAGCCACGGGTTCCTCCATGTCCTGCCTGGTTGCGACCTCCACGTCCTCCAAATCCTCCAGAGGTGCCTCCGGCGGCAGTCTGGCGATAATCACGGGCTCCAAAGCCACCAGAGAATCTGGTGATAAAATCAAATACATAATTTAAATCAAATACAAAGTGAACTTCACTGCATTTGGACAAAACATTGATAAGCTAAGACCCTTTAACATTTATAGAAAACACACACACACACACACACAATTAAGAAGAGACAGTGTGTTTATGTATACCTCTTAGAGCGTCCTCTGTTGCTGCTTTTATGCTGGTGTTCATAGGCTAGGCTCTCAAGCCAAGAGGGAACTTCCTGTTTGGCCTCTACCAGGATGTCCAGCAGGTCTTTAGTGATGTTGCCATTTTTATCATTAAAAAATGATGTGGCCAGTCCTACAGGTAAAAAAAAAAGTAAGCAATTGTAGCAGTAAATCTCAGCTTGTTGTGTGGTGGAGCTCAAAAAGCTCAACAGTCTATCCTCATGTTAGATTATGTAACACAAATGAAACGAGGTTAATCCCACTGACTGACATTTGTTGTTGTCTTACCCAGGTTTCCAACTCGTCCTGTACGTCCAATACGGTGGACATACTCCTCTATGTCGCTGGGTAGGTCAAAGTTAATAACATGTTTCACATTGGATATGTCCAGACCCCGAGCTGCTACCTGAGTATGAACAAAAAGAGTACAGACGTGTTCAAATGCAGTAATGATTCAATTTGGTTGTAACAGATGGGAGTTTGTGAATACCAAGAACAGTATTGCTACACATAGTAGTACTTTCTTTTGAGGCTGTCAATTAATATTTGCTGCCATATAAGTGTAATATACACATTATTAAGACAAGTTTAACCATTTTCATGGAAGAATTTCATTTTACTGACCGCTGTGGCCACCAGAATGGGGCATTTTCCTGATCTGAACTGGCTCAGGGCCTCCTCTCGGTCTCGCTGGGAGCGATCGCCGTGGATACTGGTGCAGGCGTAGCCCTCCCGATACAGGAAGTCCTCCAAGGCATCTGCGCCTTTCTTGGTCTCCACAAAAACCAGAGTCAACGAGTCCTTACCTGATGAACCGAGAGAGAAGACATCTTTGGTTTATCATTAAAAGGGGAGTGGGTAAGCTGTAGGCAGTGGGTTTCATTTCTTTCTTTTAATCCGCAGGTAGAAGGGACAAGATAAGCATGCATTAAAAACCTAAAACATATGAAACACCACACAGTAGAATCTGTATGTGTAAAGGAACCACACCTGAAAGAACAACCAAATCAAACTTTATACTCAACAAAACACTGATGTCAGCTTGCAAGTAGCTTTTCTGACACCACATTTTTGAAACAATTTGGTTTGACACAACCTTTTAAAACTTTTTCACACGGTCCGTGTCAGGGAGTTTAAACTTGTTTCATGGAACACAAAAACATCTGGACTCCTACTGCTGCCAACAGCAAATCTTTCATGTTGAAATGTAATGGCATCTATCTTACTCAATCATTAAATTGCAATAAAATAGAGCTGTAGGTACAAAATAAGATCATACTGACAATCTTGAGATGTAAGTCCTCCAGTGTTTAATCAAATCATATGAATCATTCTTTCAGCCCTACAGGCAGGTAATACGTCTATTTTCAGTCCCTGGTGTGATACATAAATCTTAACAACATGCACCTTAATTAGATTAAATTGTCACATCACATTACAACAGATGTTTTTCAGTGAACACAATAATGTAATGGGTAGCAGTGTGGATAAAAACCAAAAAATAAGCAAAAACATTAACACCATCAGCAGCACTGTGTTGTGCAGGCACTGTGACTAGAGACACTGATGGAAAGAGTTTGGTCATAGTCCTTAGTTAATGCTCCTGCTTCATGAACATTACCACCTGATTATAAAGTAAAGGGCATTGGGGCCAATGTCATTTACATTTATTAGCTGTTGTGACTACAACATAACCAGACTCTTTCTATCAAGGATTGGGTCGGACGTGAAGACACCACAGCAACATACGGTACATAAAAGATGCCACAAAAATACTCTTGATCTAAGAAAAAAAAAAACACAACAGGCATGTTTGATTTAAGCTTAGCAAACCTGAACCATGAAATGGTACACAGAGCCAAAAAGAATAATAATAAACAAAGGAGTCTTCATCCACAGAAAAGAACATTAAAAGGGCAAGCAAAATTATTTAAAATGTGAAATGACAGAGTTTCACCATTGAGGATCTTACCAGGTTTCTCTATGTTGTCTCCTGTATTGTCCTGTACCTCGCTGGGGATAACTTGGGATAAAACCACACCAAACCACCAACATGTAAACTGCACTCAATCAGTAGTAGAAATCCAACTCTGTGTGTTTAATGTTCCTGATTTACCAAAGGGACACAAACTATTGCACTGGCTGAGATGAGAGGACGACACTATGACAATGGAAAAAGGATTGGGGAAATAAAACTGCACAGTGTGTGTGTGTGTATTTGTGTTAGCAGTAGCTCTAAACCCATGTAGAAAAATCTGTTTGTTTGATGTGTCGTAGACCCGTAGTGTTGGGACACATGAAAAGGTTAGGAGTTGTTATATCTTTGGGACTGTCTCACCTGTAGCACTGAGCAGGTCCAGCAGGAATGACCTCTTATCGCTCTCTTCTACCCACACTACTTTCTGAGTTATGTTCTCTGAGGTAGAACCAACTCTTCCCACCGCCAGGAAGATGTACTCTTCCAGGAAATCCCTAGCCAGGATCTGGAAGAGGTGCAGAGAAGGTGCTTAATAGTAGATTTTACACACTGGATGGGCAAGATTCAACTAAAATGTTCTTTGTGTAGATTTGTAGAGACAAATTCCAGCTTTAGAGCATCAAGCTCCAATATTCCTACCATTTTCAATGTTGACATTGTTTACTTCATTTATTTTGTTTTTTTTACATTGCACTCATCTGTGCAACTCAAGACATTCTGAATGCTGATGACATTTGGGACCTCTGATGGAGCTTATTTGATACCGTAGGTTTTTACTAGTATCACTCATAACTTAAGATCAGGAAATAAACGTGTTCATTTAGAAGACTTTGATAGCCAGAAGTCTTGCATGGTGAATAACAATTGATTACTGTATATATCAAAGAATGCTATATGAGCTTTCTCTACAGTCCCTTTCTTTCAAAGCTACAACGTATACCTGGATCTCTTTAGGAAAGGTTGCGCTGAACATCATGGTTTGTCGGATGCCTTTATGCGGCATGGTGTCCTGTTCGACGATGCGTCTTATCTGTGGTTCAAATCCCATGTCCAACATACGATCTGCCTCATCCAGGACCAGGTAGCTGCAGAGATGAAAACAGAGGAAGAGAAAAGAGTTGGAGCCTTTAAATCAAGCAAACTGCTTATTAATCTTTAGAAGAATGCAATTTCATTAAAAAGAAATCTCTCATCGGCATCGTCCATTAAAGAAATCAAGCAAATTGCTTATTAAGTTCTATGCATCACCCCCTCCTCCTGTCTATGTCTTACTTGCAGTAGTCCAGTCCAATCTTGCCCCTCTCCATCATGTCCACCAGTCTTCCCGGAGTGGCCACGAGCAAGTGGCAGCCTCTCTCCAGATCTCTTATCTGCTGGCCAATGTCTGCTCCTCCATACACAACACAGGGACGCACTCTGGACCGGTAGGAAAACTACAAAGAAAAAGATGAATACATACATAGATTAACATGTCTTTATTTTTTAGCATTCCATGCTACTGTGTTTGTGTGTGCATGTATGCGCTCGCGCATATGTGTAGAAACCTTTCTGGCTTCATCATATATCTGCAGTGCCAGTTCTCTGGTTGGAGCCAATACCAGTGAGATGGGGTACTGCTTACGACGCCCGTACTTTCCATTCTCCTGTAATAAAATGACAACACAACATTTCAGTCCAACAACAGTTGATGGTTTTGTTAAGCAGCTACCTGTATAAGCCCCTAGGTGTCCCTGTTGCGCTGTCTATTCCTCAGTACGTCCAGCAGTTACTGCAGTTTGTACCTTGCAGGACACCATAGTTGTAAAGTACGTTCCGGCGGGGCCGCTATGTTGCTTTATGTTTACTTTCCGTGCCCTGTAAGGATTGGCTGTGTATCGGAGAGAGGATTGTTGCAGTGGAGGTCTCAACCACAATCCCGAATCCAGTGTCTGGCGCCTCCTTCCCTCCATACGACACCACACAACACCTACCAACACACAACGCACAGTCCAGGGGAGGCCTAGAGAGACGTCAGTGACCTCAGTGACGTCAAGAATTCAAAGGAGGGAGCCCAAATTTTCTGCTGGCTGAGAACCATGTTTAACTAAATACTGAGCTCAAAATTTCTCAGTACAGGTCAACACTTAACACAAAAATTATATATATGTCTAGCATGATATACTATACCTTACTACACAAAAAAAAAGCATTTTAATGCCTTTTCTTTAATTGTTGCTTAACCTTGTTAAATACTTCTGCTTTACAGTGCCCAGTTAAATATGCTTGCATTAAAACCAGTAAAGCTATTTAGTGTGGTTAATTGCTGATTCAGGGGGCCTCCAAACTGTGTCAGGGGAGGTTCAGTGAACGGAAGTAAAACCATATTACATCAGTTATCAAAACGAGATCACACAGAACAGAATGTGTGTGTGATCTGGATAAAGATAGAGTTTTGGGGAAGTTTACTGTTTTTCCCCTTTGCCAGAGTCAGACACTGATGAACATCTGAGGACAGACCTTTTTCTGTATTTGTTGTCTGAGGTTAAACAGCAATATTTGGCCATCTTGGCTTAATTGTTGAGCATCTGTGGAATCAAATAACATAATCATGGTCCTATAGTTAGAAAGGTTAGGAAAGTTAGGAAATTAGAAAACTAAGCAAGTAAACTGGGGTGAGGGGGCTCATTTTCAGCATTAATATAACCAACTGAAACTGCTGACTGACTGTTGAGTAATTACTTCTCTGTCTAAACATGATGTAATGTTTTTGTTGTTTGTCTAGTGAAAACGCTATAAAAACTATTTATCTAATCTCAAAGACTTAATACCCTATACCAATTGATCCATGTGTTTTAGTTCATTATAAATCATTGAGGAAATAAAGTGCCATTATTTGGGGTTATTATTATTTGGTTTTGGGTTTATTCTTACCTGTCCAGATGCTTTAGCTGCGTTAAGAGCTTCTCCTGGTCCTTCAGTATAGATCTGGCTGAGAATGGGCAGAAGGAACGCCGCAGTCTTCCCAGAACCTACAAACACAAAGTCAACCTCATTCATCTCCATTTGTAGAAACATCATTTTATTTTTCAGCTCAAGAATCTATGCGTGTGTCCTACCTGTCTGTGCGCAGGCCATGAGGTCTCGCTTTGACTTGACAATAGGAATGGCATATTTCTGGACAGGGGTTGGTCTGGTGTAGCGACTCAGAGCAATGTTACCCATGATAATCTCACCCATGTCCACATCTTGGAACTACACAGGACACACAATCAAACACATTTATAACAAGAGGAAAGTAATCATGCAGCTGATATATAATGAAATATTGTTGGATCCCTAATTAAAAACAGTAGCTTACGCTCTCGATGTGGTGAGGGCAGTTCTGTCCTGTGGCCTCGACAGGAATGTCATCATATTTCTCAAAGTTAATCCCAGTGTTGCTGGCAGAGAACAACTCACTACAGAGAAGCAAAGCAGGAGAAACACAGTGCATGTAAGTCTACTGTCCAGAAACGACAACTCAACAATGACTTCTTCTTATCATTGTTATCTCACTGCTAAAAAGATTATTTGTCAGATTTTTTAATTAAAATTATTTTCACTCTGAATGAATATCCCGGTTATTTTCTTGATTGAGTTGACCTATAAAACGTCAAAACAATGTCCAACACCATTCCATAAAACCCACAGTGATGTCTTTAAATGTCTTTTTTTGTGCGGCCAACATTACAAAAACTCTAAAGATAATGAGTTTAATATATATAAAAGCATTTATTATTTAACTCAGAGAAAAGCAGCAAACTCTCAATTGTGAAACTAGGGAACGTTTTTGATTGAGAAAATGACAAAAAACGAATAAGAGTTACAATTAATATTCTGTCCAATGACTGATAGATGAATTGTTAATCTTGTGATTTTGGTCATTCTAACTCTTTGTAAGTTAAGGGCTACACTGCATGACTTTCCGAAGCATAATAGACATAGCTTGAGAGATGCTTCCACTATATTATAAATATTGTTTTTGAGTTTTGTTGCTGTAAAATCAGGGTACATACAGGAATCCTGAAGTAAAATCCAATACCTTTTAAAGGTCTTTTCAAGACTTTTTCTACATATTTTAAGACTGCCGCGCCACTTTGAGCTGGCTGTAACTGATTAAATCAGATGGAATTTTTTGAGGTTTTAAAAGGAATTTATTAATATTAATAACATGTTTATTGCCTATATGTCATCAGGTTGTAACACCACCTAAAAATTGAGGCATTCACCAACTTTCTCAGTTGCCTATAACAGCCTGTATGGGCCAACAGTTTTCTATGTGAAGGACTGGTCAGATTTCCTGCGAAAAGCAACTCACTTTCATAAGCTATGACATTTATGTACACAATATTACAGCAAATCATGTGAAACACAGTGTGATTTTGTGTTTTAGTTGGTTTAAACTAGATAAGGTGAGCTTGCCTGCAATGATGTGTGATAACTTTCATCGACCACTTGATCAATACAACAAAATTCAAATAGGCCAGGAGGGAACAAAGATGAAGAGAATAAACTGCGTGATGAATAGCGTAAGTAGTGCAGGCGGTGTAGCACAGGCACAACCTGGAGGAGGAACTGGTCTAAATGTCTGTATTAGTATAACATTAAATTGAAAGTATTTTGTTAATTTCAAAGTAAACTGTAAGTTTGATGGTAATATATTCAATATGTTACTAAATTCAATATAATAGAATATAACTTAGCACTAGTATAATATTAATTCAAATTACAGCTGTTTCAGTTTGGGGTTGTTTTTTTATTCATTAACTTTGTGCAAGTAAAATGCTCTAGGCTACATAATAGTCTCCAACCTTGATTTTGGGCAGGCTACTAACTCGTCAATAATCATACCCATTTATGCAGAACAATGAGTTCAACATTTATAAATTTTGTTGCAGCACATCAAGCCTTTTTTTTAAAATCCCGCTCCATCCAGGCTGTGATTGATTTGTTCACAAAAAGTGACACTGACGAGAGCATCGGCTTTATGAAAAGTTGAATTAGTTTCAATAAAAAGCAGAGCTTTAGCTAAATAGCCGGCTAACGTTCGCCAAACCCACACGCTCCTTGAATTTTCCCTGTTGTCTTCTGTCTTACCGATTCCGCTGCTGGCGGCGCATCTCGCTCTTGTTTTTCCAGGAACGGGGCTGTTCAAAGTGGCCATAGAGGGACCAGCCAACCGGGTTAATCCCGTTACTACTGATCGCCACTCCGACTATGTTTTGGACAATTAACATTGTGGGTCCGGCGGGGTGGGAGATTATGGTCGGTTGTATTCGCAAATCATTTTCCGGTTCACACGGATCTATTTTTTGGAGCGTTTAAGAGTGAAATAGAAGACAGAAACGAATCACATAGTCGCTACTCACTGCCTGTCTAGTATTTTTGCCTATGCATTATAAATAAATATGTTCACCTACACTTTTAGCAAACAAACCTTTGGACAAACAGGATTTTCACATTGAAAAAAATATCTTCAAAATTTAATACCTTGTTAAATGGCGATTAAGACTTTTTAATACTTTTTAATGGCCTTAATTTTCGCAAAATTGATTTATTACCTTTTAAGACTTTTTAAGACCCTGCGGACACCCTGAATATAATGTCAATGCTTTTAAATATAAAGTGACAACTTTCTAGCTAACACTTCTTTGCTATCTTGAGCATGTTCTCTAAATGTGTCATTATGTGCTATCCTATGACACAGAACTCAATCAAACCCCAACCACATCATTCACAATTTGTCTAATGCTGACAAAGGCTACCATCTCTTGTGAACCGTCTCCCTGATATTTCTTGATCACCCTACAAAATGCATCACATTATCCAGCTTTCTTTGTCTGGAGTACACCTCTCTTGACTAGTGAAAGTGCAGACTCACTGTTCAAGGCGTTCGTTACGTGGTGTTGGTTTGGACCAATCTCCTTCATCTCGGGACTCCTCGACCCAGCGGCTGTTTCCTCCCCCTCCTCCTCCACCACCAAATCCACCATGCTCAAACCTGAGCACGACACAAAGACAATGTTGATACAAGGTGTGTGATGTTTTCCAGATTCTACAAATCAGACTTCTCTAGACTCTTCTCTAGTTTTTAATTTCATCCTATGTACAGGTGCATCTAAAAAAGTTTTGGGGGGGGGGTAATTTGAGCTGGAACTGTGTTTTTAATACTCTAAATATCAAATATCTGAATTAACTTCAGTCTTACAAAATCAAAAAGTCAACCAGGGTTTTCTCAGCAACAAATGCCACACCCGTGGAGCTCCAACTGACTGCAATCATTTTTGAATCTCATTTCACACAATTGTTTTTTTTCTGAATAGAACACAGAGACAACACTGCAGCTAACGAAATGGAGTCCACTAGCACCAAACCACGGCCGTCTCATTGCACAAAACAAACTCCAACAAAAAAATCCACGTAAGGATAAAAAAAAACAACAAAAACGTTCTATGTGTTGAAGCCCTTCAGCAAATTAGGATTTGGTTTGTTTATACTAGCCTATAGTGATGCCAGGCAGGGGCAGCCAGCTAACCTGAGCTACCACTGTTTGCTTTGTAACATTTAATTTAGATTTATAGTCATTTTACAGATACTCAGGTACACAGCTTCTCCACCTCTCAGTCACTGTAACTTACATGACCCACTTAATAGACAATACTGCATCATAACAACAACACAGTGGAAGACCCATTCACTACAGTAACTTTACTTACTGTCTAACTGTTATAAAGTGTGGCAATAATCTAATTTATAATATTGAGTCTACCTCATTAACCGTTTTCATTATCATCCAATAAATTTAGTTGTGAGGAGCTTCTCTGATGAGAGATTCACAGCACTGACGTATCATGTCGGCTAAATGCAGTCAGTGTAACGTTGTCATAATATGACCATGGTAACAACAAGCTGATAAAATAGTACACTAGCATTGCAGTGTGACTTCACCTCAGTTTCCAGCGTTTTCTGTGATGCTGTCTCTCGTTATGTCTCTGTTTTGGGCGATGCTGAGTGCTTGTTTATTAGTTCGAGCATGCCCAGGAGCACACACTTGGAAAGTGGTTACAATCTGAAAAACGTACTGCTAGACGCCACTAAAACATATATGTCCTTTAAGCTACGGCCCCCACTTCATTTTATTCAACAGTACACCAGTATAGCGTAACACACAGATAGGATCACAAGAGATTTACTTTTTGCCTTCATACTGAACATGGGACCTTTACCTGAATCTCTTTCAGTACAGTGACAAAAGGAAAAGTGCTATAGCAGTGGTTATTCAATCTGTCTCTGGGTCTCATTTCTTTACCTTCCTCTGTTAGCATTGCCTCTGTCATTGAAGAACGCAGACTTCCCTCGGTTGTTGCCAAAACTGCTATAGGCGTCCTTGGCAGTGTTCCAGCCGCCTGTGTCTAACAGCAGAACGAAAACAAAACTATCAGAAGACAGTTTCATTCATATAGTATTATTAGTGAACTGTTCAACAGGGTGCGGACACAACAACAGTGAGAAAAAGCTTTTATTTTTTACTTTTGGACCCACACATCCAGGCTGTGATTGATTTGTTCACAAAAAGTGATACTGACGAGAGTATCGGCTTTATGAAAAGTTGAATCTGTTTCAATAAAAAGCACCGATTTCGCTAAATAGCCAGCTAACGTTCCCCAAAACCCACATGCTCCTTGGATTTTCCCTGTTGTCTTCTATCTTACCGATTCCGCTGCTGGCGGCGCATCGCGCTCTTGTTTTTCTGGAACGGGGCTGTTCAAAGTGGCCACAGAGCGACCGGCCAACCGGGTTAATCCACTGCAGTCAAGCCAGCCTCCACTTCGAAAACGACAGTCAAGCCAGCCCAGTTATGCGATGCGTGTTTTTTTCTAGGCATTACGGTAACATTGTGTCGCAGCACATTTCAAAATAAAAGTGAGCTTCTGCTGAACATAATGCAATTGATGTGGCAGAAACGACTGAATAAATAAATAAATGTTAAGTATCTAAAGAAAATATTACATTCTCACAGAAAGCTTACTACATTCAGCCAAGACTCGAATTCATGTAAAAAGAAAACCTTCTGTTTCCACTAACTCATTTCCCTTCACAGGGACAGCAGACCACCTCAGGGTGACCCTCTGTCAGTATCAGAGCAATCTGATGTAGTATTTTTAAAATTACAGCCCTTGAAGGTGTGTAATATTTTCCCTATTCACAAAGATTCAAATTGACGTAAAAAGGAAACCTCCTGTTTCCACTGACTCATTTCACTTCACAGTGACAGCAGACCACCTCAGGGTGACCCTCTGTCAGTATCAGAGCAATCTGATGTAGTATTTTTAAAATTACAGCCCTTGAAGGTGTGTAATATTTTCACTATTCGCCAAGATTTAAATTGACGTAAAAAGAAAACTTCCTGTTTCAACTTTTAACAACTTTAGTTTAGTGCCCTTTCACAGGGGCCGATGTGAAGCCAACCTGCGCTTTTTGTTCAAAATGTGGTCTCACATTTGATTCACATACAGCAGTGGACGGCAAGAGGCAGCCCATGAGCCAAATTAAAGATTTCAGTGCAAGACTCCAGCAAGGTGAGAGGAGGTGGTGCTCAAACGCAGTCAAGATGGATGTATACGTGTATGTAGGCTATTTATGTAGCCTATATAAATAGCCTAATTGTAGCCTATATATTGATTTATTTTAATTAATATATTACCATATTTTAATATAGGCCTACACTTAAATATATGTTGTGTGTGTATCATGAATTAACTACAAATTTCGTCACAGTCAAAATGTAATTCAATGTTTGTAACGTTGATATATTATTGTCGCATATGTTGACATCCTTGGAGGTATACAGATGAAATAACTTAATTAAAAAACAGTAGACCTATAATGTAACATGATAGTAAAAGCAGGTAACCTGAGGGCTATGCCTACAGAAGCTTAGAAACAGAACAACAGAACAACCAGCTGACCAAGATGAAAGACAGAAAGGGGTAAAAACCATATGAGGCCAACACAGTGGACTACTAGTAGGCCTATAAAAGAGGTATTGGCGTCTGATCAGCAAACTTCAGACCTCTATTAAAATGAATGAATTATCAGGATGATTCTTTTGTGGCTGTCCACCTCCACAGTTTGTCCAGTTAGAACAATTAATGATGTTGGTAATCAGTCCAATCCAATGACACTGTCACAGTCTTTGTTCTTGTGACTTGTTTATTGTAGAAATGGAAATCTAGTATGAGCAGAGGTGTGTGTGTGTGTGTGTAACAGTGAACAGAGACTGGGGCTATGTTGTTTTCTTCATTTGTTGAAAAAGGTCTTATGTTGTGAGAGTACCCTGACAATCATCTTTGAAATTTTAACCTTGTCCTTTGTAGATCCAATGTGACTTGTGTGAAAGGTGGTTCCATGAGCAGTGCCTTGCTATGGACACCAGAGACCTGAAGAAAGCGAGAAAATCAAAGTGGAATTGCTCTGTGTGCCTGTAATACATCGCACCAATATATCTTGTATGGACAAGGAAGTAATGGGAATAAAGAAATGATCCAAGATACACACATATGCACATTCTGAACAATTACATTTTTTTTGTAATATATACACATAGCCTACTTTTATTTTATAAAGATGTTTAATATTTTGTCTATACACATACATGTGTATATATATATGGAAAATAATGTGCAGTATGTGTGTGTGTGTGTATATATATATATATATATATATATATATATATATATATATATATATATATATATATATATATATATGCGGAAATGTTTAAATGTATATACATTTTGAAAATGGACATGAGACTGCTTTGATATTGGCTGACTGTTATTCTCTGGTGGTCACTTGAAGAGGACACTTTCAAGTGGTGTAACTTTAAAAACCTACATCAGATTGCTCTGATACTGACAGAGGCCCACCCTGAGGTGGTCTGCTGTCACTGTGAAGTGAAATGAGTTAGTGGAAACAGAAGGTTTTCTTTTTACATGAATTCGAATCTTGGCTGAATGTAGTAAGCTTTCTGTGAGAATGTAATATTTTCTTTAGATACTTGTGGTGTCTTAAGCATTTATTTATTTATTCAGTCGTTTCTGCCACATCAATTGCATTATGTTCAGCAGAAGCTCACTTTTATTTTGAAATGTGCTGCGACACAATGTTACCTCATGCCTAGAAAACACATGCATTGCAAAACAGCGCGAGGGCTGGCTTGACTGTCGTTTTCGAAGTGGAGGCTGGCTTGACTGCAGTGTCAATCCTGTTACTACTGATCGCCACTCCGACTATGTTTTGGACGATTAACATTGCGGGTCCGGCGGGGTGGGAGATTACGGTCGGTTGTATTCCTAAATCATATTCCGGTTTCGCACAGATCTATTTTTTGGAGCGTTTAAGAGTGAAATAGGTGCACGGTAGATCTTGTCTATGCATTATAAATAAATACGTTCACCTACACTTTTAGCAAACAAACCTTTGGACAAACAGGATTTTCACTTTTTAATAGCCTTAATTTTCGCAAAATTGGTTTATTACCTTTTAAGACTTTTTAAGACCCCGCAGTCACCCTGCGTATAGACACAGACAAGGTGCAACAGGATAAGAAAACATTTTTTAGGTTTCATGCAGTAAAACCAAATCCCACCTTTATTTTCGTAGCCAGCGAAGCCCATCGGCTGCGCTGGGTTGATCGGGTTGAAGGCCCCGCCTCTGTTGCCGCGGTAACCTCCCCCAACACCACCTCGGCCACGCTCCATGCGAGGCGGGCCACGGTTAAAAGAGTTGCCGCCAGCCATGCGGTTGTCATGGTAGCCATTAACAAAGTTGTTGCGCCCCCCATCCCAACCATCTGCAGAGGGAAGGCAATAATACGCCATGAAACACAATGTATGCAGGATTATTACTCATGAGATGCTGTGAGAGTGCTAACATTACTGTTTAAGTGCTTGATCAAGGTCACAGATTACTTAACACGCACTTCTTCACAGAGAAGAGGAGGAGTAACAAACCATAAAACATACTGATGAATGAGCAATGCATGGTAGGGAACTGCAAATGCAGAGTTTAGTAGAAGTTCAGAGAGCAACTTACAGTTGGCTGCGGGCGCTATGGTGTAGCCACCCTGTCGACCAGCAGCAAAGGCATTTCCTACTGGACAGGAAGACAATGTTTGAGCAGTCTTTTTTAATCAGTCACAAGTGCAGTTAATAAAGGTACCCTGTGGAGTTTATGACCACTGGTTCCATTACGCAGCAAAGTGGGTCCCCACTTTTTGGTTTGCATCATGCATGCATAGACACACAAGCATGCGGGTGACCAGATTCATATTCTGCCACCGGTTTCACACTATTCCACTGATCAACAGTTGATGGCAAGAAGAACCATAGCCATGTGCCAGCAAAGGCAGGGAAGAAGAAGACTGCTAGCTAGCTAACATGGATGTAAACAATGCAAAATATTCTGAAAATCAGCTTTGCAAATGTTTCATGAGGAAGGAAATACATTCAAGGGTTCACACAATGTACTTTGGTGAGTAACACTGAATGCGCTTTTTGTTTGTTTAAAAGAAAACTCCACAGGACAGCTTTAACTTGATGCTACACACCATTTTTGGAAGCGTCTTTGTTCCGTAAATGTGGAGGAATGTATCGCCCTGCAGACAGAGAGAGACAGTGTCCAGCATCACTTAATGAATTATAAAACTGTAAGGACTTGATTTTTAATTATTCAAAACTTCTAAAGCACCCACAGATAATCAACATTCATTGATCTATGGTGCATATCTGCAGCTAGAAAACATGGAAATCCAATGCAGATTTCCGAACTCGTCACCTAGACTTGCATCAGTGACGCACTTAAACTGTACTAATTTGAAATTAGTAGTGAACAAATAAGTGTGAATTTAAAAAAAAAAAAACGGAGTTTTAGTACTTCTGTCAGTTAAAGGACATTGAAAATATTCCCTTTGTTGTCTTTTGGTCAACATCCCTGTCCTTCCCAATTTATTCTCTATGGACCACTTCCTTGTTTGCTGTCTTTATGACATCTCCAGTCTTATTCCCGTGCTTTAATACTTGTCGAGGCAATGTTCAGGTTTGTGAGTGTCTATGCACATTCATAACTCTTTTAAAAACCGTGTTGGCTGCTTACTGTTAGTGCCTCCACCTTGTCCGTCTGCTGAACTTAAGTCTAGGACAGCGAGCTGGAGAAACAGAGACAAACTGTCAGAAAACCACATTCAGCAGAACAAATCTCCATCCTTGTTGCAGCAAGTGACACCAAAACCTGAGAACTAAAGCAAACAAGTTTTTTTTTTTTCGTAATAGCTAGATGAAGACTTTGCTTACAGACACTAGACAGTTGCTAAACTGTCACAATTTAAAGGAAGAGCGCACAGAAATATTCTTGGCTTTTTTACATTTCAGCACCAGTCAACTCTGCACAAAACCTCAACACACACAAATCCTATTATGGATATATCAGCAAACTGCACACAGCTGGTCTGAGCAACTTTCCAAAGGATAGGAAAGTGATGAGAGGGAAAATATTTGATGTTGTTTTGTCCAGTTTTCTCTGAGCAGAGAGTGTTTAACTGCTGTTCAGAAAATAACTTTGGATTTAATTCTTATATTTACAGACAGTGAATTTTGGTCCTGGGGTGGGATGCTCTACACTGCAGCAACATTGGTGAACTGTAGGCTGATAAGGGGGATCTGCATAAAAACCTTCCCACTGCAGCTTTCTTTGCATCCTAGACGAAAAAGGGGATTTGTTTAAATGTGGTCTGAGTTGCGCATCCAACTCCCTCACACATTTGCCAGTTAGACCTTTCAAAAATATCAACTGAGAACATACAGTACTTTTCTGTTCCTAGCCAACTGCCTGACCAGTCAGACTCAGCTAGTCTACGTTGCCAGTGACGCAGAAGAAATAAGCTTCTCTTTTTTTTTAAGCGGGACGCAGTCAAGACAACCATGAAAACTGCAATAACGATACTCCGTTTTATCTGAAAGCCAGTGGGCTAAAGCGTCGAACACCGCATTGTTTCTGTCAGCCCCGCTAGCTCCCTCTCCGCATACCTCCATTTTATTATTGTGTCAAGCTGCAAGACAAACGCAGTGAAGATAATAGCAATGGGTGCGTTTCATATGGCAACACGGGGAAACCGACGGCACCACTCGGGCGTAATTGGTCATTTGGCTCTGTCATAATTTAACAGTTTGTCCACAGTCTAATCTAACTGTCACATTTAACAATAAGACTACAACTTCCTTAAATAATTTGCCTTGATGTAGCACACAGCTACAATCCGACAAACAAGGCCCTTAAATGTTTTCCACGTCGTATGGTTCGTTCCCATTGACCTAACGTCACACTCCTCGCCCCGCAGTCGCTCATGGTCGCGTGACTGTTCATGTCAATGTAGAAATGAAGCGCACCTAACGCAAGCTAGCTAGCTCGCACAATAGCATCTTGTTAGCTGTGTTTTTGAGCTAGCCGGCAAGCTAACATTTACCCCTGACGTTATAACAAATTTCACCAACTGACGCTGCAACACACATTAAACTGACGCGGCTTACCTGCTGCTCTAGACCGTGGACATTTTCGACGGCCACATGACTCATAACTATAGAATATGGAGGAAAAATGTTGTCGTTGAAAAAAGGACCTCTTTGTTTGCCGGGTTTGATGTAATGTTATTTTTCCCTTTGCCTCTTTCCTGTTTCTGTGGTTACGACAGATGACAGTTATTTCATTGGCTTAACAGGTACTCGTAACTCTGTAAAATGCTATTGTTGAATTTTACGTGGTGGTAAATTCCTGTATTTTAGCTACAAGGATGGTACTTCATGCAAACTCAGCTGATGTCGGCTTGCTCTTCAAGCTGCTGAGCGTCATGCAGTAGTGAAGCCAGCCTGAATAACACACGGAACAACATCCGGTAACGCCAATATAAAAGTCCACAAACGTGTCAAATGTTAGCTATAATTTGCACCAAATGTAGTCTGTAAAGCGATAACTACTAAACATTAGCGCATGTAGTTTTAACTATATATCGCACATTTGAGCTATTATCAGGTAACATGTCCTTTATGTAAAATAAAAAATATGTCAACCTTTCTATATGTCAACTCTCCTTACTCCCGGATATCCGATGGGCTAGCGCTAGTTAGCTTGACAGACGCATCTGAAATGTTATTAATGCAGACACCGCGATACTTTAGTCATAGTTTGTCGCGATATCACCGCTACAGTACAAGCATATTGACCCATTATGTCCATGACTGCAACCCAGTGGAACAGTGTAGATTATCAATAATCTTCTTTCTATGTTCAGTTGCCTCTTTAAAGTTTGCAAAAATTGTTGAACGTGTTGTGTCTGGAATCTTGTTAAACCCACACTCCCCAGTCTATAGCCTTTTATAGCATGTTAACACAGCTATATATAGCTTAGCATAGTGCAGTTTATGAAGTCCCCGTTCATGTCAGGATCTCAGGTCTGTCAGTGTTGTGAGTAGGTTTGACGTGAGGCTTCCCACTTGTGGTGGAAATGAGTAATGACTGTTTCCACTATGTTGCTTCACTTTGCCCTCAGTTTTTTGTTTTATATTTTAACTAATTTTATATTCTAAGCAAACAGAACCAGTTGAAAGAGCAACACTTGTTTTTCCTACTTGCACCTCTGTAGAGAATTTCATTTGCAGTCAGTCACAGTCACACAGTACTAAAAATCAGTTACTTCATACAAATCATTGCTCAGACACAAAAATAGAAACAAGGTCTCACTTTACTTGGAAATAACAGGAAATATTTAAAACGTGAGTTTATTTAAATGTTGAAGACCCTCTGATTTCATGTAAGACCTAAATGCTAAATAGAAATAAAAGTTATTGTAAGACATGACACAACTGTAGAAGGACATTTCTGACTTTAACCAGAGTGCAATGTGTTCAAGAAAGGGCAATATTTAACAATTAACACTTTCACTGTAGAAGGACCTGAGCGAGAACAGACTCTCAAAGGGGCAGACATAAACAAGGGGCATGAAAAGGGTTAATTTTCGCTTTAAGATCATATCAGAGTGGACTTTCTGGACCACAGTTGGCTTCCAAACTTCAAACATGTCTTCACATTGAAATAACAAATGAATATAGCCTTTAGTAATTAAGTATTTTTGCTTTCCAACCACTTTTTTCTTCACATGACAGACACATATGAAGCGCCTCTCATGACATGTGCACACCTGTGTAAGAAAAACACAGATGGCTCACATGCAGTAGGGGAGACTGGGGGCAATTGTAACTGTGATGTGATTTAGATGTAGCTCTATCTACACTGAACAATAGAGGTCGCTGCAGAGTGTGAGCAGTATTTGTGTTGGGAGTGAAGCAAGGGGCGAGTTTGTTTGTATGTTTTTAGCAGCTACAGCATGCTAGTTAAACAGTAGCCTGTTCAATGATGTCTACTACTGTTAATAAATGGCAAAACTACAACATGAGTCAGAGAGCTTCATGACAGTAACACATTCAATTTCTCCAATCAGAAACAAGCTACAGTGATGACACTTAATCTGCACATGCTCAATAAGATTCTCTCTCTGCCTGTGGAAAAGGAGCAGGATCATTTCACCTTAGCAGAAGTTTTAAACAAAATACTGATTTTGAGGTATGAAAGTAACTTTTTGGATGTGCAGTATTTTTCTTCTGGTGTCTAAAGTTTAGATGACTGCAAATCTAAACTTGCATACATTTTATCTCTAGGTTACTGATTAACAATTAACACTAACAAACTATGCTTACATAGTTGTGGCTAGCAGGCATCCAAGATTTTATCATGGCTGCAACTTCGGGGGCAATTGTAACACAGTGTTACATGGCTACATGGCCCAATGTAAGCAGCTTGTTTGTCTGTTTTGAAAATAAACATATTTCACTAAATTTAAATGTAAAACCATATTAAAAAAAGGGTGTATTAAAAGAAATGGATTTGTTCTAGTATAAACAAATCACCAATTAACATAGGCCAACATTCTTTGTATAAAATAGTGTGTTTTATATGTGTTTAACAGAAAGTGTGAATATTATATAGGCCTAAGTCTGCAAAAGTAAAGTTCCTTTCATTGTCAGTTTGTCTATATAGTGGACTTAAAGTAGTTGATGGAATAAGACCCAGCAAAACCAAAGAGAATGACTAGTTCACTAGTTAGAGAGAGCAGAGGATGCCTGACATCTAAGATAATCTGAACCCTTTAAAAACTCTTATGTAACATTACTAGCTGTAAAGTAATTACTTTGAGATGCAGTTGGTTAATAAGACTTATTTTTCAGTGTTACAATTGCCCCCGCACACTGTTACAATTGCCCCCGCCAATGACTAGTGTATCTCAAGTAGTTTGTGAGTTATTAAGGAAAATGTAAAATATGTTACAATTGCCCCCGGTCTCCTCTACTCCTGTCATGTTTGACATGTTAAAGTATATAAAGTGTGCATACACGCCCATGCAATCTGTATATTTTGACAGCCGCCAATTAAGTTGAAATTAATGACAAATTCTAAATGAAACTCGAATCCATAAATGAAAACCAGCAGCATTATATAGCATTATTAAAGTCACTGTGCCTAACAGATTGTCACAGGTCCATCACTCATTAAATAGCGTGAGTTATACGCACAGCAGATGAATGCTGCAATTATTTTTGAGTGATGTCATATTTCATAGTGTGTCTCTCTCATGTTCAAGTTTAGGATTGTTTTAATAGGGTGTGTGATATCTCATTGTACAAGGGTTGTGCTACATTTGCGGGGAATGCAGCCGACAGGGATGTTGCCATTGGAAGAAGGAGTTAATGTGCTTACTATATAGGGACCTGTCTACTGTATATGAGAGCATGTGCTGTGTTGTTTGAGAGTATGTGTTGAGAGATGTTTATTTCTGTATTTTGTGTTGTCTTTGTAAAGCTCCAAAGTCCAAAACAAATTTCCCTTCGGGGACAATTAAGTATATCTTATCATATCTTATCTTAACCCACCTTGGCTTGCAACTGTGAAGTGAGATGGCTGACATCACTTTCTTTTGCATTTCAAAGAACAAAGATAATTTATTGAGCACTACACACAGTTTAGATGACAGAGATAACAACTTGTGTTTCTATAGGTCCTAATTGTGTAATACTAATACTATAATAATTTCCAAGACATTTCCTAGAAAGAATTATGTAATTTGGTGCTCATTTTAGTAACATTCAGACAGTGTTAAACTGGTACACATCCACTTAATTAACACAAATTAATTGCTAGGCTAACATTATGAACTGGATCTGAAGCACAGCTTTTAATAAAGGTGCAGCAGTTAATCTTTCAAGATAAGAGTATCACTTCATTAGAGTAAAAACACATCAGAATGTGTAAAAAGTTGAATTTCGTCTACAAGCAAGCATGCAATTCAACAAATTTATAGTTTCCAAAAATAAATGAACAATGATTAAATAGTTCTTTCAAGTAAATTCCAACTTTCCCTGTAAGCATTAAAATTACACAGTTCTTTGCAGGAAACTTTCAAGGAAATTGTTTTGAAATTATGAGAAATTATTGGAAATTATTTTCCTTCGAGTTTTAGGTCACTCCAGCATAAAATTCTTCATGATATCAGTTTAGCCGAAGCGACCTTGGTGGCACCAATAAAGAAAGGAGGATTGTTGTGGTGTAGCCTTTTCTACACTCTCTTTAAATAAAGTTTTTTCTGGCATTGTTGCTTTAATTTTACAGTTTGACAGACAGACAGTTAACACAGGTACAGAGGTGGTGATGACATGCACAAAGCCTTCAAGCTGGATTATGGGTCTCGAACCATTTAACTGGGATGCCCAATTCTTTGCTTGCTTTTATTTCCTTGATGTCATTACAACTCTTCCATAAATTCATAGGTTGTGCATGTTAAAGGGGAACTCCTAAAGGTCAGTTTACCTGGTGATGTCATAGCGATGTTATCAAGGTTATCTCATCTTAGCCATGGAGACTTCCCATTGTGACAGCCCCTTTGTGGCTTGAAGGTGTATGTGTTCTGTCAGCACTGCAGTTGTGGTTTTCTATTTGAGGTGCTTATTGCAGTGATCCTTCCCGAATCTGGAACACCTGGGCCCAGTGCTCCGCTGGAGATAAAAGCCCCACCTCCTAGACTGGATGTCTCTGCTCATCTTTTATGCCAGCAGTGGCACCTTTTTGGTTTTGTTAAATGTTTGTTTTACGTTTATATTACAACACTTAACACCATGTTTACACATCCACACCTAGTGATGCTGCTGACTAACACATCCAACAGTTGAAGTGTTATTTCTGTTATAATAAACATTGTGCACTTCAGGCAGCATGCCTTTCCCACTTTTGTCATGGCCTTTGAGCAAGGTTATGACAACATTTATGCTAGAAATCCTTTGTTACAAAGTGGCGGTATGAAGTTTGAAAGACCTTGCCATTCACCAGGAAGCGACAAAATGCTTCTGGTTGCATTCTGACAGTTATTTTGTAATCTGTTAAGAAGGCTGACTCAAGCAGATGTTGTGCTGGTGTTTTTTTCCATTATGTGCGCATGTGGTGGTTTTGATGACAAGTCACACCAACTCTTTCATTCACAAAGCTTTCCAACATTTGTATCATTTGGCTTTTGCCTCAACAACTGGCTCACCATATGGGTTGGGGGGTGGTGGTTAACCAGAATTAAACCCCATATGAATTCCGAGCATGTTGTAGGTTTTAAACTCTGACCCACAAACACATATTCTGTGGTTTTTAGTCAGGTCCCATTGGGTTGCTATTTTATGCTCTCTTCCTCACACACACACACACACACACACACACACACACACACACACACACACACACACACACAAATTAAGTGGCTTGGTCA